TATATTACGAGCATCCTGAAAAATCATACTAGGGCTTATTTTCTGGTTAGGTCTTATTTTCAGTGAAACAGGGTACATAACATTTTGTTCCAGATAAAACTATTCAGTAGGTCTTGATGAATTCTGAAATTAATAAACAGGCTTGGGTCTTACAGAATGGAAGACTCAGCTGCAACTTAATTTCTTTACAGTCTCCTTCCTATGCTAAGAATTACACTTTGCAACTTCTGCATCTAGCAGGACTGCAGATGTGTGATTGAACTGCAACTCCCATCAGTCCTAGCCAGTATATCCAATGATCACTGATGATGAGAGTTGTAGTCCACCATGTTCCCTATCCCAGGTATATGGGTTCAAGACTGGCTTTCTGCAGGATATTGCCAAGGTAGCATATTGTACAAACCAGCATGAATGTGTGACCAGGACTGATGGTTAAGACATTTCTTTCCATACCAAGCACTGCTGTGCTGAGTTTATCAGCAAAGATGAAGGTGTAATAGCTTGAAATAATGACAAGGTAGTCTTTCCAGGCAAGCCAGCACTGAGAACTGTGCAGAACTGTGGAGTGCCTTAGTATTTTCCAGTACATTGGAAGAAAGGGCAGCTGGAACCTCTTTTCCCACAGGGTGAATTCACTTCTTCTCCTGTTTAGCCTTTTGTTCAGCCCACCCACTGAATGGCACACCTGGAGCTCTGCTTAATATAGAAGACAGGAATGAGGTCTCTGAAAGAACTATGTGGGTAGAAGCTGAAATCTTGAGCAGCTTTCATTCTTGCTGCATTGTATAGAATTCTGCAAACCTTTGCACTGCAAATTGGCAACAGGAATGACATGGTTGCCTTATCCAGGGAGTCTAGCAGAAATTCTAACTCTTAGGATGAGTAAAGAGAGCTCTTCCTTTGAATGAAACATTAGAAACGGAGGTCACCAAAAGATCCTTATAGTGCAAGGAGGAGAAACCCATGGCCCTTCTGTGGCAGCTGGGCTCCCATTAATATCAGTTGGCATGACCAGTACTAAGGGATGATGGGTTACAACGTGCAGCAATATCTGGAGGGCTCACAGGATCGCAACCCTGTTGTAGCAAGTTCCAAATTAAGATTGCCCTTTTCCTTTGGCAAATTGTGGAGCATTTAGCCACTCAGTGTTTCACTGTACAAAAATACCAAACATATTTCTGTGAACAGCTCTTATTATCAAGCACATGTTTTTGCATTATTTACTCAGAATGTGATAGATGTGTACGTGCACATTGATGCACTCACTCACTTTACATGCTACATCTTCCAAAGGTACTTTAGATCTTCCAGCTGAGTACTCCATCTACAATGGCATTTATTTCTTTGGATCATCTATCTTGTCTTTGCTTTTGTGCATGCAGATTTCACCACTGATTCCATTGCAGTCTCAGTATTCAGACTATCTGTGGAATTTATAATTCCCAAGCATTGCAATGTTCCAAGAGCACTGTAGCATCTTCTCTGTGAGATGAGTCTCAGTTTCAACACGTTGCAGGTTTTTCTGCAGCAGCTGAAGACTAGAATTTTGGAATAAGGAACCATCTTCAGCTCTGTCTCTGTTCAGCCTTCACTCTGTTTCATCTGGAATCAGTTACAAATATCTAGTAACTTTGACAAATTCCATTTTGCACAAAGACAGCTCAGTTTCATTGCAATAGTGAATTAGTAAGGGGAAATAACATTATTTTACATTGCAACTGCAACTTTTTAGTTCTTTTTACAGTTATGGGGTATGAGTCCACAAGGTGGTGTGTTTTGTGTTCTGTCTTATGGTGTTTTTTTTGTGGATACTGAAGTCACAAAGTGACAGATGGAAATAATATGGGTTTGTACCACCTGATCACCTCATTGCATCCAGACTTTTTAAAAAAATAATGAAAAAATCAGTCTAAAACTCAACAAAGCCTGGCTCCCAGCACTGAAAAATACAGCCTGCAAAAGGTCAACAAACTCTACCCAGTCACAAGGACTGGTGACCACTGCACACAAAAGACCAGCTAATGCCGCCCATCAATCACAGTGACAGATCCTCTCTCCCCTTATCACATCCATATACCCACAACAATCACCCATCTCCTGAAAAGGACAAAAGCTGATCCCACAGCTATAAATACTCAACTATCCCACAAAACTGCACCAGAGCACAGACAGAGTTCTGACTCCTGTCCTCTGAAGATGCCGGCCAGAGAGACTGGTGAAACATTAGGAAGAACAACCTTCAGAACATGGTCAAACAGCCCGAAAACCCTACAATATACATCGGATCCCAGCCGTGAAAGCCTTCGAGAATACAAAACAACAACAACAACAAAACAAAAAACAAAACAAAACAAAACCACTGTTTTCTCAAGAAAAAGGAAATGCAAAGAGCTACTTTGAAACTATGGTACAGAAAATGCAACTAACTACTTGGGAGAAGCTTGAGGGAATATGTATAAATTGTTTCTTCTCAAAAGTGGGTTTCCAAGCTTTGATTCTATCATGCTGTATTCCAGACACAAGCACTGTTTGATGCTACAGATACAATCAAACTGGATTACAACTCGCAGGAGCCCCAGTCAGCATAGCCACTGGTGAAGAAAGATGAGAGTTGTAGTACAGCAACATGTGGAGGGCCATAAATTGCCCATTCCTAGTATATGCCCATTTGTATGTCTCATAAAGATTTTTCAGGCCATTGTAGCCTCACGTCTCCTAATCTAGTTTATATGAGTGTTGATGCTACTATACTGATGCAATATTCTCGTAATTTTATTATTCCAGGTACTAACTTTCCACTGCCACTGCAGAAACTGTATCTGAAGTTGCATATGTGTTGCTACTGCAAGCAACTCATAGTATCAGATGGTGAGGATGTTATTTTGTTGGTGCCTTGAGTCATACTTGCTGAAAAGTAACATTATTGGTATATATAAAAAAGGCAACATTCAAAACCAGGTGAAGATGTCATTCTTCTGGCCTAAATGTTGCCATCCTGAAGCAGAGGAATTCTGAGTGGCAAGTTCTGGCTAGGAATCGCTGAGTGAGAAATAGTAATGTTTGATTCTATTCATTTGAGTTTGACTAGAATCAATGGCTTTCTATCACAATACCATCATTAATCTATTTAGCAATGTTAAGATGATTGCATTATTACTAACTACTGTTATGAATAGTTTACTTATTTTGCTTACATTTAAGCTCTTGTTGAACAGTCACTGGTGGTAGTTCTTGCATTTCTTTACCATTTAAATCCATTGTTTTACATGCTATGTACCTCCAAATCCACCCATATCTTCACCTGCTCATCATTTTTTGTGTGACTAGAACATCCAGAATGCCCCATAATTTGAGGTCTCTGTTGCTAGCTAATAGTTAACGCATCCACTGATAAAGTGAACTTTTGTTTATGAACTCTTGCCTTAATAAGCACCTCAGTTTTTAAGATGTTACAAGTCTGTACAGCGGTGCCTTGACTTACGGACACCCTGACCTATGAAGATTTTGACTTATGAACAGCTCTGGCTGCAAAATTTTGCCATGACTTGCGGCAGGAGCTTTGACCTGCAAACAGAAAAAGGCAGGGGGAAAAGGCGGGAAATTCAAAGAAACCTAACCATTGGTGGTGAAGAGGCTGCTTCTTTGTAGCTCTTTTCGCCCCAACAGTTAAGGGAAAGGGAGGCTCAGCCATCCAGGCTTCTGGCGCCGCTGCCATCCCTGCCTTCTGAGGCCTCCAGGGGCTTCCCCGCTGCCATCGGAGACCTCCTGCAGGAACCCCCACCGCTGCCGATCGCCACCTTGAGGCTTTCCCAGGGGGGTAGACCAGGCCTACCAGGGGAAGCCCTCCCCTGGTACCTCTGGGAGGGCTCCCATGGTGGCAGAGAAGCCCCGGGAGGCCTCCGAAGGTGGCGAACGGTGGTAGCGGGGGACTCCCAGGAGGCTTCAGATTGGTAAGGTGCTTTTTTTCTTTTAAAAAAAGTTTTTCTGGGTGGGTTTTGGAGGGTAAGTTTGGGCTGGGGGGGTATGTGTCTATTCTTTGTTGTTTGTTTTTTTCGTGATTTTTTTGGGCAGTGCCAGCATGGGACTTGCTCCAATGTTTATTTTTGGATTTGTTTTGTTTGTTTTTTGCAGTCCCAGCGTGGGGGACTTGCAGTGTTTTATTTTTTTGGGGGGGGAGGTATTTTTTTTTCTTTGGCCGGAATGGATTATTCGGTTTTCAATGTACTCCTATGGGAAATGGTGCTTTGACTTACAAAAGTTTTGACTTATGCCCATCATTCCAATATGGATTAAGTTCATAAGTCAAGCCACCACTGTATGTTGTTCTTGCCAGTCGTATGTTTGCAGTAGAGATGAGTGACTAAATTCATTGGCATGGGACCAGAGGTGCCACTTGTTCCCTCCCCCCACCTCCTAGCCAGTGGCACCACTCACAAGCCTCTCCACACCACCTGGATTGTCCCCCTTTGCTGGCTGCCTAGTCTGGGAAGGACCTTGGGCTTCCCTGCCCTGTCTCCTCCAGCAGCTGACCACCCACTCAATGGCTGTGAAAGAGAATCACCTTCACACTTCCTCATTCGAGTGGTTGGCTGCAAGAGGAGGTGGGGAAAAGAAGCCTAAGCTCCTTCTTGGACTGGGCAGCCAATGAAGGAAGATGACCCAGGTGGTGCATGGAGACTTGTGAGTGGGGCAACTAGTGCCATGCCAATGAATTTTGTCACCTCATCCCAAATTAATTTGGGCCCACCTCTAGTTTGCAATAACCAGTGACTATGCTGGCTGGGAGATTCTGGGAGTCCAAAATGTAACTTTTCCAAGCTGTGTCACATAAAGAGTTTCTTTGGATCACACCAAAATCCATACCTATCTATGAATTTTTGATTTTAGCACAGAATCCAATGTTAATCTAATTTCAGTTATCTTGCATGATTATACATATGTACAAATCAGGAAATGATAGAAACTACATCCTATTTTTGTCTCTCTTTTTTTCATTCTAGGAGCAGCTGAAGGCTTTTGATCGAGAAGTAAATGAATTTGTGGATTATATGTTTGGACCCAGAGGTAAGTGTGCTTTTATAGTGTTTGTCAGTCTCTTCAATGACATCACAGAAATACGTATGGCTGCATGTGTATATGAAATGCAGAGAACTGTAACTGACAAATAAACTAGGAAAACTTGAGAAATCTATCTGTTGTGTGAATAGCAAATTCACAGTTTGCTGAGCAGGCACTGTTTGGCTAGCTTGCTCTACAATACATCCTCAACCATTTGCAATGCTGTTGGGGCTGCTAGTTCTTGTAGTCTGAAATATATGGAGAGTGACATAGCAGTCCGGACAGAGTAGATACTGAATCCTTAAATATCCTGCAGTCCCAGCTTCTCAGGATACACGTGACTTCATGTCATGGTTGTTGCTTCCCATTTTTAGCTGTGATAAAGCAATGGTAAGAGTTGCAGAGAAGACAATTTTGTGCGACAAATATACATTTTGCTAGAGGATGCATGATGACTAAGAGAACATGACAGTTGTACCTGTACCTTGCATGTCCCTGGGAAAGTTCACCTCAAATCCAGTGCTATAGTAAGTCACTTTTCTGAAGGTTCTGCATAGTCATAGAGACCAGAGCTTGTTATTTCAGAAGCAACAGAAAGAGACAGGAAGAGTTCAGAATCTCTTGTAGTTGCCACTGAACTCACTTTTCAAACTCTTTGTAGTCCAGCCCATTTAGCTTTGTTCTCTCTGGGGCCATTGCTCTTCTTAGAGAAGCAGCTGTGGAGTATGAACACAGTAATCAGACACACAAAGAATGCCTTAACTTCACAAATGAGCAACTGCATTCTCTCTAAAGCTTGGAAGAACTATCTTTATTTTCTTAACTACATTTCTCAGAATCTCCCAACCACATGGGCTTGCTTCCCATGCTTACTGGGCTCTGTCTATCAGAGAATTGTAGTCCGAAAAGCAATGCTTCCTAGTTCTGATTGAATCCTCAGCATGCTAGCTTCCACAAAACTGGACATTTATAGAAATCTGTGCTCCAGCACCTTCTCTTTTTAGAGAGTACTCCCCACTTGCTGACCACACTCTTAAGATGGTAGCCCCATTAAGAAAAAGAGGGGAAAAAGAGGAAACTTCTGTATTTCTACAGAGAGCACTAATTTGAACATTTTGGTTAAACCAGGGAATGTTGGCCCTCTAGATATTTTGATCATCTGTTTCCAGAATTGCAGCCAGCATGCCCATTACCACCAGATTGTGGGGGCTGTGGTGGAAACATTTGGAGGGGAGTGTCAAATGCTCCTTACTATTGGCCAGGAAGACCTCTCTGTTCACATTCTGTGTTTTTAGTTGCTGCTGACTTGGATTAACTCATGAACTGTGCCAACAGATTAAAGGTGGAGGGAGTTAAGATTACTTTGTCCTCAGAGCATACTTAGGCATAGGTGGCTCATGATTCAGGCTGAAGGATGATCCCCCTAAATTTTGGGGGAGAGGGCTCCTATTGAGTTCACAAGCTGCCACTGTGCTTATGTAAGTTGTATCCTGTGTACTCAATTATAGGGGCAAGTAAAAAACAATGAGAAAACTAGAAGTAGTTCCTATAAAATGTCATCGCAGTAAAGCGAAAGTCAGGTTTGGGATAAATAATATGAACTATGACCTAACTGTATGCTATGTTTTCTGAGTTGTATACTTCGCTAATATCACAGAATATAAACTATCTAGATATAGAGAATATGAGTTGTTCTTGGTACACAGTGTGAGCAATACTAATTAGAATGAGAGAATAATTACAGGAAGCATGCATTTTAATTTAATGCTGGTGACACAGTGGAGTGTTTGGGTGGGTTGCAAATGCTCAATTAAATAATATGATGCAGTTTTAAACATGCTGGGAGTTCAGGTTCTCTATTTTGAAAAGTAAACTATTGTATAATTTTGCATTAGTTGACATTTGATTATTGGGATAAAATTTTAGAAAGGAAGGAAGGCTTATAATCATAGGCCTAGAGATAGATAGTCTCAGCAGTTTTTTCTAGCTTCATGGGAAGGCTGGGAACCAGTGATTATGGAAATGCTGGGAATCTTATCCAAAGACTGATCTACTCTGTTCAAGTACAGTGGCCTAATAGAACTGAAGGAAGGTGCAGTAGACGCCCTGTTGAATTTGCTGCAGAGAAACCCATTCAAATCTCAACTCAAACATAAAATTTTTACCCTGTTTCAGCCCAACCTCTCCCAGAGGATGGGTCTAGAGATTAAATAGAAGAGTAATACCACATAGATTTTTCCCCTTTTTTGAGAAAGGATGCATTCCAAAGGTGATTCAGAAATCTGCAGATTTTATTACAGTATTACAGTTTAGTTTATTATATTGTTTTTATTTTTATGAATTACTGTTAGCCGCCCAGAGTAGACTTCAGTCTAGATGGGCTGTTTACTAACTAACTAATAAATAAATAAATAAATAAAGTATTTCTTGAAAACTATCCTGCCCACGACAGACTCCTAACCAATGTTTATAAAATATATTGAAACTCCTGCTTATGTTTTTCACTTTAAATGAATATATAATACAAGTTTCTTTAAAATATGTATATTATGTAATTAAACTGACCATATTCTTAAACTTCAGAAATATTAAACACCTCAGAAGTAATGTTGAAGTGACCAGCAGTATATAATGCACTTTAAGAGTAGGTAAAATACCCAGTGTGGTATAAATATCCAATGTGGGGTAGTGGATAGAGTGATGGACTAGGACTCAAGAGGCCTGTGTTCAAATCCCTGCTCAGCCATGGAAACTCACTGGGAGAGTGGAACTGGCAAAGCCACTCCTTAAATATCTCACTTTCTTTGAATGCTCTAATAGAGTCACTGTAAGTCAGTTCCAGCTTGACAGCACACAACAACAACAACAAAGGCTAGGTAACGTATTTAAGACTTATGAGTACTCCTATGCTTCCAACATGCAGTTTCTCTGGAATAGAGTAGGCAGTATATTTTCACTGAATCTAGCAGGTAATCCTTGTATCAGCAACTGATGGCCTCCCCAAGATGTATTATACCATAAATATTATAGCTATCACTACTTCTTCTTCTTCCTCTTCTTTAAATTTAAACCATACCCTTTTCACTAAAATATAGCACTGTAAGCAGTTTACAAACACCTTAAAAGAAAAAAAAAACCGATAAAACCATATTTAACTTTTACAAAATAATTTCCATCATACCCAGCTAGTGTAGATATTGGCTGATAATGAGGATGCTTGTAGCCCAACACATCTGGGGGCACTAGGTTGGAGAAGGCTAACAAATATTAATTAATCAATTATCAATTAATTATCAATTAATCAATAAAATTCCTTAATGGGTTGACAGTCTTAAGATATCCAGGTTACAAGAGCATCCTTGGAGAGAATTGTAAAGATGGCATTGGTATGCATTATGATCCTCATGAATGATCTTATTGATCGGGATATGCTTCTGCACCCTAATTCTTCGGGTTTATTTGTCTTGTTTCGTTTCTTCAGATCCCAGGGTCAGAGGATGGCTTATGCTGGACTCTTGCTTACCAACCCTTTTCCTCACTATTGTATATCTGCTCTTCATATTTTGGGGGACCAAGTTTATGAAGAACAGGCCTGCTCTGTCACTCAGGGGTCTTCTTATTTTATATAACCTTGGAGTCACAATGCTTTCATTTTACATGCTTATAGAGGTAAGTCTTTTTAATTGCAGTGCAGTTTTGCAGTTGGGCTTTGGGTTCAGTTGATTGGGATTTTAGTAAGAACTGTTTTTCTCACCCAAAATTCCCAAGGTCCGATTACAGTTCTTGCATTTTGAAGTATGCTCTATTTTGTGAGAAACTCATTTTAAGTAGTGAAACCAGTTGGAGAGAAAGGTTTCACCTTTTCTTGTGCTGTTTTTTTCAGTCTAAATTATGTACCCTTCTTTAAATACTGCTTGCTTTTTATGGGATACAAATTAAATACTCTGAAAAACAACTCACACATCTCTCCACTCCATATATCAAATTACAAGACCTAATAGCCCATGTCCTGTTGGGTAAATTACTGCAGCAGAAGGGAGAGGATGTCACTGGCAGGGAAAGATATTTTTTTTGAAGGTAGACATTTCATACCTCTGTCATGTATCTTATCTGACTTCTGTGCAGTTCAATCTCATTGTGTGTGAACCACAGGAGCCCTGAGACTGGAGGAACTCTTTAATTATAAGAATCTCCCTCTGCTAATAACACCATAATGGTCTGCAACCATAATTTATGTAATAGAATGTTGGCCATACTCAGAAGCAGATCTTCTTGTTTAATTAAATCTGCAGGGGCTTGAAAAATACCAGGGACTAATCTTATTAAATTGTGACTGTTGTCTGATGAATGTGTGGGGAGTGACAATCGTCATATGAAAACTTGTTGCTAAATAGGGTGGTCCCATGATCCAAATCCTCTTTGTCTGTTATGCATATGATTCTTCTTTCTCAGCTATTTGCACAAGGAGGTATATGCTTGCTCATTGCTTTGGTGAGCTCCTGGTTGCTGAATATTCTCCAAGCATCTTCAAAATAGAGAGATAGCTCATTGATGTGGATGATTACTGAAGATTTATTAAAAATAATAATGAATCTTGTGGAACCTTAAATGTCATTATTTCAGACATTCCTCGTAACTTAGAGTTGGGTTGTCAGAGTTTCCTTAGTATAGTTAACAATTGCCATGTTTGACATATTCAAAATAGCTCATATCTTCTGTAGGATACAAGTATTTGAGGTCTCTGGGGCACACCAGCTTCTATCTTTAAGTGCTGGCTGCATTTTATTTCCACGGCCCAAGTAAAACCATGGATTAAACTGTAGCTGTTGGAAGATCATCTAAAAATAGGCAACCTACATAGAAAGCAGGACTTGAGTGAAGCGAGAACTGTGGAGTCTTGAGTTCTCCATGTTCTTATAAAATGCAGCTACTCTGTAACTCACCTTCTCCACTTTTTTACTTAATTCTGAATTTGTTCTCTTAACAGTTTTCTCCTAACCACATTGAAAAGAAGCAGAGCTCTCTCTCTCCAGCACAAAAACACATATTTGGTTTAAATACACTCTTTGCTTTATCCTTGCAAAATAAAAGGAAACTCCTTTCTCCATCAGCAGTGTATTATATCTACTCTTTGCTTATCCTAAATGTTTGACTGAAATCAAACTCTTGCACATCATTTACCAAAGGACTCAGAATCAAAGCAGATACTATGGTGATCACATCATTAGAAGGAGAGCTTCTTAAAGAGATTAACACCATTTGATTATCCTTGAGGGAGGTTCCCTACTTTGGAAGTTGCAAATTAGCATGCTTTGATTTGATTACTAGTCATCAGGAGATAAAACATTTGCTCAGTCACAGGACCTTTGAATCACTGCTATTTCTGAAGAAAATACATTTTATCCCATCCTCATAATGAAGCTTGCATTGTTTCTTCTTCGACCCTCAGATTTGAGGGCAATTCTTATAAAGGAAGGAGCAATAGTGCTAAGAAGCAGCTGGAAAGGAAAAAAAAAGAATATATTCTGGTTTCAGCCATCATTACTTCCAACTATTGTATATGCCCCTAGCGGCACCCTTTATGGAAGACAAAGTACACTGACAAACACATTCATCTAGTTCAGTGAAATGGTATATAGATCTGTGTCTGTACATCTACTTGTACCTGTCTCTGGTATGTTGACAGGGCTTCAGATGGGAGTATGTAGAGTGTATGTCTAACGTATTGTCATTGAACTCATGCTGTATTGCAGTGGCTGCTTCTGGGTTGTTCTGGTCGCTGTGTCTTATTTTTCAGTTGACTTTGTCAGGCCTTTCTAAAGACCAATGGATAAATGTAATAAATACTCTGCTTCAACAGATTCATACGGATCAGCTTTGAGCAAATCAGCTTTCTATAATGATTTAAAATTGAGATTCAAATTCAAAATCTCTCTTTCATATTCTTACACTTATCCCTAGAGTAAGGAAACAGCTGCTTGTAACAACGCTGTCATTATAAGCTGAGTCTATTTATACTTGAATTATAAAACAGAGAATATTTATTCATATGACAATGAACACTTGTTAATCAGGTCATCTGAGGGGATGTATTCCCCCCCCCCAAAAAAAACCCTAAATAGCAGGATGTTTTGCTGTTAAACAGAATTCTGTAATGTTTTATTATTTAAGAAATAATCCCAAACATTCCCCAACTGTCATGATGTAGAGCTAACATGTGTGGCTCAACTGCGTAAGTGCTTAGAATGGTGTGCTATGATGGAAAACAATCCCAAAATAAATCACAGCTCTAAGTACTGAAGACGAATTATGATATTGCAGATAGATTGGCCCCAAACTTTGGGGTTACAGCCCTGAATACTTTTGTTGATAGATTCCAAACTAAAGCCTAAAGCTGTCATTCCATGCAACTTTTTTTCTGGCCAGCAGCACATTACAGGCGCATGTGGCAGGATCAAGACCATTATTGAGGTCCTCAATTGATGGCTCCTTTGTCTTCCAGAGGTTATTGCACTACAGATCCTATTACTTTCAGACTACATGGCCAAAATTAGGAACCACTTCTCTAGACTGATAAAGTAGTACAGAGCAAGGCTGGCCTAAATCATTTTGCTGCCTGAGGCAGAGCAGTACATTGTGTCCCCTCTCCACCCAAGTCATGATGCAAAATACCCAAAGCTAGTCAAGTTATTTTGACACTTGAGACAGAAACTCCCAAACATGCTTCTCCCATCTAGATCTATAAAAAACCCTGTTGGGAAAAAGTTGGGGGAAGTTGGGAAAAAGAACAAAACTTTGTGACACCATAAAGATGAGCAGCTTTGTTATCGTGTGAACTTTTTTTTTTAGTCAGAATCTGCTGCCTCAAACATAGAATATGGGAAGTGGCTTTTGATTCAAAGGCTCAAACAAAAACAAACCTTTTAATCTTTAAAATCCCACACACCCCGTGCCCCCTTTTTTCTGCCAACAAATTGAAACAGACTAATATGGCTAACTCTTTGGAAATGATAGAAATAATATTATATTAAATAATGAATAATTTGCTGTCCTTTGATGATACCCAAAATCTGCTGCTTGAAGCTGCTGCTTCATCCTGCCAATGGATAAAGACAACGCTCAGGCAAAAGCAAGATCAGGTCCTGGGTTATAGCTCAGTTGAGGATTCTAGCCTATAAGGAGTGAGTAGTGATGTTCTTTCTACAAGAGTGGGAAAACAAGTTGGAAGTGACACTGGAGATGCAAGGCTCATCCAAATAAGGTGTGTTGCTTAGACTGATATGACTTGGAACGGTGATCTCTCCTCAACACCTAGATCCAGAATAAATCACTCCAAGCAGCCATACCTGTTTTAATTTTTCCTTGAATGCAATCTGCGTTGGGTTTCCACACTCTCCCTTCCTTCTCCAACTTTTCCTTCCTTCCTTCCTTCCTTCCTACCTTCCTTCCTTCCTTCCTTCCTACCTTCCTTCCTTCCTTCCTTCCTACCTTCCTTCCTTCCTTCCTTCCTACCTTCCTTCCTTCCTTCCTTCCTACCTTCCTTCCTTCCTTCCTTCCTACCTTCCTTCCTTCCTTCCTTCCTTACTTACTTACTTACTTACTTATTCTCTGCTCTTGTCTCCACCCTTTGGAAGATATGGTATATGCCCCAGACTTGCCTTTTTATGGACAATGGGGTACAGAACTCCTTTCAGAACTCAAATGGAAGAAAAAGTGCAGGAAACCACCACCACCCGAGCAAAAATCTGTAGTGGATGTACATGAAGTAGAGGGCAAGAGGCAGCCATGCTGGAAAGGTTTCTTTTCTAGCAACTTCTTCTCATTTTTCTGGTCATCTCAACTAGCATTTCAGATCAGGGCAAGAAGGCAGAGTGGGGAGGAGTGTTTTTTGTTGTTGTTTTGTTTTGTTTTCTTTTTTTGCCTTTCTCCTTTGCTGTGTTCTTGGGAGAACACTCTCATAGCTGACATCACAGTTGATCTCAGGAAAGTTGTAATTATACATGTGCCCATAGAAACAGACATTGGTGACAGATGCGAAGCAAACTGGGGTGACAAACCACTATCCTCCATTTCCCCAGCAAGGCAAAATAATCCAGAAATTGTGAATTACAGTATTTGTAGGTCTTCACTGTCTTTAACATTTTCCCTGGTTTAGGCAGGTATAGGCATGGCAGTTTGAAGCTCTTAAATAAACAGCTTTAGGGTTCTATGGAATGGAAAACTTTTATTCCAATAAAGACTGGTGCATATAGATGATTTAGAAGGGAAGTGTTGGTCCATTTCACCCTCCAAGAAAGGGGAGATGGGAGGAACCTTCCTGATGAATCTGAGGACTGTGACCACAGTCAGGCATCTCCTGGGTAACAGAAGCACTCTGTCAGCCGATCCTTCCAATCCTGAAGTGCTGTTGGATTGCTTCTAACTCAAATGAAGAACAACACTGCCCAAAAAAGATGGCAATGCAAAAAAAAAAACCCTTCTAACCGCAGAACAGAAATGAATGAATGAATGAATGAATGAAGGAAGGAAGGAAGGAAGGAAGGAAGGAAGGAAGGAAGGAAGGAAGGAAGGAAGGAAGGAAGGAAGAAAGAAAAAGAAAGGAGGAAAGAAAGGAAGGAAGGAAGAAAGAAAGAAAGAAAGAAAGAAAGAAAGAAAGAAAGAAAGAAAGAAAGAAAGAAAGAAAGAAGTAGAATGTACCAAAGAGAGGATGGAAGCTTTATGGCAGGTCAAGTTGTAGGATTTCAGCTTCTGTCAGAGCCTTTAATGGGGCTCCCAGCTGCTTTTTCTAGACAGACTGACTGCCCCCCCACCTGCCTTCATGAACTCACATGACTCTATAAGCATGTCAAATGATATGCAGGCTGCTCTAATGAGTAAGAAATTTATGCTCCTTCAGTTTCCTGCAAATGCATTTGTTGGTATGCAACTCTCATAGTGCTCTTCCTCCCATCTGCTTCATCTGGGGAACAAACTAACACACTCTGGATTATTCTGATACTGGTCCTTGACATTTCAGAATTGAAAGGATAGTGTCAGTGGATGACCCATTTCATGAACTCCATGAAACTGGTATAGCTGCTAAAACTTTGCATAATCAAATCCACACTTTGATTTTGTCCTTCACTGGGAAAAATTGTTGACATATAAAGCGCTCCTATAGCTGCATTGCTTGGCAGCTTGTCTTGACTCATAATCATTAAACATTGATCAGCTAAACTGAAATACCACCAAGTATCTCTCCCCTACTCCCATGATAAATACAAGCCTCTAAACAACAAATTTTTCCTTGTGATACAGAGAACAGCAGAAAAGCTGTTCAGGCAAATGGCCAGTGTAAGAGTTGTTAATGGGTGAGATCAGTTACAGGCAGATGTGGCAACAGAGTGAAGTGATGTGCTCAACTTCGAGTTAATGCACATGACGTCCCATTAACTCTTGGAATTTATAAACTGTGCTTTGATGCAGCAACTAAAAGTCTGATGAAAAGTGGAAGTGAGTATATGCACTTGGCAAGGGGCACAAAGAACCTATCTAACACCTAAATCTTAAGACATTTGCAGTACCTCAAAAATATACTTTTGCAAACTTCACATGGAGACTTCTGCAAACAGTGATACAGTCAAGAGCAATATATATATGGGCTTAATAAAAGAATTTTGTATTTTAAAAGGCTCTCTTGGTTATTCCAAGAATAGCATCAGCAACAGCAGTGGGCAGGACAACAGGAAAAGTTCAGGTGTTAGCAGCTCGTGACCTTCCTGATGTTGTTGGGCTTCAAGTGCCATAATCCTTCATATTGACTACATTGGCTTGGGATGATGGCAGCTGTGATCCAACAGCATTTAAAGAACCATGCTTAGTCTGCCATTAGAGCTATATAGATTGAGGGGTGTCTTACTAATACTTCCATGAAAAGTCAGTGCAGAAGTTTCATACTAACTTAATGTGCTCCTGGCCTGGAGACAGACAAATAGCTTTTCCAAAGACTTAAGTGTGAGGAGAGACAGTCGCTTCTGAGTAAGATGCTCATTCCTGCTGATGCCTGCCTTCTAACACTTTTGGCAGCGGTCCTCGTATCATGGTTTCTCTAGCTGCCATTAAATTAAACCTACTTCTGAGTAGATGTGTATTTCCCTGTAAAAACATTGACCTCCCCTCTTTCTATAAACTGAGTTTGTGAGTGAACATTTTTGCCTTAACCCAAAAAAATCTGAGCCCAGGAAAGACTTCCATTCCTATTGAATTTAATTCACTGATGTGAAAATATTTACATGCCATCAATTCCTCACTGCATGCAAGATTATCTAGACCAGGGGTTTTAAAATGTCTTTTTTCTTCTGTTTTGTCCTTTGAGGATAAATTTTCTTGTTTGTAGACAGTTATGAACATTGACACTTGTCATTTTAGGTATTTTGGCTTCATCGATAGAGTAACAAACATTGGTACTTGAGGAACAGGTTCAGGCTTTCCATTTGTACTGAGAGTAATAAAAGTTGATCCCCAGAGTTTTGATGAAGTTTAAAATTGTTTAACTGTGCATTAGATCAATTTTTTTTTGCTTCAGCTCTAAACAAGTGGCATACTACTGTATTGGTGATATTTTCCAATGGCCATGTTTCTAACTTTGGTAGAGTTTGGAAGCCGGAAAAATAAATGGGGCCAATCACCTGGATAAAAAACTAACTAACTTAAGGAAGCAGATGAATACTGGAGAGCAGGAGGGTAACTGATCTCCTGAAGCCGATGAAGCATGAAAGAGCTTGGGCATTTTTATTTATGAGAATAAAAACTTATATTCTTGGTACTTTAAGAAGTAAAAATTATTGACCTTTCCCTTGAATTTCCAGGTGCATGCATTAATTCATAATTACACTCGGTGTTTCTCTTCAAAGTAAAGACTATGTTTTCTTCTCTAGTTAATTCTTGCCACTTGGGAAGGAAGCTATAACTTACAGTGTCAGAACCTGACCAGTGCCGGAGAAGCTGACATCCGCGTAAGTTGCAAAAAGCAACTCAAAAACTGAAAAATGGTGTCGTGATGCCTGATCGTTTTTTCCTAAGCTGCAGTTCCTTACATATTTACTTGGCTGGGAGGAGATTCCACTGAATTTAATAGAGCTCATTTCTGAGCACAAAGAGAGTTGTTGGGAAGGTGCAGCCTTCTAGATGTAGATATGATCCAGCTCCCATCAGCCTAGATCATCAATTAATTGAATTGCAGTCCAAAAACATGTGGAGTTAGGCAGTCCCAACCCTTTCTATATAGGACTGTGCTGTTCTTGTTGCCTTCATATAGCTTTAGTGATTAAAATTGTAACATATTCTTGATTATTGTTTGCTCTGTCAAATTGGTCTAAAATTGGCTTTCCCCACTGTTTGTTTGACTGTATGCTTCAGTTTTCTGAATATGAATATGCTTTCTGATTATATTTAGGGAATTTTTGTGAAGTTACAAAGTTTTTTAAAAAATGAAACTTGTCATTTTGCACAATTTGTCAAAATTAAACAATGTCTACTACACATTCCGTAAAGAATTAAAAAGTCATTCTGTCATTGGAAGTTTTACATCTACAGCCAGAATTGACAATCAAGAAACCTGTAGTTGAAATGTAACATCTGAGTGAACAAAATTCAGTTTAAAATTTTTTAGCCCTCCAGATGTTATTAGATCAGCAACATCTGGGCACAGTCTTGCAATATTTGGAGGGCCACAGTTGTCCACCCCGATCAAAACCTTTATTCTTTTTGTAATACAACCATAACCCTCTTCAGACACATGAAGGACCATTACATGTAGAAAGGAGTTCAAGACAGTGCAATACTTAAAACCATTTATTGCAGTCAAGTATATGGATTGTTTCAGAAGCAGTAGTGCCCAGGGCCATATGTAAATGCATCCCCTAGTATCTTTATTCTGCTCAGTTTGGGATATGCTTTTGACATCTGATATTTTGCCTGATATGATATGCCTCTGCACCATTTTGTTAGATGTTGCTGAGGAGGATATGTAGAGGAGACATCATTTGTAATCATAGCTGCTTGGAAATGCTACCTGTTTATTTTCTCAGATACACTTACACAGTTTAATTAAGCTCACTGAATACACTGAATCCAAGGTTTAGCATTAGGATGAGCAGTTTCTTCCAGGAACTAAGACTGAAGTCCAATATGTAGTAAGTTCTGGGAATACATTCTATGGAACACACAATTTGCTTCTGAGTTCTCACAGAAGACCGGGCAGAACTCGGCTCTAGCTTACTTACAACACAATCCTATACATGCCTAGTCAGAGGTAAGCCCCAGTGAATTCTGTGAGCTTTATGCACAGCTAAGGACAACTTAAGAGAACCTTGTTCATTTAAAATAATGGTAAAATATCTTAACATGAGTTTTGCCTGACTGAATAATTCTTCAAAAACAGATATTGATTTCATTGTCATATTCTTGCAGGTGGCCAAGGTGTTGTGGTGGTATTACTTCTCCAAAGTGATTGAATTTGCTGACACTCTTTTCTTTGTGTTGCGGAAGAAAAACAGTCAAATTACTTTCCTTCATGTTTATCATCACGCCACTATGTTTAATATCTGGTGGTGTGTCATGAACTGGATACCATGTGGGCAAAGTGAGTATCTGGAGGTGTGAAGTTAAAGTATAACAGAATGACACAGATCATGTATCTGAGTTAAGATCACACAGGCATTTTCGTGAGAACTGGAGAGGATCAGGTATAGATTTAATACTCAGGGCAAAATGCTGAGTATGCAGTCAGTTAGCTTTAAATCTGAATTAGCCACCCTATAACAGCAGCTACTCACTTGCCCTTTTTTCCTTCTTGCATTGACACATTTTGTATGTTAGAAAATCATCATCATATATTCCTCTAGCACAACTTGTGACAGATAAAAAGTACACAGTGCAGCTGTTCAGTGCATTCCCAGAGATAATTGGTTCAAATATTATTTGCAATCTACATTTCTTTGTTGGTTATCATTGCACAGAAATTCCAGGCTCCACTTACAAGGTTTTAATAATAATAAGATTTTAAAAAAAGGAAGGCATGCTTTCAGAGGAAGTATTTGGCAAAAAATCATTCAGTGTCATTTACAGAATTTTCCAGGAGGCCCCTATATTGTAATCTTTCATTTGAGTAAATATCTTGTTTTTCTCACTCCCTGGGGAAGTGGAAAATAAAATCCACAAAAGTGAAGGGGGGGGGAACAGTTGTCTTTAAAGTAGCCGCAAGACTTGGTTCCTTGATTTTTATTTATGTCAAAACAGAGTAATATAATTACCTCTTTGAAACTCTAATGATTTCATATTTTTATTGACACACGCGCACACACATACACATACACATACCCAGTTAAGATGAAAGAAAGAAATACCAGAACATATCCATCTGGAACTACTAGTAAGAGGCAGAAATTTACCGTTGTATGTTGTTGTACCTAAGAAGTGAGGAGGGCCATGCAGGGTGAAAATGATGGGGATTGTACCCCAACACCTCTGCAGTGTGCCAATTTGGGGAAAGCTGGTATAGAAAAAAGTCTTTGTAGGCTATGAAGAAGAAAATAACACAAATACACAGAATATGTTAATAGTGTGCCCTGCAAAATGCTAGTACCTTAGCTTAGATTGTCAATTGAACTGGTTTGCTTGTTTTTTAAATAACTAAATAAATAAGTGAACCATAACACTTAATTCTAAAAAAACAAGGTCTTTGCAATAATTGTACAGTGACTCATTTAATTCACAGGTTTCTTTGGGCCTACCTTGAATAGTTTTATCCATGTGCTCATGTACTCCTACTATGGACTATCTGTCATTCCATCCATGCGCAAGTATCTTTGGTGGAAGAAATATCTCACTCAGGCACAACTGGTATGCTTCCTTCCTTGTTCATTCTAATCACAGTTTAAGAAAGAGAATCCAATGTAGCTTGAGTCTTGAGTGCAAACTGCTTTGAAACGAAGATATAGCTAGGATGTGCATGGTGGAGCAGCATCTTTGTGTGGCCTCTGGTGGTGAAATGGACTGGAGGGGCGGCACTTTCAGAAGCTTTTCCTATAAATGAGTGCCTGCTTAGGTCTGAAGATGATTTTTCTTTCTCATGTACTGTTGCTTACTTTTGGAGTAAATTGATTATCTGTGTTTTGTTTTGTTTCTAAATAACCTAAATTCAGTTTTGGACTGAACTTCCACAGTTTTTTTTTTTTAACCAAGTTGGCTGGGGTTTTATATCGGGGAATAACTCTATTCTAGCCTCGGTAAGCTAAATGATATTGTTATAGTAACATGGATTAACCTGGCTAAATTAGAGGTACACATCACAGCATAGCAGAACACATAGTTGTGAGAGGATTGGATGAATTTTAACCTTGGCAAAGCCTGATCCTACAAATAATGATTGCTATATTTCTTTGTTTGACAGATTCAGTTTTTGCTCACCATTACACACACACTCAGTGCAGCTGTGAAACCCTGTGGATTCCCACTAGGTTGTCTCATCTTCCAGTCTTCATACATGACTACACTGGTCATTCTGTTTGTTAACTTTTATATTAAGGTAAGCTGAGGAAGAACTGTGCCAATATCTATGTATGCACATCTGTATATATGCTTCTATAGATGTGTTTTTAATATTTGCATGTAATGTTAGTACTGAGGGATAGTCTATCAAAATGTATGTTCCTAGCTTTAATGAAGCCAGAAGTGGTTGCTGCCCACTCCATGCCATCAAAACATTATCTTGTTCAGATTGCTAATTAAGTTGAACCTGAGGTGCACTGAGATACAGTTGAAGGCACAGCCATTGTGCCGCCAGCAATTCTGCAGGATTCAACCTTTATCATGTTTCCTGTGGACTGTCCAATTCTGCAGAGCTATGGTAAGTCCTTACTGAAGGCTGCCTCTTTTACCTCCTATTCCCATGGAATGTGGGGGAAACCGCGACAAGTGAAGTATCAGATTTTACAGGAACTAGTAATTTGCATAAGGGAAGGGACATTAATATGTGTCAGACAAAAGTAAAATGGAAAGCAGCCAATATCTTTACAACTAGCTTTCAGAAACCATGTGGAAAATATACGCAAAAGCTGATGCTTTAGTACAGTAGCTTGGAACTAGATTTCTGCTGCAAACAACTGGCAGCCCAGAAGAGAAATATTAATTAAGCTGGGTCTGGCTAAGCTTCGCAACATAAATGTATCCAGTGCATGTGAGAATCTGCTTTTTTGGGGAATTTTTGCAGGCATACAGCCAGTCTATTTAATCTGGAGTGAAACATATACAGTACATCCTTTTGCTCTTCAGACTCACAAGCAATTCTAAGAAAAAGCTTGGAGAATAATTTCCACTTCAGTTTTCTGCACAATAGATGTTATTGTTTCTCTTACTCCATATTTTTCCCCAAGGTTGTGCCTCTTGTTAACTGAAACACTGCACTATACTGGCACTGAAATCTACTCTCTATTGTTGCTATCTAGAGGGTGGGGAAAAGCTGCCTTTCACATCTGTAGGACACTCAGTGCTTGTGTTAAGAGTTGTGCTGTTCTCTTCACTGGAATGCTTATCCTACCCTGGCTCTATAGATGAGTCTAAATCCTATAACCAACAGTCATTTTATGGGAATTTGTAGCCTGACACATCTGGAGGAAAACAGGTTAGGGAAAGTTGATCTATTCTCTCTCTCTCTAGAAAACATAGCAAAGAACAATAAGGCAACTCACCTTTCCATCACCGCTTCTCACAAACAGCCCTTTAAAACCAACAACAACAACAGGAAATGACAGAAAGGCTAAAAGAGGCACAATGAGATTGCAATGGTCCATTTTTTGTTGAAACTTTTTTTTTCTAGTGTGGGGCTGTTCTGCAGATTCCAAAGATTTGAAAAATGAATGGGTGCTGCCCATCGAGATCAGAGGGAAGAAGGGCACAAGAGCTTCTAAAATTACCCACCCTGCTATAGACTTGGGGTATAATTAAGACATTACATTTTATCATAACAGAAAAGCCATCCTGATTTTGTTTTCTATTGTTCTTCCTCCTCAGACATATCGGAAAAGACCTTCAAGAATCGACACAAAAGAAGCCCCCCTGGTGACAGAAATCAGGAATGGCTTCCATAAAGACTACCTAATGGCAGCTAATGGTGCACTGAATAACAAAAAAGCACAATAAGTATAAAGTAATATTAAATTGTAGTGTACAAAAGGCCCTCCTACATTTTTTTTCTAAGAAAAAGACTGAGTTGACCAGGCGATCATACCTAGCTTTGTACAAGTTTAGACTCAGTTTGGTTGCATTTATCCATTCTTCTATTCTGTTTAACTCATTATGTTTTAATAGTACAAAGTCCTTTTTAACATTTTGATATATGTCACAGTTAAAATGGTGTGGGCAGTTATTTCTTCACCCAGCCAAAACGAAGCCACATTCTGTCATTTTTTTACGATGGGTAGAATGCCTGACATTTGCTCCTTGGAAGGATGAAGGTCCAGTGAAAGTCTAGATGTGCTTTGAATGGAAACCTGACTTTTCAAAATTTGCAGCAGAATGCAGGCTGCTTTAAAGATTACTCGTTCTGCAGCATAATCTGTGTTGGAGAAAGTCTGTGTTCTATTATGTTTGCATGATGATGCAAGCCTTTTGTTGTGGTTGTTGACCCTGTATTTCCATAGATGTGAACTGCTTTTTGGAGGGAGGGCAGGAGAAGTGTCACTTCTGTCCTGAAAAGCTTTGGTGTTGCCTTCGTAGAACTAAAAAGACTGCTCCCCTCTCCATTGTTCCAGCAACAGGGATCACGCTTTAGCAAAGCAAAGGGAGCAGTAGGCTTTCCTACAAGCGTGTGTAAATTAAGGCATTGAGCCAAATTGAAACCTATCTAAATAGTGGCATATGAGCTTTTTAACCTATGCTACTTCAAAACTGAATAGGACTGATATGTCACCTGGAAATCACCTCTCAGCAAATGGGTTAGATCAGTGGTTCTTAACCTTGGGTTACTCAGGTGTTTTTGGACTGCAACTCCCAGAAGCCTTCACCACCAGCTGTGCTGGCTGGGGTTTCTGGGAGTTGCAGTTCAAAAACAGCTGAGTTAAAGCTGACATATTGAAAGCTGGCATGATACCAAGGTTAAGAACCACTGGGTTAGACCATAATGCTGACATACTGAAAGCTGGCATGACCATGCAGCAAGAGTTCATCACAACCTTATTACTGCTTCTTACATTTTAAATTAGTTAGCTACTTTCTTAGTTAAATGCAAAGCGTTTTACATCCCTCTCTTGCCTTGCACTTAAAATGTATGTGATTGTAGACACATATTTACTAGGTGAATCTTAACATGTTTTATCTTGTGAAATTATAGTGTATAACAACGAAGCCTATTTAAAGAGAGATTACTATTTTGTGCAGTCACACAGTTAGCAAGGCTTAGAGTGCAGTACCATACATGCTTATCTGGAATGAAATAACAATTTCAGCAGGATTTATTTTCAAGTAAGGGAGCCTAAGATTGTGGTCTTGGAGCTTTAGAATTTTAAGGATGACAAAACAAACCAGCCCCATGCTTTCAAAGAGAGTCCTTCTTATACAGGCTTTAGAATTTTAAGGATGACAAAACAAAACAAACCAGTACCCCTAACAGAGAAACTTGGGAAGGCTGTGGGAACAAATGACAGATGTAGAAAACAGAGTTGAAACACATTTCATCCTTCCACGCAAACACTTCTTTCTGTGCTCTTGCCAAGCAACCAAAGGACTCATTTAGGCTTATTCACCTCATCTCACATGAATTGGCCTATTGCCAGAATGGTAAAAAGTAACATGCTGGCACACCATCATAGTGTCCTCATAGCATGTAGCCCCTCCTTTCTGAAGTGTTTATTCTGTAGCTTCACAGCATGCCACTAACAAGGAAGATCTTCCTTCCCTGTGTTTTAAGGGCTACTGTGAAAGCTAGCAGTGACAAGACGTCAGCTTGGTGCACTTTAGTATGGATTTTTATTCAGTAAGGTATTTTACAGTATATGTGTTTGAGCTCTCAACTGTCGCTTCTATTTCATGAATGAAACTTGACAAAGTGGGATGCCCAAAGTTGTGGTCTTGACTAATGCACTGGTAGGGCCTGGACCAAGCTTTACCTATTCATGTCTCCATTTCTAGGCCTGTTAACAGGTTTTGAGGAAGCATTCCTTCCCTTCCAACTTAGAAAACTCTTCAGCAGTAAATTTTGTATGGCTTCAGTTTTCATGCACAGAAATTGGGGGGAAAACCATGGGGAAAGAGGTGACATAAGAGAATATGGAAAAATGGGTGTGATGCAGGTGGAGGTGCCAATTGTAGAACATGCTTGAAACCTAGAAGGAAAATGGCTGTGATCTTAAACATATTTGCATGAAAGTGAATCATACTGAAATCAATAGGATTTACTTTAGGGACAACACAAAAGGCAGCAAATAATCTTGTTTTTCTAAAAGTACAGTGGTGCCCCGCATAGCGACGATAATCCGTTCCGGAAAAATCATCGCTATCCGGATTCGTCGCTATGCGAAAAGAAAAAGCCCATAGGAATGCATTAAACCCCGTTTAATGTGTTCCTATGGGCTTAAAACTCACCGTTATGCAAAAATCCTCCATACAGCCGCCATTTTCGCTGCCCGGTATGCGAGGAATGGGCGCAAAAACACTGCGGGCAGCCAATTTTTTAGGCGGCCATTTTGGAACCGCCGATCAGCTGTTTTAAAAACATTGCTATGCGAAAATTGGTAAGCGAAACAGCTTACCAATCATTGCAAAGCGATGTTTTACCATTAAAAACATCGCAATGTGATTGCTTTTGCAATCACAAAAAATCCGTCGCTATGCAGATTCGTTGTTAACCGAGGCGCTCGTTTAGCGAGGCACCACTGTACAGCATATTACCATTGACGGACATTATGTGAAAATGTTATCTACCTATAAGACACAGGAGAAAAAACAATTTAACAGTGGACTAGGCAACCTGCTACCCTCCAGGTATTTTCGAACACAACTGCTGCATGACCAGTGCTCAGAGATAATGGAAGCCATATTTGAAAGTGTCTAGAGGGCATCAGGTTACCAATCTTTTAACAAGTAATTTAGAAAGGGTTAATGATGATGGATTCACACAGAACATTAGTATTAATCTTCACAGCCATCACCTAATGGGAATTTAAGTGGAACTGGAAAACAATGACAGTGTAGGCATTTTTTCCAACAATGGTGAATAGCTTAAATAACTTCAAGTTCGAAATGCAATTAACCATATGAACCTTTCATGAACATTCCTTGGGGCAACTACATATCCATGGGCAAGAACTAAACTGTAATATTTTCCACCAGTCGCTATGCATGATTAAAATTAATCCAAAATTAATCCAAATTTATTTGAATGTCTCAGTAGTGGGAGCCAACTCTACAGACCCCATCTGTGACAATCTGTGTGTGCTGTTTGCAATCACTGAAAATATAGCTGCTCAATCTGTGTGAAAACCACTCTCCAGAAAACATGGTTCCACTTGATTTCTGACGCTTGCTGACCACAAAGGTCAAAGCCTGAAGAAAACAATTGAGTTTTACTGTGGGACACTTTGAATGTAGAAGCTGCAGAAATCCAACATCAACAATATTGATGAGCCATTGTTCTCTTAGAAAAATAAATATTTCACAAGTAAGTTCAGGTTTGAGAATTTAGTGCCAGCAAACATTTAAGGTCTATCTTTGTTTTTTGCAGTTTAAGGCTTTTTTTTAAAAAAAAAGAAGCATTGCCTTACTCAATCTTTCAAAGGGCTGAAAAAAGAAGCAATGTTAAGAATTAAAACCACTTGATAAATGGTAATCAGGTATGTTCTCAATACACAAAAAATTATCAAAATGCTGCTATTTTAAACAACCACTAGAATGATAACTTTTAAAAAAACTTTGTGTAAACATTTACCTTTGAAAATAAACACATTTTACAGTCAGTGCATTTCAAAGTTGTCTCTTTTTGCTATGTGGCAGTAAATTGGCAGAATCTTCATCCTTCTTTAGTAAAAGGGAATCTTAGTTTGGTTTCTCTATTCCATACGGTCCATTTTTGTAGCAGACCTCTATGGCACCTGTATTCCTTCAGGAAGAAGTACAAAACTACCAGTTTGTTGTGTTGTTTAGTCGTTTAGTCGTGTCCGACTCTTCATGACCCCATGGACCAGAGCACCCCAGGTCCTCCTGTCTACCAATTTGCTAATCCTGAATTTCCCCTTTAAGATGGTGGTTACATGACATTTCATCATTAAGATCTACCCTCTGTTGCTACCTATTCTCCCAGGATCATTAAATATCGACCATTTTTATTTCTGAAATTGAAAAGCGTGTACCCCTTTGGTTTTTATAAGCAATTACTTTTGGACCAGAGCAAGAGTAGGAAGATGTCTTACACCACAGTCAAAATCTTCAAGTCTATCTAGCTCAGAACTGTTGACATTGACAGTCTCCAAGGTTTCTGATGAACTTTCTCTGCACTGAGATGCTAGGGACGAAAGCTGGGACCCTGCTGCATACACACCATGCATTCTAACACTGAGCTTTAACTCAATACAAGATCATCTTGTGACTAAAGCTCTCTTGTAGCACCCCAGAGAGAGAAAGACAACAGCTGTGAAGAGTATCATTGCAAGTAGCTTTGTGACAAAAAGGATTTGGTCTGACTAGTCACGTATTACACCATGGCTTTTTGAACAGGAAAGTAAACACGGAGCTATAGGAAGTATTATTTTAGTTGCTAACATGCTGCAGAACAACAACCCGATTTTCAGGTCTTCCAAAGCAAGGGGCAAATATGTTCTCTTCTAGATTATCCCTTCTTCTATCATGTTTCCCCAAAAATAAGACAGTCTTATATTAATTTTTGCTTTAAAAATGCATTAGGGCTTATTTTCAGGTGATGTTTTATTTATTTTTTCATGTAAAACAATCTACATTTATTCAAATATGGTCCTGTCAACTTCTTCTGGTTCCTGCACAATAGTGAAGGGCAGGGTTTCACTTAACTGGGGCTTATTTTTGGGGTAGGGCTTATATTATGAGCATCCTAATGACTCCTACTAGGGCTTATTTTCAGGTTAGGTCTTATTTTCAGGGAAACAGGGTAGGTATGTTTCCACAAAATCTAGTACCTTAATTTGTGATTAAGGACTCTTATACCCAACTCATTTGATGGCTGGAGAGTGTTTTAGAGTAGAAAGGCTAGGTGAATTTTTTAATTAGCCACCAGGGAGTAGGGACAAGAAATCTGAGCTGGGATTTGGACAACACAAAGTTGCATTGGATGGAAGCTTCTGTGACCAAAATAATAAAAAGACTTCAAATACAGCATTTAAACTACCATCCCCGGGNNNNGGGGGAGAGAACCAGGAAAACCATCAGTTTTGTGGTACAAGCAGTCATATCTTTAATTTGTTTACAAAACTTCTGACAGAGTAAGATCTTACAGTTATGAAATACACCCAATATAACTGACTGCTTTAAGACTGGAAATAAATCATGATTTGATGTGGAATATCAGGTATACTCTGCGTTTCAGCAATCTAATTCTGAAAACTCCTCAATACTATCCCCTGGTGGGCAAGAAAAAAGTTTTAACTCAGGTTAGCCTTAAAGTTAGCAGTGAGTAGTGTGAATGACTTATGATAAGTGTGGATTGAAGGTACTTATCCAATGTCTTTTAAAAATTATTCAGATACCATCTACATCTGATGGAGGCCTTCTACATTTGCTTAAATGAATTTTAGTCCGAAGTAACGGCAAAAATCTTGTTCCTCTCTTCTTTGTCATCTACTCCTTTGTGAAGCTGTGGGAAAAGAAAAGGTTATCCTGCTGGAAAACTTGTACTTACGAGTGGCTGCAGTCTGCAAACTTCAAGTACTCAAAACACAATTAAAGAAAATCACTGGCCAGGATCCTATTGGTATTCACATAAGATTTATGTGCCTTGCTGTGGCTAACTGAGGTGTGTCCCAGTTGCCTTGCTAATCATGTGCCCAACTGAACAATTGAGATATACCCCAGCACCTCATCACCTAGCCATGATGAGCCACAGTAACTTATACAAACCTCACATGAGTACCAGTATGATTCCAGCCAATGAATTGTAGTTTGTTTAAGGTTCCAATACTGAAAGGTTATCAACAACATGCTACTGTGGAGGTTTTCTAGCTCCTTTGTCTGATGAGAGTAACATTAAAATTAAAAACAGAGCCTCAACTCAATCCCAAATGAAGAGCAGAATTCATCACAACGTAACATTTTACACAAGATTCCTGTGCAATCTCTGGCTATGGTTCTTCTGTTCCCTGTGCTCTGATGCGTTTCTAATTATGAAAGGGGGGGAAATAAAATAGAAAAAGGGGAAATCATGCCAGTAATAGTATGTTGCAGTCAATGTTGGTGCTGTTAAGGGCAGAACTCTGGGGCAGACGTCCAAGGACCTGTTCAAGAGAATAACCAACAGCTGTCCCAAAGGCAGCAGGGCTGGCTTAGTACATTTTGAAGCAAGCGAAGTAATATTCATTACTATCTGGAGAGGGACATTATATGAGACTAGTAATTCTAAAGCAGTGGTTCCCAACCTTGTGTCCCCGGATGTTCTTGGACAAAACGCCTCCTAGAAGCCTTCACCACTAGCTGTGCTGGCCAGGATTTCTAGGAGCTGTAGTCCATGAAGATTTGCGGACACAAATGGATAAATTCTGTGCCAATAATATTGAAGGGATTGATGTGGGATGTCAAAAATAATTTAGTAAATTTCCTATTTATGAAGTAGCGTCCTAACAGGGAGCTCTGGTCATTTAGCCTAGGCATGAAATAGTACATTAATATTTGTTCTTTTAAGGGGTTGATAAATGTCATTTGATTCTGCACTTGTAATCATTGATGCAGATTAAAATGATGACTTCATGAACACTGAAAGAGCATGTTGAATCCTCTTTTTACCTTCCCCAGTTGGAGTACATGTGCTGAGGTAAAGACTGTAAAAAGGCAGTAGTGAAATAGAGGGGGATGTGAGGAAGCACAACTCCAGGACTTCTTCAGAGTTGGCATGACAACAGAAACCATGTTTAGAACATAGCTATAAATATCTACCTTTATATTTTGGGTAGTATCATCCAGGCTTCTTGTCCAGGACTGAATCCATGGACTGCATCCTGCAAAATAAGACATACTGGATAGAGCTGATTACCCCAATTTAGCACCCTCAGTTTCTTCAGCTGAAGAACACGAACACCAAAGTGATGTTCACCGTGGAAGAAGGGGAAAGAGAAACGAACACTGGGCTATTGTACACTACAAGATGTTTCCTGATGACACTGGTTGCCAACAGTTTTTAGAATATTGCAACCATCATCATCAGAAAACATGGAGTAGAGAAAAGGCTCTCGGTTCTCTTTCCCTCTCCTGAAACTGAAGTACTTCCTTATTCAGTGAAATTACATAGAATGTTGCACAGAATACACACAGAGAGAGAGATAACACATCACTGCATGTGGCTGTGTGAAAAGAGAGAATGTTGCACAGAATACACACAGAGAGATAACACATCATTGCATGTGGCTGTGTGAAAAGAAAAAGGCATAGTGCTGGTAATATCCAGGTGATGGGACATGCCACTTAGAACTTTTACCAACTGAAGGTACTTTGAGTAGCAATGAGATTACCATGTAAACAAACACAGAGTGACCTTCAGAACCCTACCTACAGAGGAAAAGTGTGCACGAGTAAACTTTTAAATTGTGCTCATTAAGCAGACAGCAAAAAGATAAAATACCTCTGCATTTGATGAATGCAAAAAGCATTCAGCTTACTGTTCAATTTGTTGGATTGTTCAGTCCAAAATTCCTGAAATGGATGTTATTAATATGAGCCAGACATCGAAGAATTAAAAAATGATAAAAAAATCAAAGTTTTTAAAAGAAGTATACACACCACAGTATCTTTTTCAAGGCTCAAGAGAAACTGTGTTCTTTTCTCAAGGTTGTCAAGTTCCTGAACAACAATCTTGTGGAAGTTCTCCAATTCATTCAGCCTGTTGCAGACAATCATAAGCCATGATATTCCTTCAGCAAAATGGTATTGGACATAGCTACCTGCCAGACCAATGGTAATTTCTAGCACCTAGGCTACCAGATCCTATCTAGTTTATTTTATGTGCTTTAAAAATACCTGACCATTGGCACCTGACAATGTTACAAACTTTTCAATGTGAAAAGAAACAAAGCTTTTATTCATGTTCTCATCTGAAACCAATTGTGGATTTGAGTTTTATCAGGTTATATCTACTCTTTTTAACTCTTCTGACCAGAATCCGACTGGGGAATTATGCAGGCATTAAGAGTATTTGCCTAAATTGCAATGATGAATCAGCACTAATTAACAAGTTGCAACTTTCATTCCAGTCACACAGCCAGGAATACTCATTAATTACTGGCAATTCACTATAATAACTGCAATTTACAGTCAACCCTTGACTTATGAACGTCCCTAGATACAAACTTTTTGATTTACAAACGGTTCCGTTGGCAAAAATTGGCATCGACTTGCGAACGGTGCTCGACCTACGAATGAGGTCGAGGCTCCGTTCGAAAGTCAATGCCATTTGAGAGCTCTGAAGTCGCTGATCGTGGCAGTGGGGACCCCCAGGGAGGTCACCCATGGCAGGGAGAAAGGGTGGGAAATTGGAATTCCTAGCTCTTTCCCCCTGCCTTTTTGCCTTTTGAAATGCTGGAATGGATTAATTCTGTTCCCATGCATTTCAATGGGAAATGGTACTTCGACTTACGAACTTTTCGACGTACGAATGTCGTTCCAAAATGGATTAAGTTCGTAAGTTGAGGTACCACTATATTAAATCACACCTACACTTACAGTGCAAATGCCCATTAGGATTCTGGCCTATTTGATGCAATTGGTTGCGTATCACACTCTCCAACAGCATGAAGAGCAGTATGTAAAGTAAAAATATATAAATATGTCTTGACCAAACTAAAATGCAGATTACAGAAATGGCTCCATCTACCTCAATAATTTAACACAGAAGTATGTGTATCACTCCATCTGTGTTGACAGGGTTGAAAATAATATAAACATCTACAGAGAGAAGGAAGGCAGGCTTACAAAGTCAAACTATTACCTATCAAAGCAAATACTCCTTAGTTTTTCTGGAAACAGATCTTTTGAGATGCCAGGATCTGAGCCTAGGGCCCTTTTCTCCCTGTGTTCCTTTCCAAGTCCCTTTTGCTAAGATCAACATAAGTTAGCTTGGCTGATAAAACTCAGAGCTGCAGTTCAAATACAAGATGTGCTAGAGAACAGTTCCCTTTAACTGAGATGGAGCAGGTAAGCAATGCGCGAAGAATACTGCTTTTCTCCTGTTTCACTAACTTAAACACTTTTTAAACACTGAAATAGCCAAGGTTCATCTGGTGAGTGGTGAGTGCTGAAAACTCTTCATCATCCTCAACTGTTATGGCCAACAACAAGTATGTAAGAACTCAGGCTTTCACTTATGCTTAGCAATAGTCCTTGCAGAAAAGATTGTGACGCTTAAATTCCACTGGATGGACACCACCTACCGACTTTGATGGATTTGACTCAGCAAGTCAGATAAATTCTGTCCAGGTGCCTTCAGGACATTTTGGGTGTAAATCTCCATCTTCTTGTACCTAGACTAGACCACAAAGCAAATTAGAATTTAATTTAGAGATATTTAGAGATGGAAAATGCCTGTCTGTTGACATATTATGTACATAAGCAATACACAGTGGATAGAAAACTACTTGGTTTGTTTGTTTATTGTAAATTTTGATAAAATACAGTTACCCAAAATGTTTTCTTTAATTCACTTGTGAAGTTCTCAAATGCAGCAATGACTCCTGAATCCCCAATTTCTTCCTCAAATGTCTTTGTGAAAAATGTATCATCCTTTAATTCATTTGAAGGTTTCCCTGCAAAAAAAAGGGAACATAGCTCACCAAGTTGTATGCACAAGAACAGAGAGGCCATTGTCTAATTCAGCCATGAAGTCACAGAAATCAACTGGTTATGAAACCAGTGGTCAATGTAACATATTTTTTTAAAAAAGATTTCCTTGGATCTGTGTATGCTCAACAAGAATAACAATCTTTGAAGGACTCCTTTAGGATTGCAAACTGCAAATGAGATACAGCTCTTCATTATTGCCATCATTACTGCACAATCTTGGAACAAATATCACTGTGATATGGTTGCAACTATCTTATTTCAGAAAAATAATGCAAGCCATAACGGGAAGCTGATACATGATACAGTTTGAAGTTATTTAATAGTACTCATTAGAGTACTTCAGGCATCTGGTTGCCCACGGAAGAACAGAATTCTGGGAGCCCTGTCGGTCTGACCCCCCCTGCTCCAGGCAACATGGCTCCCCTCAAGGCAACAGATAGATCAACAGGGATTTCCACCAGGATTTTTGTCTACAATAAAAGGAGAGACTATAGACTGGTACGGTGACTGCTTTTATCCCATGCTGAATCTGCAAATTCCTTCTTGCCTTGCTTGTACTGGGCAGTCAGGACCACTGGGCATTCCCATTTGGCCTAATTTTTTGAATGATTTACTTCATCGCCCACCCTGAAACATCACGCCACTTTTGCTTGATGAAGAGATCTAGACGACTCTTGTGTTATTTATAAATTTTGGATGATCCAAAAAGTTACCCCTAAAGAACTCGCCCTGTGCTGAGGGATCACACAATTATTATTTTCCCTATTTGCAATTTTAACCTTTAAAGGCTTTAAATGGCTTTGAACCTGGTCAGCTAAAAGACTTCCGCCCTTATGTACCTACCCAAACCTTAATATTGTTCTTTAGAGGCCTGCTCTAAATGCCCTCCAAAAACGAACGAAGAGTTAATCTCCAGAGGCAATTGTGGCGCCTCATTTAAGAAGCAGCTTGCTAGTCCCCGTCATCCCATTGGTCTGTTTAGAACTAGGTGAACACCTTTTTTTACTCATATGAGTTTTCTCAGTTACTTATAGTTTACAGTTTTAGTCTCCAGTTCATGGCTATGTTTATATGCACCAGTATTTACTGGCCAGAATCCTATTATAAAATACTGTATGCACAAGGGAAGGTGTGCAAGTAGTTTTCTGAAATTTCTTGCCATTTGTGGTGAACCTAAGTTTGCAACTGAATGCATGAGCTGGGTACATCTGAGTAGGGAACAGTCAACCCAAACCACTGTGTATACCAGTTAGACAATTTTGTGTTTACACCAAGCAAACCAAATGGGGTCTCTGGCACTGTTTTGTATTTAATTTCATTGTTGTTTGTTTCATAAGCAGCCCACAGAGAAGCTCTGTTTTACGGAATGTGAAGCAGACCCAGGTTGCTTGGCTTGCAATGATCACAAAAGTCTCATCACCTTTTTCAGCCTCCTCTTCCACCTCTAGGGAATTAAAGAGTCTTCTTGGTTCAAATAGAATGCTGGGAGAGCAGTTACTCCTAGGTGTCCTCTCAGGGCGTTTTGAGTGCTTCTTATTGGGACCAACTAACGAATCTAGCAAAATATAATTCCATATCCAATTGTCGGTACATAGCCTTACAAAGCTTATGGAAGAAGGCCCATTCATTCTGCCTTCTCTGCAGTGACACTATACACCCTGAGTGGATGCACAAGCTTATAGTCTCCATGGTGGCCATGGAAGGATTGCTTTTCATGCCCTGACCCTGCAATACCTGGTCAAGAGGCTTTTTAGACTATTCCGCTTCCACTTGTTCTCCCTCCCCTTGCCCAATCCCCTCAAGCGCCGCATTTTCCAGCCTGGTGGCAGGTCCTGGGCTCAAAAATTTGCCTCTTTTTAATTATTTAAAAGATAATACCCAATGTCACTTTCACAAAGCTTAGTTTGGTTAAACCTAAATACAGCTGTATCCTTAAAAAATAAGCCCCAGCTGGATGTAGCTTCCGAATTAAATGATGTTAGAGCCACATCATCAGGATACTCTGAACAGAGAATGGCATTTTACATCAGGAGTGGGCAGCTTTGGAGGATTCAGGAGCCATTTTAACATCCTCCTCCTCCTCCTCCTCATTTCATCACCATTTTAGAATGGCAGAGCTGGAAGGGACCCTTATGGATCATCGAGTCCCTCTCGAGGGATCAAGGAGGCACAGTGGAGGAATCGAACTCCCAACCTCTGAGCTATCCGCCAGAGATGTAAGCCACTGAGCTATCCAGGAGTGGAACCACCATGGGCTGTACTACCCTCTCCTGTTCAAAATAGAAATCGTGGAAATCCACTTCTTCCAAAAACATTATTTCACTCTTTACAAAAAAATAAAAATAAAAATAAAAGAACTAAACTAAAGGCATGGGGACCATGTGCATTGGTTTAAAGGAAAAGCATACTTCCTAGAGTGCAATTCTTCATGTTTCAACCAATATCAACGGTGTGACTGTGTGTTTTTAGGGGACCACGGAATCAGCAGGATCGTCCCTGCTGCCTTGACCTGTGTTTTGCCGATCCTTGCCTTTACAGGATCAATCAGGAAAGTCCATGTGGGTTACTTTGTAATGATGGTAACTGTTCATATGAACTGTATCACAGCCCTGAGCTGCAGTGAAATGGGAAAGAAAGAAGGACTTTCCTCCTTATTTTTAGACTGGAAGCTGGTTATGAAGGTTTGGTTTTGGCTTTCGGCTTCTTCCACATTTTGCTTCTCCAGTACTCATTCTACCTGAAAGCTTCCGCTTTGATATGAAGACTTTATCTTTCAGAGGCAGAGTGCTAGATGCCGCTTCATATTTCTGAGTTAAAAGAAAGAAAATGTTTAGATCTTTCTAACAAAAAATTGTATTGTTTACCAGCATTATAAATGGAAGGTGCCATAAAAAGAGTACAATACTTCTAATTAAAGAGGTATATAGAACACATCTATTATATTATAATGCATGCACGTACATACACACAAAATATAAGAATATTTATTACAACCGTACCGTGCTTTCTCCAACATCCGAATTACTGGGAGAAGAATGACTGCTTAATGGCAAAGGGGCCTCCGCCATATCCAAGGCATCTAAAAGAAGCAATCTGAATTTGTAGGGCATAGTGCAGATGCCTGAATAAAAATTAAATCATACTGTATCAACCCCCATGGCCTGGATGCTGGCCAAGGGACATCAAGGTGCTTTCCTTTCCAACTCTCACTTGAACCAGCATTCTGTAATTAGACAGAGAAGCCAGCCTCTAAGGGTCCACCTAACTCACTCAGCATTCCACCCAATGCGTAACTGTACAGTCAGTGAAGGCCAAACAGTGTTTTTATGCACAGCTATATGCAGTTCTGTACATACACATACACATATACCCCCACTTCTTGGCCAACTCCAGAAATACTCTGGGAGAACACAGAACAGAGATTATTCCTTTCAGAGAGCCATTATTCAGCTTTTCCTCTATAACACATTAGCTGAAATCCAGTAGTAAGTCACAACTAGAAGAGGCCACTGAATCAATGGGAATTTGGTGAGTCAATGGCTCTGTAAGTTCCACTGACTTGACAGATCTACTCTAGCTGCTACTTACTACTGAATTTCAGCCTGTGTTTTATAGAGGAGAAGCTAATCTGTGAAACATTAAATTAAATCCCATCTCAGGACCACAGGATGTAATGATACAGATATAAAAGTAGTTCAAAAGGAACAAGCGTCACATGTAAGGAACAACTTACTTTGTTTAATGTGTGATAAAGGAGTTGATGAAATTCCAGGGGGCTGCACAGCTGCAAAGTTATGCATCTCTGTGGCACTTGGCTTTGTTCTTCTCTTTACCTTTTCTCTGTACAGTGCTGAATTTCCCAGCTGGAAAAGAAATTAAAAGCATCAAAGTTCTCCCCGGTAGAAACACCTACTAGCAAAGTGTGATGTACTTCATGCGCTACATTTGCATGCCACCCATTAATAAAAGTTCTCTGTGCAGCTGACAATGTATCCAACTCCAATCCTTTGCGAGTGATATGTATCTACCCATCCATTTAAAGAAACATACCACATTTCGTTTTTACACAAAAGATTTAATTAACTCGCTGTACTACAACACTTCAAAACATCTAGTGTTATACTGCACCTGGAATGCAATTCACTTGACATGAAGAGGCACTTAGACACCAACCAGCTGTTTTTTATGGTTCTTTAAGATGTATTTACTAAACACATATTTTCAGAATCATACACTAAGTGACAACTCATCAAGATATTAATCTACCAAGGAAATAAAAGTGATACCAGGCCATCAAATAAAGGTTTCCCCAAACATTTCTCTCCCTCAGCTATAAAAGCCCAAAGAGCATCTTTTTAAAAAAGAGAAAGAGTTCCAGAAATCCTGAGCATTTCCCAGTGAGAGTTCCACAATTACAAGAGAACCATCAGTAGTGTTTCTATTGGGGTGGGCAATCAATGGCTCAACTGCATTGTGTTGCTGCAACAATTAACACCATTCCAGACTTCATTCAGCTGTGCTAGCTGGAGCTGAGGGAAAGTCCGAAAATACTGCATGCTCACTTCTGCCAGATGGATACAACAGGTGATATTGGGGAAGCATAATCCAGAAGGAATTTTCACAAACAAACTGTGGCATGCAGCTACATCAGTGTGTTGTTGTTGTTTTTTAATTCCAGGAGACTCAGTCTGGCTTTCAAAACTAGTAATGTAGGGGAGGGCTTTAAACCTTTCCCCTGCTGTGGGTCCTGTGCCTGCTTTCAAATGAAACATTTCTAAATACTTGAAAATGCTGGAGCAAATGGCAAAATAGCAATCACTGGTATGAGATGGCAAAAGAAGAGCTACGTGATGTTTACATGGGGACAACATGGAGTTTTCTGACCTTGCTAGGGCTCAAAAGTGATCAGGCTAGAATCAGATAAAATGCAACATGGAGACAAATCTATCAAATTAGATTGAAAATCCCACTCATTTGGAATTTGTATAAGCCACATTATAAAAAAAACCAATAATCCGTATTCCTTATCTCCTACTGAAGTGAGCTGCAGCCCCTGAAAGCTTACGCCAAACAAATAAAAACAGTAAGTCTTCAAGAGCCCCCAAGACTAGGTTTCCCCACTCCTCCTAAACATACTGTTATAGCTACCTCTTGGAAGTTTTCACATTTCCTTACTTTCTTTGAGTGATGATCACTGCCACTGCTTGGAGAAGACAACGGCAGTACTAAAAGAGAGAAAGAAAAACAGACTAATGCAAACATGATCAGCAACTGTGGACAGAATATAGCTTCACAGATCTGCTTATGTAGCGAACCTGAAGTAATATGAGTAACTGCTTCCTGCTGATTGGGTGACATTCAAGAGTTTGAAACACTGATTTTATCAGATAGTTTTATAGATCTTTAGTTTTACACTCAAAGATCTGGCACAGATAGAGAAAAAATAAAACTTTGAACAAAACAGCTCAGTCATTCTGCAGCATTTTACACTTAGATATTTTTTAAAGAAGCAGTCATGTCAGCTTTAAAACAGATGTCAATAGCCTGATGCACCAGGAAATGTGAAAATGTGAGCATAAAATGCAAAACACAAACTGTGACACCAACAACCAAATATTGTGTAATTGTTATGCAATGTAATGCATTCTCAAAGGTTTTCACGGCCGGTTGTAGGTTTTTCGGGCTGTTTGGCCATGTTCCAAAGGTTTTTCTTCCTAACGTTTTGCCAGTCTCTGTAGCTGGCATTTTCAGAGGACAGGGGTTAGAACTAGAACACAGACAGAGACTGGCAAAACGTCAGGAAGAAAAACCTTCAGAACACGTCCAAACAACCCAAAAAACCTACAACCATGTTATGCAATCGTTATTCTACCATAGCAAATATATCACAAGTACATTTTCCTGTATCTGCATGAGTGCTTGCCATGCATCCAAACAAGCAAACACATATGCAGACAAGGTAGTCATGTCTCAAAACTTCTATTAGCGATTGCTGCCATTCTTAACACAGTGGCTCCTTTCCGGCTTTCGTTCTTCATTATGGACCTCTGCCTCTCTCCACCAATATACCAAAACTAATAGGAATGCCAACTAAAGGTCAACATTTTGCCATAATTATTTCTTTTTAACACGTCTCAAACCTTGTTGTGCTGCTTTTTTTGTTATAAATTGAGAATTATTTAGCCACTGCAAGAGCAAGCCCAAGTCAATCAGAGGCCAATAGTTAAACAAAGGTTAAGTAAACCTGAGTGCCTATACTTGTAGGTTATAACCACAAACTAACTTCTGAGTAAATGCAAACCAATTCAGGAAGATGTACAGTATTCTCAAATGAGCACAACATGAACCCAAATTCCATTATTCAGGGACATTTTTTCAACCAGCAGCTATTTGAAGCCATGCTGCACACTGCGACACACACGTCTACCTTACCTTTTAAACTGCTTCTGACCCTTGGCCTTTTACGGGTATAGTCAACTGTTTTGGGTGTTGACTTTTTCTGAGAGTCCAGTATCCAGCTTTTCTCACTTGTACTGTTGCTTGGAGTTTCTTGGTTGCTTTCTGAAAACAGATGATTCTTGTAGCTGGTAGACTTGGGGGGGGGGAAGAGATGACAAACGTCAGTTCCATCCTGGAATTGCTACTTTGCACCCTTTCACAAAAGAAGAAGCACTTCAAAGGCAACATTAACAGGCAAGTCTAGCTTGGCAAAAGCCATTTCTGCCTCGCTCATTTCGTAATAATTTAAAATATTTTGGAGTCTGTTGTTGAATTTAGAAACTGTCTGCTCAAGGAAATGTACAAGATTTTAAAATAATCAAAAGAATTGGACCACATAATCTTGCCCGCACCCTTAAAAACAAACATGGTCAGCCAGCATCCACACTATACTGTACACTTATATACTAGCTGAATCCTACAAGACTGTCTTCCCATCAGAATCAGAGCCTTAGAAGAAAATGGCCTCTATTTCAGACCTCACTGCAGTGAAAGAGGGAATGCCACAGCAAGCCCCACCATCCCCAATGACTTTCCAATGATTCTGGGAGAAATACCTAGGAACAAGCACTTCTAGGGCTATGAAGTAGGCATGCAAGAACTGTGGAATGCATGCATGTTGAACTACAAACCCTATCATACCTCATCATGGTCTCTGCTAGCGAGGGCTGATGGGATCTGCAGTCTAACACTGCTTGATGGATTATGCAGTCCAAGGCTTGACCCTAGGGTGGTTATTACCATGAGGCAGACAGAGGAAAAAAGAACTCCCCCCCCCCCCCCCGGTTTCATTTACCTCCTAAGGCAAAAAGTTATTCTCCTCTGACAAAATGTAGGGTTTTCAGGCATGTGAATTGAACACCTCAGGCCTTGGAGTTTTGTTATCCATTACAAGATTATACAGGCAGAGATGCCATTTCAGGAGGAGGGCAGTGCGAGACACACAGCAAGGCTTCAAGGCCTACTCTCAGAGACATTCCAGACTAAAACCATATTCAGATGTTAATATTCAGATATACTGTATTCAGCAGAGGGAGAACTGCAGCCTCATCCTGCCCTTGTTTCTGTTACCCTGATTGTGAAGAGGGAGGCAAGCTTGAACGGGACCCCAACTTCTGATATCTGTGAGGGCCCCTATTCATGGTAATGCCTGAAGGGGGCTTGAGAAAATGAGGGTTCTGAATACCTAGTCTCCTGTCAGACTTATTGCTCCCCAGTATTCAGGAAGCAGCAGTACTGAAGGGGGCTTGAGAAAATGAGGGTTCTCAATACTTAGTCTCCTGTCAGACTTATTGCTCCCCATGTATTCAGGAAGCAGCAGTACAGTGGGGGCTTCAGTGATTGTTCCTCATTTAGTGGTTATAGTTTATGCTTCAACAGGGCTTAAAACTGTGACAATGCAACATATGTTTAAAACATTTGTATCTTCTTCTCTGGATCCTGATTCCTAGTGAATGGATACATTACCAGCCTTCTCTCAGACTTGCTCAGCTCCAATTTTCCTTTTTCAGAACTCCTGTGCACAACACAAATAAATGAATTAAAGAGACCGTTGTGTGGTTCTGTATAACAACACACCTGGTTACTAAATGCAACTCCTCTCAGATCCAATCCCCACCTGATCTTTCTTGCCAGTTTTGCCTCACATGTCAAAACACCCTGGCTGAGCACCAATAAGTATAAGAATATGGAACTAGAACTTGACCACTCGGGTCCAAACTCCCAATGTGCCACAGAACCTACAAAATGATCTTGGCCTACAAACCTTCTCACCTCATCAGAGGATTGTTCCCAGCTTAAAATAGGAAGAGAAGAACCATGTACTTTGCATTTGTCCTGTGGACTGAAAAGCAGACTACAGTATAATTAAACAAAGGTAGAAGGTAGCAAATGTGGATTGAAATGGATGGAAAATGCTGCTAGAGCCAGTAGGGTTTTAAGAAATTATTCTAATTGCAGGCTCTTACGGTTCTTCTGAAATCCCCCTCACATTCAAAAGTAGTTGGCTTTATTAGCTCATGGGGATTTGCCGCTGTGAACGTAAAGCCCACAAAAGTATGAACAATTAACTGCACAATTCTTTAGATAGTGGCTGTGCAACTGCATTTCAAAATAGCCTTGCATCTATTTCCAGCAGGAAGAAATGACTGAAATAGATATTAACAAAGAATTAACTCAGTATTAATGGTATTCTATTTGTAATATATGGTGTGAAACCTCCAGTATTATGTAAGTAGTCTTCCTCTTTCTCTGCTTACCCAAGAGTCCCAATGCCCTCCCCTCCAATCTGTCCTGTGAGATCCCTCAACCTTTTGAAGCACATCTGGGGGGCTCAGGGGGGCACTGCATAGAGGAGGGTAGATTTATTTTTCCCAGCTGGCTGGAGGGTTCTGGGGGCTGTAGTCCAAGAAAGACCTCCCTAAGCTCTACCTGGGACAAAGAGAAAATATAAACTTTTAAATATCCAATGAAAATTAATTGGAGAGGATTCTATCATATCCTATATCTACTGGAAAATATTTTTTAAACTATAAGGACAATGGGAATTGTACTTTAGAACTATTTCAACAATGGCATTGGACACCTCATAAATAACATATTTTTGCCACTTATGCCAACAGTGTCAGTTCTGCTGACAGACAGACACAACTGGGTAGAATCCTGTGCTAACATTTTCTATGTCCAAAGTTCTCAGCTGTTCTCACCCAATGATTTTCACCAAGGCTGCTTGGTTTCCATCAAATGACTGAAAGTCTCTGGCCCTCTTATCTGCAGATCAATTTCCATGCATAGGGGATACCAGTTAAGAGTTTCAAGAGAACCTTGTCCTCATCCAGAAATGGAAATCAAGCCTCTCAAGTATTCTATTAAAATGCACAAAAGGTTGAATTCGGAACGCACACTTGGGGTCCAAGACAGGACAATAGATATGTAGAGGAGAAGGTTAGCAAAGGAGAGCAGACATTTGTCAGGTCTCTTCCTCTGACTAAATATTAAGTGAACGCAGTAATACTGACACAACCTCATCTGTCCCCCACCGGGGATCAGAGGTAAATCACCTTTACCTCTATCACAAAAGTCTGTCAAAAACATTTAGGAATGAATTTTATGGAAAGCTCCTCTTCTTTTTGTATCTCTGGTTTCTGCCACATGTAAACTTGCCAACAAAATCACGTGCCACACATTTTTAGGGCCAACAAGTTTTATCTGATATAAGCACTCCTGAATTGTAATCCACATCTTCAAAGATGTATGAGAAGTAACCACTCATTGGAAATTTCCCACTACTCAAACTACTTTACTTCACAGTCTAAAAACCTTCCCAACTCACTCCTTCCATTTCTTTCAGCTTTCCCTTTCTGGATTATTATCCTGCTTAACAGGATACACTTTATTGTTAATTCTGTGCAACATGAGAAACAAAACCTCTTACAACTTGCACTAATTGTGCAAAATGATTAAAAGAATTTCAGCGTAAAAAAAATCCTCTACCTCTGCAGAGTAGTTTTCTGGACAAATACTTTTTGCTTCATCTCAGATACCTTAAAACAAACAGAACGAAGGATTATTTCAAGGAGAGCTTCTTAAAAAGGGAGAGAGGGAGCACAAACAAGACCAGCATAAAGATTCAGGGGACAAACTGGGAGATGAGCAGAAGACTCAGAGCTGATTCTTCCTTCATACAGAACTTTACTTTACAAACCAGGTTATGTTCCAGGCACTGAAGCAAGATATGTCTATTTTATTAATAAATCATCAATAAGAAACCAGTATATGGTTTCTTTATATGTATCCAGTATAGAATCTGTACGTTCTTGCAGCATATTAAATGAATATCATATAAAGGAACAGGAAAAAAGTTGGTCCTTTGAATAGTTCTTTTGCAAGTTTTCAAATATCCAGGAAAGTATGCATAAAACTCAGCACACTCACATATATTTGAAAAATTCAATGAAAATACTGTCACTCTCAGTATTCTACTCAGTCCTCTAGCAAACTCTCTGACAAAAATGAATGGGAGATCTTAACTATTTACTCATTTCTTATTTGAGACATACAAAGAACTGAAGGAACTAGAGAAGATCAAGTGTAAGGAAGTGTCACTGGAGACCAAGGCTGACATCAAACACATTACTGTGCTCCTGATTATGACCTGCAAATGTGAAAGCTGGACAGTAAAGAAAGCTAACAGGGAAAATAATTGATCCATTTAAAATATGGTGCTGGAGGGCAGCTTTGTGGATAAAACTTCAGTGATAGAAAGACAAACAGATAGGCTCTATATCAAATTTAGCATCTAAAAGGAAAAATTACGAAACTGAAGCTGTCATATTTTGGACGTATCATGAGAGGATGAGACATGCTGGGAAGACAACAAGCTAGGAAAATTTGCAGGCAGCAGGAAAAGGAGAAGACCAAATATGAGATGGATTAACATCATAAAGGAAGCCATAGTTTTGCATTTGTAAGAGCTTAGCAGGGCTGTTAATAATAAGACATTTAGGAAATCACTCATTCATGGGGGGGCATGGGGTGAAGGCAACTTAATGGGACATAATAAGGACAAGTAGCAGAAACAACTCATGTCACTATACTTTTTCCCCTTTTAATATCAAATTCAGGATGACAAAGAAGTGTAATAAACTTCTAGGATGGTGAGCCAGGAGGAGAGAAGACAAAGGACAGCTGCAAATTTATACGGTCATCCACAATAATAATTTGTTCATTTAAACATCCCTATTTAAAATATTTTGTGACAATGTGCCTTACCATCTCATGGGCCACAGAGTCAGACGACTGTTCAAATTCATATGCATCCTTCCTACAAAACAAATTTTGACATCTGAAGTTTATAACTCTTGTGAAGAAACCCAACAGAGAGGTGCATTTTCCTAACTATTGGACTATATTAGATTCAAAAACTGATGACTGCACATAGTAACAACTTTTCAGAATCTTTTTAAATCTTTTGCTTGGTAGGACTCTGAAGATCATAGAGAAACTATCTTATATAAAATCACCCTATATAAAATCTCCCCATGTTTTTTTTAACTGACACATGCATGCACACATATCACCTGTCACATCAGGGACAGGAAGTCTACAACCATCCAGATGTTGTGCACTATAACTCATATAATCCTTTTACCACCAGCCATCCTGGCTGGGCCTTGTGGGACCTGAAGTATCCAAAGTATCAGGAGGACAGATGGTTCCTTGCTGCTGTGCTAATGGTTGTTTTAACTGGATACACAGAGTACTAATATTGGATAACTGGCAGAAGAAACATGTGCTCTACTGCCCAGCTACAGCTCTTTTTCATCAGAAGTCTTGACTGATTTATCTTTGAGATGCACTTTTCCTTCCTCTTATTTAGCCAATACAGTCCCAATTTCTATGTCAAGTTACATTTTAAGGTGGCCATATCAACACAAGGCCATTGTAGTGTTTATCGCACCCATCTATGGTAGCTATCGGCTGATTTTCTCCATGTAGTAAATGCTTAATCCCCCACATGTGAAGAATGCATACAATTAAATGTAGTGGGCCATTGTCAAGGCACTTATGCCATATAAAATAGGTAAAACACGTGAGAATAATATTGTATTTCTACTACATACTGGGTATTGTGAATGTATGAAACATATACTCTCTAAAAATAAAAATAAAAGACTTTTGGAAAAGGGCAGCTTGCGCCAGCATGCATACATCAATATCATTTTACTTGACAATAGAATAGTTGTTAAGCACTGTCAAAATAAATGTTTTGCATATGTGCGTGCATGCATGCATGGGCCCACCTGCATGCCACTATATACCATCAAGCACCCTGAACACACCTGATATCCTTTGTTTTTCGGGTATAAAGCAGGGAAGGATCTGGTTAATGCTTTAATGGGAGACCACCAAGGAATCCCAGGGATCTATCTCCAGGTAAAGCTGAAAAAGAATCCTACCTGATATTCCAGAGAGCCACCACCAGTCAGAATTGACAATATTTGGTTCGGACGGGCCAGTAATCTGTCTCAGTATAAGGCAGCTTCCTATGTGCCTATCAGCACCATGACTTTTGTTACCTTATAGCTTCTCCTATGCCAATAATGATACTGAAAGCATTCTGCAGCGCAGTGCCTTTCTCAGGTTTAGATTTTTTTAAGATTAGGCATCCTTCAGTCTCGAGATACTATGGTATCATGCTGTGCATGGAGGACTTGGAACAGCATCTAGTGTGGCTGAGATGGCCAATTTGAGAGTGACAATCCTTTCCACACTGAAGACAAATACAATCTGTACCCAGTCTAGCTCCCTGATTTTGCTGCTTTCATGACTGCCTCTTTGCCTCCGCCTGCTGGACAAGGGTCTCTTCAAATTGGGAGAGGCCATGATGCACCGTCTGCCTCCAGGCTGAATGCTCAGATGTCAGGGTTTCCCATCTGTTGAGATCCATTTCCAAGGGCTTCAGATCCCACTTGCAGATATCCTAGTATCGCAGCTGTGGTCTCCCTCTGGGGTGATTTCCCCGTACTAATTCTCCATACAGGAAATCTTTTTGGAATCCAACCATCAGCTATTCTTACAACATGCCCAAGCCAATGTAGACATCGCTGTTTCAGAAGTGTATACATGCTAAAAATTCCAGCTTGATCTAGAACTACTCTATTTGAGTAGTCCTTTGTCCTGCCAGGTGATACCAAAAATGCGTCAGAGACAACGCATATGGAACATGTTCAGCTTCCTCTACTGCCATGCACAAAGGGTCCAGGACTCACTGCAGTACAGGAGTGTGCTCAGGACACAGGCTCTATAGACCTGGATCTTGGTATATGCCATCAGCTAGAGTGTCAGAGATAGTTGAGCCAAGGTACACAAAGTCATGAACATCCTCCAATTCTTACGTGGAGATGGTAATAGAGGAAGGTGAGTCCATGCCCTGGCCCATGACTTGTGTTTTCTTCAGGCTGATTGTTACTCCAAAGTCTTGGCAGGCCGTGCTAAAACAATTCATGAGTTTTTGGAGGTCTTCAGCAGAGTGGGCAACAATGGCTGCATGCATTTCAGCTGGACTTTGGTCTTTGCTCTCAATATAGAGAGATTAAAGAGCTTTTCATCTGATCTAGTCCAGAGATAGACACCTGTCGCAGTTCCAAACGCCTGCTTCAGCATGACAGTAAAAAAGATCCCAAGCAGGGTTGGCACAAGGACACAGCCCTGTTTCACTTCGCTTCGGATGTCAAAGAGATCTGATGTTGAGCCATCAAAAACTACACTGCCCTTCATTCCCTCATGAAAGGACGTGATGATGCTAAGGAGTCGAGGTGGACATCCAATTTTGGGAAGTATTTTAAAAAAGCCATCCCTGCTAACCAAGTCAAAGGCCTTTGTGAGATCTATGAAGGTCACAAAGAGTGGCTGCTGTTGTTCCCTGCATTTCTCCTGCAACTGTTTGAGGGAGAATACCATGTCAGTGGTGGATCTATTAGCTCGAAATCCACACTGTGATTCTGGATAGACTCTGTCTGCAAGCACCTGGAGCCTCTTCCGCACAACACGGGAAAGCAACTTCCCTACAATGTTGAGAGATGCCACGGTAGTTATTGCAGTCGCCTCTGTCTCCTTTGTTCTTGTACAATGTGACAATGTTTGCATCCTTCATGTCCTGTGGTACTTTACCCTCCCTCCAGCAAAGACGAAAGACTTCATACAATTCAGTAGTGATGGTCTCTTTACAGCACTTCAGCAGGGATGTTATCCTTTCCAGATGCCTTGCCGATGGCGAGGGAATCCAAGGCCGCTTTTATTTCTGTTAAGGTTGGTTTGCTGTCCAACTCTTCCAAGACAGGCAGGCACTCAATGTTATTTAATGCTTCTTCGGTTACTACATTCTCTCTGGAATATAGCTCAGAGTAGTGCTGCACCCAGCGTTCCATCTGCTGTGCTTGGTCCTGGATGATCACGCCTGTAGCAGACTTCAAGGGATCAGATTTCTTCTTTATTGGACCTAAAGCCTGCTTGGTACCATCATACATTCCATTAATGTTACCTGTGTTTGCTGCTAACTGTATCTGAGAGCAAAGCTGAAGCCAATAATCGTTGGAACATCTCCTGGCAGTCTGTTGGACTTGGCTACGACCAGCTCGAAGAGCTTGCAAGCTGTACTCGCTAGGACAGGCTTTGTATGCTGCTGGAGCTCTCTTCTTATCCTCGATGACTGGCATCAGCTCCTCCAAATGGGCTTCGAACCAGTCAGCCATCTTTTTGGTCTTCTTGCCAAATGTGGACAAGGCGGTGTTATAAACAGCATTCTTGAAATGTTCCCATCATTCAGGAGCATTTGCATCAGCCGGGCCTGGAAGAGTTTCCTCAAATGCTTGGGTAAATTTCTCTACTTTTCTTTGATCGCAGATCTTGCTGATGTCAATACTGTGGTCTTCCGTCCTTTCTCAGGTACATGGTGTACATATCCTATTACAGCTGCTGAGAACTGCAGTCTTAATATGACACTACAAAAATGTTAAATAGTTTTAGCACGAATTGCAAACATTCAAGGAAAAGGTTCTCACTTTGTTTCCGTAATTTGTTTGCTTGAACTTCTTGCTCTGTTTCTCTTCTCTGGAGCACCATCCTACAAAGGAAACACAGAGAGTCATGTACTTATTTATACAAGCTGCATAACAGTTTAGGCTTGGAAACATTCTGAAACTGTCTTTACAAGCTGCATAACAGTTTAGGCTTGGAAGCAACAGCAACAGAAGAGCTTGGGCAGAATCTTTCTGAGATGACCGTCTAACTTAGACACCACCAGCCTTACAGGCTGTCCCAAGCGCTTAGCTTTTCCTGTAGATCAGCTCTATGGGAGGTGAGGGGAAAGATGCGTTCTAGTAGCTCCTATTCATAGCCCAGTTGCCTCTTCTTTGCTTAGTTCCCCACTCATTCTGACAGGGGCAGGCAAAGGCAGCTCCTAGCCTGCAAGTGCTCATCCACTGGAATGGGGATCAGAGGTTTACAGATGGTGGTTGGACTAGTCAAGCTTTACTGCTTATTTATCAGCTGCAAAGTCCAGTCAGTCACAATTTCAGAGAGCCTTACCTCTGATCAAGAGTGCTTTCAATTATTTCTTTTACAGATTTCTAGTGCCATTTAGATGCTTAATCAATAAATATGACTGTTTCCTGCCCTGGCTTGCTGGCAAAGAGGATTTGTCAAAAGCTAATGGGATTAAGTACCTTATTTTTCCATATATAAGACTATACTTTTGTCTAAAATCTTTAGACTAAAAATTGAGGCCCATCTTACAGACATAAGTTGAGGAAAGAACAAAAACAAGTGGAGGGGAAAGCAGGGATCAAAGTGAAGAAAAATACAGCAAAAATGAAAGCAAAAGGAAAAAATAAAAGCAAAAGAATAGGAGTTCTGGATCAACAACTTTAATCCTTTATGGCTGCATATTAGTGTTGAGAAAATAACTATCTTGCAAGCAATCTAAGACTAGGTTTCAGAGGGAGGTAAAAGCTTTCACAAACTAAGTGACTACCTTTTGTCACTAACCAATTAGCAAAGTTCTTCTTCCCCATCTCTGGCTTGCCCCTCCTCTATTTTGTTATTTGTCTGCCCTCCACCTGTTTTCTCAGATCTTTGAACACAGCTGACATGTAAATCTCTGCTCCTAAGTTTCAACCATACAAGCTGCATGATTGACTCAGTCTCCCACATAGTTGAGACTACAATTTCTTTCTTTTTCTTCTCTTTTATACTTTAACTGTAGCTAAAGATTGAAACTGTACATAAAGATATTTTTTCTACTTAAGCTGCTTTTAGAGTGATTTTTATTATACAAAGTGCTAGTTACTGTGAAAGGTGTTGCTATTTAGAACTTGAGCTACTTCTCTCTTTCACTCATGTTTTTCTGCTGCTGTTGCTTTGTTTTACCTTACACTCTTCTAAACTCACCTAAAAAGGGGGAATTACCGAATTCATACAACTATTAGAAGGGTATGTGATAAGAGCATATTGCTATGCAGACATGTGCCTGGTTTTCAACAGGATTACCTATGCTTTTAAGCTTCAAAATTATATAAAATTTCTTCTATTGCACTGCATGTTTTACAATACAGGAAACCACTCTAAGCCATCACAGAAGCTTTCTGAAAATGAAGTGTAAAGTCTTAAACACATCAAATAAACCAGGAGAATCAGGAAGCAAGAGAAGAGTAATGCCTGAATTCTGCAAAGGAGTTATAAGGGAAAAACAAAGAAGTTGGGGCTTTTGGTTTTTTTAATTAAGTTACTCTCAGTGAATCAAGAACATTGTAAAACAGCCTTCCCTCAACTGGAATGATGACAATGTAGATGCAGGTTTAATCATACCTCTAAGGAAAGTATTTCTTCTGCCTGGATATCAGATTCTCTTTCCTCACCTGGCTCACTATAGGCAGGCAGAAAAGAATATATTATGGAAGAGTCTTCAGTGCTATCATTCTAAAACCTACAAAGCCAATCAGATTTCCAATGATAAGATCATTTACACCTGTATTCTAAAAGCACATTTATCCAACAGTTCCAATGAAATTTTCTATGAAGCAGGGATATTTAGGATCAGTTACAATTCTTTCAAATTATGCCTCTCCACAATTAACTGAGTTAATTTGGCAGGGTAATGGGTTTCATACAGTGAAGAAAATTAAATATTAATTTGCAGATCTCATTGAGATTTTACAGCCATCTGTACCTGCACATGTATTTATGGTTTCAGCCTTGTTTGACATTGAAATCATTACCTGTAATGCAAATGCCAAATATATATGCACAAAAGAAGAAGATACTACAAGCTAACTCAGAATTAAATGATTTAACCTAGGCAATGAATTGTAGGAGGACAGGAAGAGTATGGTTACTGGGAACTAATGTATTATAGCGTGAAATAATACAAATAGCTTGACAAAGTAAATCCAGCAATTGTTCCCCCTCACCTTACACACACCGTGCTTGCTCTTCAGATGGTCTGAGATGGGGCTAAAATATAAACTGAAAGCTAGCTGCAATAGTTCATTAATAGAAGCAAAACTCCAATTTGTAATTCTAACGTCTCTCTCTCTTTTTTTTTTACATTACTCCTTTCCTAGGATGAGGAGGATCTGGAGTGAGCCACAGCCTAAATGCAGCAGCCAGTTCAAATAGCTCATATTAGTTTACTTAATTTCTTAATCCTATCAGGCATTGCTCAGAGAATTCAATTTTGGTCTCTGTGCTTAAGGGGACGTCTGCAAACGGACAGGTTTCAGAAGCTTAGCTCAACACATTTTGATGCCTAAAGCAAAAAAAATAAATAAATAAAAAAAAATCCAAACAGTGATGCCTTCTCCACTTATTTAACATGAATGGGTCACAAACCCACACCCTGAAATGAACAGGAAGCGCACAGGGCAACAGCATGTTGCTAACATCCTTACAACAATCCCTGTAAAGTAAGCTAAGGTGGGTGGCTTTTCTCAGGTGCATGGGATTTGAAAGCCACATTTTAACCTATGGCACAGAGCCAAGGTAAAACTAACAATGAGATGTTTTCTATATGACTGGCAACTCTATGCAGCACATGGGCCAAAGGACTCTGAACTTACTGACTGCTCTAAATATTTCCAGGCTACTTTATATGTCACTGTCCTTGGATAGTTCATTTATTTTATTTTATTTTAAATATTTTTACCCCACTTTTCTCCTTAAAAGCACCTAATCTTTTGATGGTTAACTACTTCAGACAGAATGGAAATGTTTAAATACTCCTTATCGGTGGCTCATTTGAATCAATCATAATATGCACAACAAGCCTTGGCATGCACAGTCTTTATGCAATGAGGAAATAAACTATGTATGGATGAGTTAAAATAGGGGAGGGGAACCTAGTGTTTTTGGACTACAACTCCCATAACCCCAAACATGGGCTATGCTGGCTACGACTGATAGGAAACGGAGTCCTTGCCTTGGCTAAAACTGGAACTACTTTCAATTGAATGAAAGTGCTTTCAGAGAGCTGTCACAATATGAGGAGCAGGAGCATATAAGCCAGTCCTTATCCTCACAGTCAGGAAGCAGAAGCACAATAGTACATTATTTCTACAGCTTATGGACTGAATGCGACTTTTCTGACCTATTTTTTTCCGTAACAAAGCCATCTTTTAGAAGGGATTTGTATAGTCAAAGCACTTACATGGTCTTAGCATTTTGTTTTAGCGGAGAACCTTCCAGTGCACTTGCATTCTGTGAGGGAGCTTTTACCGTATTTGTTGAGCATGACAGGGCAACTACAGCTACATCATCGGAAGCTTTTAAGAAAAAAGAAAAGAGAAAGAAAGATGGAGGCATGCATATCTCTAGATCTAAATAAGCAGTCAGTATGCATTAGATGTCACACAAGGATAATGAGCTGATTTCATTGACTTTGAAGCCTGTTCCACGGGTTTAGAATGTACAAATAATCACACATACATTCACAGTCTTACAGCCTGCCCACACTGGTATATAAATTGATACATGGATTGCTGATCACACAGTTTGGATTGAGCCAGATGATGGTGTCCACACATGCTTCTACTTGGATTGATCCACCCTTCCCCTGACGTACTAGGTAGAGTGGAAAAAACTCTCCTCTGTTTTTATCTTCTTTTTAAAAATATTTCTCCTAATCAACACAACAAAATTCTAGTACCATGATAGACTGCAATTAAGATAAGAACTTTTTAAGTGTGGACTGTAGTGGGTCAAATTTCCCAGTGTAGAAGGGTCCTTAGAAGAGGATACAGCAGAACCACTCTGACCTTGACCACTATTTTCTCTTTCTGTTTCCTGGCTCTCTGTAGCTGGTGTGGCATCCACAGGAGGAATGATCTTCTGCTGGAAAAGGAGACAGACATGAGCACAGAACCTGTATGACTATCATTGCTACACACAGCATCAGTGAACATCACTCAGAAGAAGAAATACACCCCCACCTGTTCAGGCTGGAACTACAAATTGGTTTGCACTTTCATCTTTCACACAACATAAACTCTACTGCACTTTAAAATAGTGTTTGTGTGTGGTGCCATTTTGAGGTAGTAGAGCTGACTAAGAAAACCAAAGTGTCGCAACACTTGTATTCACATTTTCTCCCTCACTGATTCTGTATTACTCTTTCCAGTGCTTGCCTACCTTGACATTTCCTTCAGGTACTCTTGAAGGAAATGTCACTGTACCTTGTCAAACATTCTCACACAAACCCACCATCCCTCATCAGGTCTACTTGGTCTCAGTTGTCCTTTGCCTTCCATCTCTCTCCTTCCTCCCATATCTTCTTCTTTTCCACTTCCATCACTTTCCTCTGATATCATTACCATCTAGCTGTGAACTATACAGCAGTTCAAGTGTGTTTCTCATTCATGGGTTATTATCAAAATATTGCCTGCCTGCAATATTCACCAAGAAAGCAAAGAACAGAGTGCCGGGCAACAGGAGAAACACTGGTCTACCTAGCCCTTTACTGTTGACTCTGGCTGACGGTCACTCTCCAGGATTTCAGGCAGGAGTCTTTTCTAGTCCACTAAGAGAGTCCCTGGATTCCAACTGACCCTCATGTTTTTTATTGACTACTTTCTTCATACTATAAACTTACTGCTATAGTTGTAACAGAGTGTTCACTTTGCTGGGACCTCAGAATATCTGACACGGAATCCATACCCAAAGCATCTTCTGTTTCTTCCACATTAGTACTTTCTACTGTAAAACAATCAGAAAAACAATAGTATAGAAGTGCTAGGAAACCAGTTTCCAAGGAAAGTGGTGTGTGTGTATGTGTGTTTCAGGATATTTGCTGGAGATTTCTAAATAAGAAAAGTGAAAAAGACAAGAAAACATTTTTTTTAATTAGACCAACTCTGCCCACTAGTAAAATACAATGAAAAATGGCCCAACCACAGAGGAGTGTTGAATATTTTGCAGAACTTAATTTCAGGTCAGACAAGGCAATGATGAAGCTGAAGAGAACTGGCCAATATTATGTACTGAGATCTCGTATGCATCCTAAAAGATTCCACCACCCTACAGAAAGCTGCAGAAGTCCCATGACAGTCACACAGGATTTCTTCAGCAAATACAAGTGATATGGGAAGTTTCTCAAGGCAAGAAGTTTGAAAAACACTGTTCTATATGTGGACCAGAGAAGGGCAAAAAGATGGTGAGGAATCTAGAAAATAAGTCTGTATCTAGCACAGAAATTATTAGGGGATACGATAGCAAATTTCATATATTTAATAGTGTCTCCTTTCACTAGAGATACCTTACTTAAACACACACACACACACTTATCTGGAGATAATTAAGTGGACTGCTTCCTATCAGGAATGCTGTTGTTAAGAGACAGGACTAAAAGACTTTCCAGGCTCCTTTCAATTCCAACATGCTTTATTCCAAAAGTTGAGAAAAAAATGATGTGGTTCCTCTAAAACATAGCCACCTACATTCTTCACCCACTTTGGCATCTTGATTCATCAGTTGCTGCCTTACAAAGAAAATGGCTCTGTGGGACACAGGATATTTCCTGTTTTCCTGAACCATCTATTTTCTCTCATCAAAAACATTAAAACAGTTTACATACCGCACTGACCTACCACAGATGAAAGAGAAATGGCATTCAGGACAAAAGAAACATGACACTTAACAAAACCGACCCATTCCAAATCTCATTTTACCATTTAATTCCCTACAAAAATGGGGAAACAAACACTATCTACGATTTTTTTTTCTTGGAATGCCGGCTGCTTCTAATCAGAAAGGGCCCACAACACAGCCTTGCCCTCTTCACCTCAGTAAATATCAGTCAGAAAACAATGGCTGTGACAAGTAGCGTCTCCTTGCTTATCAGCTCTTTGAAGCACAGAAAGAGGTGCAGGGAAGAAACACACAACAGATGCGAAAGGAAAAAGGTATCTTACAAATAAGGATTAAATTGCTGGCAAAATACTATATATGCAGAATATGGCAAGGCCATAGCTAGGGAAGTGTTCATAAATTGTTGAGACCAGATTATGGAACAGTATACTCCACACATATATTGAATATACAGTACTTATAGGTTGCTTGTCAGTTCATGGCCTTCCACCTGACCAAGGCCATGTTCAGTAAAAGCAGTTCCATGAAAATACTGCAAAAGGAGGAGGGGGCAAGAATCAAGAATGCACAACATAGGAGTCGACTACCCCAGATGCTGGGGACCCTGGGCAAATAAAGGAGCACTGAAAGGTCGATCAAGGCTGGCACTGGATCAGCTTCTGTGAGAAAGGCAATACATATACAAGCTAACTTAACCAAGAAAGCCTTCTCTGTGACCACCAACTACACAACTTCAGATTGCAGAAAAGGCAGATTATTATGACAAACAAAGGGTTTAAGCTGGCAAGCCATGTCCACACTTTATGGCTTCAGCAGAAATAAAATCTTCACACTCAAAATGTGCTTACCTGTTGTGGCATGCTGTGGCTGATCTGGATTGTAGTTATCATAATCTTTGTCCAGCAGTACCTATCCAATGATTTTTTTTTTAAAAAAAGACAATGTTTAATGTAGGAAACCCTGTCTCTTACTGTAGATGGTTTTAAAAGCCTGCAAATTTTGCAGTCTGGAGAATTTTGATTTTGAGCTTTATTAATAAAACAGTGATTGATATTGTTTTATATAGATACTATTTATTCAAGGAGAGTGGTTACTCATATCAGTTTGTCATAGCAAAAATGACAAATAGCTTTATGGCATCATGAAGACTAGCACGCTTTATTTGGCATATGCTTTCATACATTTGATGAAACAGTCTTCAATCCAGAAATGTTATGCCATTTAAAACTTTTTAGTCTTTAAGGTGCCACTGAATTCTTGATGGTTTTGTATTTTTTGCAACAGAGTAACAACTGTTTAGCCCCTTGAAATGACTGCAATGCAGGATTCCCAGATTTAGCAGTACTGGAGTTGGAGCTTTTAACTTATTCATTCAATTTACATTCTGCTTCTCCACCCAAAAAAGCACTCAACAATAAAAACAGACCAACAGTGTACTCCCAAACACAGTACAGTAAAAATGAAAAACTATATTATAAGAAAGTGGGACATAGTTATAACAGTCAAGCCCTTGTGTCCTGGGAAGATGCTGAACCACTGAGAAAAATCTACATTATGAAAAACCATGTTAGACTTTGAATAAGTAAGTTTTTTTTGATGGACGGGGGCATAAACTTGCTATTTTTTTAAATGCACAGGTCAGAATCCTATGGATGTTTACACACCGTTTGCATAACGTGCCACAACTGTTAGCAACTAATTCATTGCATGTCTGGTCATGTGCTGATTTTGCACCTGAGATATGCCCTGACACCTTGTCAATTAGCCACTATCTCCCATAACAGATTACACAGACCTCAAGTATACACCAATTGGATTCCAGTCCCAGTATTGCTAGTTGTAACTTCCAGAAAATATTAGAAGAAACCAGTAATAAAATGACCACTGAATATGCAATGAGACCATCTCCCAAAACAATACAACTCATCTAACAATAACAGTTAAGTGTTAAATAATTTCTAAAAGAATAGAACTGTGATCACTCTTCATTGTTTAAAAAACAACACATTATCCCTAAGATTGCAATCATCAGTCACTGATGAAAATATACACCTTTTAAGATCTTGTACAAGTGATTTTAGTGATGTTTATACAAAAACATTACTATGATGCCCACAATTTAACTTCAAAGAACTTCTGAAAAAGAGTTAAAGAGAAAAAGAAAAAAACACTTGCCATCATTTTGTCATTCCCCATTACATTATGGAGCGGCGTCAAAATATCCAGCTGGCTATCAAAGTGAATTTTTATCTTTGTTGCTTCTTTTTTGTTGATTACAGTTGAATTCTTCAGAAATATTTTAAGAATATTTTCCTCTGCTTCCTCTTTATATAAAAAAGAAAACATCCATACATGCTCAGTGGTTATTGTTATCTGCAGTCAAGTCAGAACCAACTTTTAGTGAGCCTAATAGGGCTTTCAATATGAGATATTTAAGGATGGCTGTAAGTTGAACTGACTTGATGGCACATCATCATCATCATCATTATTATTAAATACCAGAGACACCATCAATTAGAGTTATAAAAACATTTGGCTGGTATAGATACACATTTTAACCAAAAAATCTAAGTATCTGTTAAATATCAGTGAGTTTACATGATTGAACCAAAATTTGAACCCAGGCCTCCTGAGTCCTGGCCCATCACTCTCTCCATTACACCACACTCTGTATCTCATGTGTTCAGTACTGGTCACTTTCTTAGAACAATATAACAATACACATCCTTAATACCATATATTATATGATGTGCTATGCTGATAGTATCAACTAGCCTCTGTGGGATGTATTGGCTAACTCATGTATCCATCAAAAGACAATGTAAAAGAATGATCATGCAATCCAAAATCAAGTGTTAGAGAAAATATTCATGTGGCCACACACAAGGAATCCTATGACACATTAAAGCTAGCTCGTTTATGAATTGTACACATTAAATACATAAAAGGTATTACAGCATCTTAAAGAAGAGGCCTCCCTCCACCTCCCACAGCCTTGCTCTCTGTTTCCCCCCTGGCCCTACACCTAAGCCAGTCCAATGCACTTTACAGCCTGAGGGGAGAGATACGACAGCACCCACTCGACTGTAAACAGAATATGACCAAACTGGAGAATTTTGCTTCGTTTAGCACTGGTGATAAGACAGCATCCTCCACTGCATCTGACAACAGCAAGAAAGTTTATAGGGCTTGGGAGGGGCACTGTCACCCCACCTTGAGCACTGGCTCCTGAGGCAGTGGCTTCATTCTGCCTAATGGTCAGAATGGCACTATCCCATCTGAATACTTTGCTCCCCTCCTTTTTCCATTCTCACAAAAGCTTGGAGGAGGCTGCATAGGGAAACAGGCCAACGAAGCTCTCCCTTCCACAGCTTTTTTTAAAATAAGCGCTGAGATAATGGCATTTTACCAGTGAGGTAATAAGTGCCATAAACTGCTTCATCATTTCTTCATCCCTGAAGAAAGAAGAGGACTGTATGCTTCCAGACCATGGGGCAAAGCCTAGTACAGTAGGTGGGATGTACATGCTGTTGCCCAATATTTATCTGCTAAAAGCAACTGCTAATTGAACTATAACAGCTGGTTGGAAGGTGATGACTGTTGCTGTTAAGAATCATCAAGCCACTTCTGACCTATGGCAACCTCTGAGTGATCTCCAAAATGTTCTGCCCTCAAGGGTCCTTTTCAGCTCTTGAAACTCAAGCATGTGGCTTTCTTTAAGGAGTCAATCCATCTTGTACTGAGTCTTCCTCTTTTCCTGCTGCCTTCCACCCTTCCCACTGTTATTGTCTTTTCTAGAGGATCTTGCCTTCTCATGAAACGCTCAAAGTATAACAGCCTCGGTTTTACCATTTTTGCCTCCAGAGCTACGTAGTTCAGGATTGATTTAGTCTAGGACTCACTCGTTTGTCTCTCTGCAGTCTAAGGTATCCAGAATGCTCGTTTCCAGCGCCACATTTCAAATGAATCAATTTTTTTTCCTGTCACCTTTCTTCACTGTCCAGCTCTCACACTGATGCATAGTGATTAGGAATACAATAGTGTGGATGATCTTGGTCTCCGGTGACACATTCTTACACTTGATGATCTTTTCTAATTCCTTCATTGCTACCCTTCCAAGTTTGAGCCTTCTTTTCATTTCTTGACTGTAATCTACATTTAGATTGATGATTATATCAAGGTATACAAAATCTTTAACGAAGTAGAGGGAGGATGTCTCATGAAATAAATCTTCATCTGGACATGCATACATGCATGCACGCACGCACACACGTACGCATGCATACACACACACATGCATACACACACACACACAGTGGGATAATTAGGGACAGTGATGTAAGCAGGGAATTAGGAATGTAGTTTTCTCAGATTTTAAGTCACATCTTGTATTTCATAATGAAGTCCTTTAAGAATCCAGAACAGTTTTTCTAGCTGTCACCTATTATAGGAACAGACCCAATGGCCCATCGAGTCCAGCACTCTGTTTCCACAAAGGAATCCAACTCCCAAAGCAAGACAACAGCAGCAATTCCTGTGCAAGTTTGGCAGCACTTGGTATGGGTGGGCACACTGACTCAGACACTGGAAGAAACATGCATGACTAGCAGCCAATGGTGATTTTATTTTCAGCCAAGTTGCTTAATTCCCTCATTTAAAGATGTTCACGTTGCTCACTACAATTGGTGGTACTCATAGCTTAACAATGTGCCTTGTAAAAAAGTTCATCTTCTTCCTCATCACACTGACTCAGACACTGGAAGAAACATGCATGACTAGCAGCCAATGGTGATTTTATTTTCAGCCAAGTTGCTTAATTCCCTCATTTAAAGATGTTCACGTTGCTCACTACAATTGGTGGTACTCATAGCTTAACAATGTGCCATGTAAAAAAGTTCATCTTCCTGAATTCCTCATCATCCAGCATCATTGAATAGCCAAAGGTAATGCAGTGAGAGAAAATATAACATGTCAATATAGCAAAACATCTTTGATTTTCCTATGGTTTATCTATTAATATTTGTGACTGAGATCCCTCCCCATTAACACAAGCTCAGCTGAAGCACACATTTCTTTTCCAGGTATACAATCTTCTACACAGTCTCACCTTGCAGATAGTAGCTACTAACATCTTCCTTTGCCAACCTGACTGATTCCCAAAGAGCACCCTGAAAAAGAATTATTTGAAGCTAATTTTCATCTGTTGTTTAAATATAGGTATGAACATGGAGCCAAAGAATCAGGTGGGCAGGTGGGTTTACCTCAGGGCTCTCTAAGTAGAAAGTAATGCTCTCACTTCCAAAATTGAAGTCAATCCAAAACTCCTCCAGTTTGTCATCAAGTGGCTTATTTAACTTGGAAATAAAAAAGCAGCTATCATTAACTTTCCCCACCCCCCAGAAAAACAGTGTTTACAACTATATACTACATGAAGATAGAAGCCAAAAAGCACCAGTACATTTCCCTTCCACATCTCTCTACATAAGGCAGGGATGAATGACCTCTCAGCTAATTTTTGGCTCCTTCAACCCACCATAGGCTACATCAGTTCCCCAAACGAAACCACAGAAGTCCACTTCCCATTTACAACAGTTGGTGGAGGTAAATAAAAATGTGGGTATATGACATGACTGTTGCTTTAAAGCAGTGGCTCCCAACCTTGGGTCTCCAAATGTTCTTGGACTACAACTCCCAAAAATCCCAGCCAGCACAGCTAGCAATAAAGCCTTCTGGGAGTTTTAGTCCAAGAACATCTGGGGATCCAAAGTTGGAAATCATTGCTTTAAAGGCTCCCAAAAATCCCAGCCAGCACAGCTAGCGATAAAGCCTTCTGGAGTTTTAGTCCAAGAACAGCTAGGGACCCAAAGTTGGAAATCATTGCTTTCCAGAAAAAACACTGATGTTGGAATTGATATTCTCTCTCTCTCTCTCTTTGGTGAAAGAGCTAATCTGATGAGGCCTGGAGTCCATGCAGCCAAGATAGTAATATGTGACCTGCATATATTTAAAAATCAGGCAAACAAACAAACAAACAAATAAAAACAAACAAATAGACAAAAATGTTGTGGCACTTTAAAAACTAACTGCAATATTTTAATGTGAGCAGTCGTGGACAAATCCACTTTCTTAGGAGTCTGAGAATCTTTTACTATTATCTCTCTTACAGAGAGCCTTGTGGCACAGTGGTTAAACTGTGGTCCTGCAGTCAAGACCCTGCTCACAACCTGAATGTGATCCCTGATGGGCTCAGGTAGCCAGATTAAGGTTGACTTAACATTCTATCCTTCTGGGGTCAGTAAACTGAGTACCTAGCTGATGCGAAGAAGGCAGGAATAGGTCACCTGCATAATGAAATTGTAAACTGCCCAGAAAGTGCTTTAAGTGCTACGGCTATGGGGTGGTATATAATTTTATTTATTTTATTTATTTATTTAACTTATATGCCACCCACACTACCCAAAGATCTCTGGGCTTACAACATTTAAAATACAATAAGAAGACAAAATTATTAAAATGCAATTACAATATATACTGTAAAAATTGTCATCAGGACCCACAGCTGATGTTATTTCAATTAAAAGCCTTCCAGTATAAGCAGCATACTTTACTAGATGTCTGTGATCTAGAACAGTGGTCCCCAACCTTGGGCTTCCAGATGTTCTTCTACTTCAACTCCCAGAAATCCTGGACAGCAGAGGTGGTGGTGAAGGCTTCTGGGAGTTGTAGTCCAAGAACATCTGGAGGCCCAAGTTTGGGGACTACTGATCTAGAAGACACATTAGTAAGCACTCTTCAGGTTTACAATGGCACAATGTACTTTTTTAAAAAAAATTACCATATTCATGTCAGCATGAGCAGCTTTGCATGGAATTGAGCAGACCCTGTTTTTAAAAAAAGTGAATTCTATTTTGTTACACAGATCCCATAATATAAACCTTGTTCCCATCTCCCTATAGAATAGCTACAACAATGCTTCCATATGTAGATCTGTGGGAAGTCCATTTCACCTACCTAGTGGATGCACAGCTATACAGCAAGGACTGCTGCCCTGCTAAGACATAGTTGCATCCTGTCTGAAGTGGAAGTGTGCGCATCACCAGAACACAGCACACAAAAATGCATCTTTCCTGTACTTACTGATACTGTATATCTCAAACTTCCCTTTTCACCAAGGAGCAGCGCATTCTATGTACTTTGTGTTTCCATGGGGGTCTCTAATACAGACACCCTCAAAGGGGAAATTCATAATGACTCTGTTTGAACAGGTTGCCAGTATATAAAACAAGCTAATAGATTTTTCTTTCCTCTGTAGCAGCAGGTGCGAGCAAGGCATGGGACTGTAAATGCAAATATACCAGAACTGTTATCACACAATATAAATAAGGCTGCTGAGTTCCTCTACACCCTTTGTTAGATATGCCATTCTTTCACAATGTAAGAGAACAAATTAATGTACAAATGTAGCATTAGACACCAATGCTCCCTATGACATGCAGAAAGCCAGAACATGAGAAACAAACAGATTTACCTGAGGCTGTCACATCTCCTTACACAATTTTGAAGGAGGTGCAAACCAGCTCATGTAAACATCATCTATCATGGAAAGTAAGATGAGCCAGCCCGCATCTCATTCCATGCCCCATCAGCAATTCACACTTCATTAAGAGAGGCACTTTCCATTCCAAAGTATTCAGGTTATATCAGAAGCTATAAGTCAACTGAGGGGTTACCAATACGGCTCCTTCCTACCAGAATGCAGGAAAGTTAACTTTAGAATGAGCATTGCTACCCGAGATGATTAAATACTGAAAACAGAAGATGATATGTCCATTATTATATGTTCAGTGAGTTTCAAAAATGTCATATCCCTTAATTGTTACCAGAATGGGACTAAACCATATGTGCTGTCATGCCTCTTCAGCTGAGTCTCCCATGGGAAAATTATACCCTCAGTTTTTGCTGGAAAAGGCATGACTTCTGGGTGCAAGGGAAAGACCTTGCTTAAGCATCCAACATGAGAGAGGCTGCCCATAATTTTGATGACAGCATCCAAATTCTCACCTTAACTGAAAGGTGGGCAAAGTGTAGCCCTCTGATTGTTGTTGGGCTGCAAAGCTCATCATTTCTCAGCTGCCTATGGCTGACCGGAGCTGCCATTTCACAACAACTGGTGGGCCACACTTTGCCCTTCATTTAGCAACTTCCGAAGCTGTTATGATTCAGCACTCTACCGTTTATATGTTGAGCAAGAGTAGAGAAGTCCAATTTAATTTTAATAAATTATCTGATCTGCACATGTCTCTGTATTTATTTTAACGATTAACATCTATGGGTTTTGTTGTCCTTTCAGTTCAGTGCTTAAGACTGATGCCGTTCTGCACCAGCCTAGGCACTAACGGCCTTCCACACATTCTGGAATTCAGCTCCCAGAAGTCAAAGGCAGCATGGTCCGTGGTAAAATATTATAGAAGTTGTAATCCAAAACATACAGAGGACTAAAGGTCCTCCATGCATGCACAAAACTACCAGTACTGGCCTGAAGAGGAGACCCTGCACTCACAATCAGCCTACCTTAGGAATCTCTCGTGCCTACCTTGGGGAAGAATTGGCAAATGCCTAAATCTTCAGGTAAGTCCAGAACAGCAAGTCCTGCAAGAACATGTGAAAAGCAAGTACTCAAGGACTCAGGGAAGCAGGATCGTGGCAATCCCTTACCTTCTTTTATCCCCAAGTCTTTCATTTAGTTCATTAAGAAATTTCCTGGTATCCTTCAAGAAATACACACACAAAGGAAAAAGAAGGATGCATCAATTAGTTCCTAAAATGGCTCCTACGCTATGTATACTTATTTATTTATTTATTTATTTGCATTTCTAATTCAATAAAATTAGAATAAAATATGCTAAGTTTAACTATTAAAACAAAAACCAACCAACCAAACAAAATCCGCTATTTATTTATTTATTTATTTATTTATTCATTCATTCATTCATTCATTCATTCATTCATTTGCATTTCTAATTCAATAAAATTAAAATAAAATATGCTAAATTTAACTATTAAAACAAAAAACAAACAAACAAACAAAACCACACATTCTTCTCAGGGTATCCAGGACAATAATACATTTAGATCTCATTGCACAATAAGCCTCAGTTTAGTTTTGTAAAATCAAGACAAAATGGAATAACCGACACACACATATATGTGCACTCTTACTGTCTCAAAGTCTCTATCTTTGATTTCCTTAAAAGCCTTTGCTATGTGTTGGTCTTCAAACCATTTGTGTACAAGGTCATCTCTCCATTTTTTCAGCATGAGCCTGAAAAGGGCTTCCACAATAGCCACCTGGATGTCATAGTCTGTAAGGCAGAGCAGAAAGTTCTTCAGAACCATATACTTAAGCCCTCTCTCCAATCTGCAGAGAATCTCATGCAAACTATAGAGAATCTCATATCTCCTTCCCATTATCCCAAGTTCACTTCAAGAATTATTTTACTTTGTTCAGCTTTCATCTGCTAGCTCCCCCAACTCTCACCCAACACAAAATTGCAACAGGATACAAACAGGGCTTTCTCTAATACTCAGTGTGTTTTGCATCCATTGCTTCCAGTCATTCTGCAAGATAGTCCAGGGCTACAAAAGGAGTTTATGAACAATCTGCAGTTCACGCTTGGACTTTTCTACTCATGCTCCGAATCATCCTGTACTAGTGAAATGTAAACAACATGCTGTACAACATCTGTGCACAACTGCTTTTCAAAATTGACAGTCACACCCTGGAAACAGCCACAAGGTTTAAAATGGTAGACTAGGACAAATGCCTTCAATTCTTAATCTGCAGCTGGAGTTTGCTCAGGCAAACATATGTGAAATGTAAACAACATGCTGTACAACATCTGTGCACAACTGCTTTTCAAAATTGACAGTCACACCCTGGAAACAGCCACAATGTTTAAAATGGTAGACTAGGACAAATGCCGTCAATTCTTAATTTGCAGCTGGAGTTTGCTCAGGCAAACATACAGTGGTACCTTGGTTTACAAATTTAATGCATTCTCCAAGATATTTCATATTGTTTAAAAATTAATAAACCAAAACACAGTTTCCCATAGGAACACACTGAAAACCAATTAATCAGTTCTGGAGGTTAGAAAAAAGTTCAAAAAAGTCTTATCTGTTCAAACTCTTTATGAAGTGCACTTTAAAGGCATAAATACTGTACAGGGACATAATTAATCAAGCAATAACATTTCAAACATCCAACTTCAATTTTTAAAACATCACACTTCAACTTTTAAAATATGGCAAACTGGAGAAACGTGCTTTGTATTGCAAAAAAATTAAGAAACCAAGGCATTGTTTTCAATGGAATTTCATTCGTAAACTGAAAATTACGTTAACTGAGGCATTTGTAAACCGAGGTATCACTGTATTTTAAAAGAAACAGCCCTCACAAAATCCTAAAGTGCTTCATACTCTTAAATTCAAGTTCAAACAGGGAACTGAAATTTTCCCAACCCTGAGAAATATACTACGTATTTCTTACCACCAACATCCAGAATTGTTTTTGCAAGTTCTTTCCTGAAACAACATAAGCCATTAAAGAGATTAAGCTGTAAGAGAAAACTACAATCTTTAATTGAATATTAAAATATAAAGTATAAAGAAATCAAAATTTTAAAAACACGCAAAGTATATAAAAGAGAATGAAATATTAACAGCATTCACTCTTAGGCCCAAACGTTGCCAAGAGTGTTTTTAGTGGTCAACATGATCCAATAGCCAAATGACTGTTTCCTCTTCTCTAACCAGCACTACAGCAGTAAGAATTGTGTTTTTTTCTGCACTATACAATCTTATAATTATATATATATAGAGAGAGATAGGAACCAAACTACCATATATAAGAATCACAATAAAAGTGACTACATCACATAGTCCTTCAAATTTCAAAGCAGCTATTGCAAATGAGGACCTCAACAGATGGGAAACCTTGACATCTGAGCATTCAGCCTGGAGGCAGGTGGTGCATCATGGCCTCTCCCAATTTGGAGAGACACTAGTTCAGCAGGCCAAGGCAAAGAGGCAGTCCCAAAACCAGTAAAACCAGGGAGCTGGACAGGGGACAGATTGTATTTGTCTTCAGTGTGGAAGGGACTGTCACTCTCGAATTGGCCTTTTCAGCCACACTAGATGCTGTTCCAAGACCTCTATTCAGAGCACGTTACCATAGTCTCTGGAGACTGAAGGATGCCTACCTATTGCAAATGAGACAGACATGCTGCAATTGGGCTGATATTGTGTTGCATGCGATAACGACTTTACCCAAGGGGAAAGCACTTGCGTTTGTACAAGATCTGTCATTTTCCTCATCTCTTGAGCCCCACAGTTCATCAGAAAAGCTGCTTGCTGAAGGACAGAGACCTCCAAGAATAAGAGCACAGAGAACTGAACCTTAGCGGCATATAAATTGAATAAATAAATAAGAATAAGAGCACAGAGAACTGAACCAGAAAGAGCACAGAGAACTGAACCTTAGGTCCCCAGATGTTCTTGGATTAAAACTCCCAGAAGCCTTCACTACTAGCGGTGCTGGCCAAGATTTCTGAGAGTAGTAGTCCAGGAATATCTGGGGACCCAAGGCTGGGGACCACTGAAGGCATATGGCAATAACTGGGCAGCCCTCTTGGGAGGGTGGAAGCATGTTCTAAAGCACATCTCAGTCAGAGAACAACAGTCTTTGAAGTTCAGTTGCTTGCTCCCTCCTTTTGTTCTTTTGTAAACATATACGTTTTTGGTTAAGTGGAACTAACACAGATTCTGGAACACACCTGTTGGAAGAAAAACATTTCTTGGCATCTAACAGCAAGAACGCAGTTAAGAAACCCAAGAGATTATTAAAGACCAACTTACGTAAGCAGGGACATTTCTTCAGACACAGCAAACTTCTTTCTTTCCTCTCGTGCAACATTATCTAAGAGGGTGTTTAAGGTCCTTAGAGCCTTCATCCAAACAATTAGAGGCAATGCAGGAAGAGAAGAGCAAAGACAGAATTGATTGACATAAAGCTTTCATTTTCCTTCTCAAAACTCACATGATGTACTCCTTGCCTGAAACTAACCTCCTGCCGAAGGGCACAATTCAGATTAGACTCTGTAGCCAGGTGTCCCAAATATGGTATAAAGGACTCTAGCAACTGTTTTCTCCCTATAACAAGAAGTTGAAGAATGTAGGGGACAAGTGTTAGCAGATAAAAAGCTGGTAAGACTTCTAATTTTAGTAGTGCCTTCCTTCATCTCTTATCAGATGTGCCATTTCTCCATATTAGTATAACCAGGGTTTTATAGACATAAGACATAAGAAATTTATTTGTCATTGCACTCACAAGTGGGTGCAACCAAATGAGGTGCTCTTCCCCAAGGTAAAACTGGACAACACCACGACAAAAAAAAGTTAAAACATATACAACACTCACCATACAAATATAGATACCCTGTTTCTCCCAGCAATTAAAATTCCACCAAAAACTTATGACCCCGCATTTAAACTCAATACTGCACTTGGGTAGAAGCTGTTCTTGAATCTACTTGTCCTTGCTTTCAATACCCTGAATCTCCTTCTCGATGGTAATAGTTTAAAGAGCTGATGTCCCGGATGAGAGGAATCTTTCAGTATGTTAGATATCTTCCTCTTACATCTGTTCTGATACAATTCTTCCAAAGAGAGGAGTGAACAGCCAATGATGTTTTGGGCCGTCTTAATCACCCTTTGAATTGCCTTTTTCTCTGCCACTGTGCAGAGAATATATATACTCTTATCAGATGTGCCATTTCTCCATATTAGTATAACCAGGGTTTTATAATATCAAACAAAAAATTGCATCTTATTACCCTATTTTTTTAAAAAAAATTAAGTACTTATAACATTTTTTCTATCGACAGAGAAATAATTTATTGGCTGACTAAACTATATGCTTTCTGATCAATTAATAATATCTATGTATGACCAAAATGTGTAGTTTTGAGATCATGAAATAAGTGCAAGAACACAATAGTAAAATCTATTGTGCAGTTCTGTAATTACTTGGCTTCCACTATATTATAGTAACGGGGAGGGAAAACCCTACAAGGCAGTTCTCATCTCCCAGTCTTATTGATTAACTTAGGGGATAGGAGGATGCCAGAATCAGCTAAAACTTTAGATGTTTATTTATTTATTTATTTTATTAGACTTATATACCGCCCATCTAGAATATGTCTACTCTGGGTGGTTATCTAATGACTAATCTCAAATACTAATTGCCATCTACTTATAAATCTATTTTTTTTCTTGAACGGAAACCCAACAACAAGACATATTTGGCACAATTGTATGCATGTTTATTCAAAAGAATTTGTTAACTTCACTATGTGCAGAAACTGTAACACAAATATATTCACTGAAAGCCATAAAAGCCATTGTGCTTTAAAGTAAAACCATTAGAGAGTTATAAAAATCTTTATTGACTGACCTTCAGAGTTGCTTTTGCCAATAATCTGAAAGCATTGTGTTGAGGAAAGTGGGAGGAAAACGAGAGAAGCAGAATGAAGTTATCCAAAGTGAACACCTTCTCTTGCTACATATATGAATGCAGAAGATTCAGAACTCCCCCCAGTTACCTAAGATCCATCCATGATCAATGAGATGATCAGTGTAGCATAGTGGGTAGGGTATGGGATTCAGGGGACCTAGCATCAAATCCCTTCTCTGCCATGGAATCTCACTGGGCTATTCCACTGGTAAAATCACTTCTTAAATCTCTCACATACCTTGGAAAGCCTGCTAGTTGCCATCAGATGGACTTGAATTGAAGGCACACAACACAGATTGACTGAAATCTTATTGCCTAATGTAAGCAATGTCATAAGTTTCCACAGTTTTCTTGTAGATAAACAAAGAGTGCCTGATGTGATTCTCAGGGTACATGTACACACAATGACTTGGTGCATGTGTGCACACAGTTGCACCACAAAAATAACAGCATGGGCTCTTTTTTTTAACCTGGAGAAACTGGTGACTTTTAAAATGTTGCCCAAGGGGATTTTGACCATCACCAACAATATATAGCAGTATTGTAAAACATACCTAGCCATTGTAAAACATGCATAGACTCAGACTGAACAATTTTCTCCTATGTAACATTGAAATTTCAAATCAGCTTTGCTGTGAGTTACAATTCACATAGACTGCCTACATGCACCTTTTCCATACAACCTTATTAAATCAATTACCAGGTGCTACGATGACTTTAAGTTGGTCTCTCATACTTACACTAATATACTTGCCACTGAAAAAATATTTTCACATCAACGGATCTTCCAAAAGATGGATTTTAGCCAGCTTTCCATATTAGCTGGTCAGATGTCATGGACATCTGCATGTTATTGCCACATTGTTGTGGTGATGAACAATTCTGGCAGAGGTAGTTGCTTTTAAAAAAACCTCAGTTACTCCCTATGGGAAGAAAATTCCCTGCAGCAATATGGCACCACAAGCACCAGGAATCAATTTTCAGGGACCAACATGTGTATATCAATTAGCCCTTCACGTCACAAGATGTTGCTGTGATGCAGCAAAAGAAGGAAAATCAACTTGATTGCATTTCCTCTTTCAGCTCTTCACAACAGTATGAAAAGTTGCCTCCAGACAATCCATTGCAGACACAGAAGAGGCATCACTTTAATGTATCTGTTTAGCCTTCATAAACATCAGTTGTGTTGAATATGACTACATTGACATTATCAGGAGAACACACATGGCATATTAAAGAGGAGGAAGATATCCCTTTGCCTCGTGCCAGAAAAATTCATACAACTCCCTGGGCATATACTTCCATCATACATTTTGGAATAACTAACTAGCCTTCTGCGCGTACATCTTTGATGTAAGAAATACAGTACCAGTGTAATCATAGGTAAACTGGCTTTTTTTGCCCTTAGCCAAAAGGTGCACAGCCTATAGCCCTCCCTGACTTCCTGTGTGCTCCAATGAAACAGCCCCCTTTTCTTCACAATCACTTTGGAGGAAATGCTACTGTTGCCTGGCTTGAGACTGTCGTTTTTCCTGATGCCAGTAGTAATGATGGTGAACCTTGCAGAGGGGCAGGAGAAGCTTTCACCACCACCACTCACTGATCCCTAGATCTCAGCAGGCAGAGAAGGAAGGTTTAAATTCCACAGTCTTATACACTGATGTGTGTGCAATGCATGCATGTGTGCATGTGAAAGTGGATGCCTGGGGGAGTGCATGAATATGCATGTGCACCTACATGTGCAACTCTTAGCCCTCAACTGATGCAGATTGGACATGACTGCCCTATGGAAATCTTTCTATGAATTCACAAAGAAAAGGATCAAAACCAATACGGTTCTTTTAAAGGTTGCACGCTGGCATGACTGTAAAGAAACATGAGCAACCTGTGGGTGTCCAAACTGCAATTCCATCAACCTTAGCCACCACAGCTAACAGTGAGGGGTGATGCAGTCCAACCATATCTGAAAAACCACAGGAAGAGAGAAGGGTGTGTAGTTCCCTGCCTGTGGCTTGATGGTATTATTGCGAAAAGGTCCAGTGTTTCCCTTTCTATGTACTCACCAAGGCTGTGTCAAAGAAGTCTTCAACAAGATTTACCAAGAATTTGCTTTCTTTTGGTTCTATCAGGCTTAAAAATTCTCTTGTCCTTTCAAACCAAGTGACCATGTAAAAATCAGAGAGAGAAGTAAGATGAACATCTGTGGTTAGTTTTGTAACCAACAGCAGAGTACAGTTATGAAAAGGCATAAGGAATCCATTTTCATTTACAGGTACAAAGACTGGTAAAAAGCTTTTCATCTCAAGAGGAAGAAGAATAAGAGATGGATTTCTCTTCTCCACTGGTTGATGGTGAAGGTACATCAGTGAGCAAGGTGTAAGTGCATGGTTGTAGATTAAAGAGAGTCACCCTTACTGATGTCAACAGTCATGGTAGCTAGTCATCGACACACCAGAGAACCTTGGCTTTCATCACCTTCTCTTGGTGGTCAAAAGAAAGGCCTGGAGCCTACTATGCCACTTTCACCATTCCCATTCATAAGTCCTGTCTATACCACATCTTCCTCTACAGTAAAGCTGGGATACCCTCATTTTGAATAGAGGATTAGTGGCAGGTCAAGTCATGCCAACGGGAGGATTCTGGAAGCTACACCTGAGAAAGGTAATTTTTATCATCTCTGACTCACGGACTCTATTCCAAATTACTGTATCCTTTAGCTTATCCAAGGTTTCTTCCCTAGCTGAGCACATTTAAAAAAAACAACCCTAACACGTTGATCTTTTTTAAAGCTATGGGGAAAATGCATTTGGTGTTGAAAAAGTGTATTTGCTACTGCGATTGAGCTACTTATTCAAAAAAGTACCGAGGGTGGGGGTGGGGAGGCAGATGCATAGAACCTGGCCTGCTGCTTCTATATGGCAAGTTCACTAGGCTAGTCATTCTTGGAGGAAAGTGTACAAGGCAGGAGGGTTCTCAACAGATATTGCCTGCAGACTTCATGTGACTTATTTGCACTTTATAGAACTGACATTATATCTCTGATTTTTGTAAGAACATACTATAGTACAAAAATGAAGCATAAAATCCTTGCTCACAAAAACACTTGCATTTGACTTTTAAAAAGTGGCTGAAGAATTTGAGTTGAAACCAATCTGTCAATTTTACTTGAAATAAAGAATAATAGGCATGGTAATCTGGAAGCCATTTCCTCACAGGTTTCACTTCACAGAATATTGTTATGCCTTAAATGGCAGAACAGTTGCTTGATATTCATACTTATCTTTGCTACTAATCCCTGCTGAAGAAGTTGATTTGCACCTTCTTGAGGATCACTTCTACAGTACAGCTGAATGCATTTCAACAATAGGGACACATTTGAGAATTCATTTTTGTCTAATTCCTAGAAGGGAAAGAAATCCCCCCCCCCCAAATGTTACTGTTTAGGTAAGAAAGTGAATTAACTAATTAAAAGTTAATGGTGAGGGATTTTCCTACTTGCCTTCTTAAGAACTTTATCCAGCTGATTTAGTAACTGTTTGTTGTACTTCTGGGGAGGATAAATATCCTTTTCTTGGACCATTTCATTTATCTTCTGAAACCCTCCCCCTTTAAAAGCATCACTTAACAACGAGTCCAACTAGAATAAAACATGCAAAAACAACAGTTTAAAATTTGCCTTCAGTTGTTGACAAATGCTTTCACCTCTTGGTACCTGTGCCGATTGCACAGAAATTGCAGAGAGAGAAAAAAATCCCTCATATCTGCAATATATAATGTAACTTGATATACAAACAGGAACATGCATATCATGCTTTCATTCTATAGCCATCTTGACTGCATAAGCCATTTGACTAAAAGACTGACTCTAAAATCCTTTGCTTCAAAGTATCCTTTGCTTTTCAAGATTTTTCAAGTAGAGAATACTCCTAAATTGGTTTACCATTCCCTTTTTCTGGGGACATCCTGGCACTGCACAACTTGCCCAAGGCCACACAGGCTAGCCCTACTTACAGGAGGCACAGTGAGGAATCAAACTCTGGCTCTGCAGACAGATACTTAAACTACTGAACTATCTACTCAGCCAAAGTATATATAACTGAATGAAAGCATAATGGCAAACCACTTTTGAATATTTCATATTCATATTTCAGATTCAAATCCTTTGCTTCAAAGTATCCTTTGCTTTTCAAGATTTTTCAAGTAGAGAATACTCCTAAATTGGTTTACCATTCCCTTTTTCTGGGGACATCCTGGCACCGCATAACTTGCCCAAGGCCAGACAGGCTAGCCCTACTTACAGGAGGCACAGTGAGGAATCAAACTCTGGCTCTGCAGAGAGATACTTAAACCACTGAACTATCTACTCAGCCAAAGTATATTTCATATCCATATTTCATATTAAAAAGTCCATATTCATTTCATATTCAAAAGTCCAATGATCAAACAACCTAAAATTACAGTAAAGCTGAAGAAAAACATGAACAGCCACAGTGCCAAAATATGAATAACATTCCTGGAGAATTTAAATATGATGTAAAGAACAGATTTGCATTTGTGCACAAACTAGAACTGTGAACTGAAACTATGCAGAAAATATCATATGGAAAGCTTGATTAGTGGCTGCGGATCTGTTTCCGGGCAAAATTCAAAGTGACAGTTCTAACCCACAAAGCCCTAAATGGCTTGAGCCCAGGCTATGTCAAGGACCGCATCTCCCTTTACAAGCCTGCTTGAGTGTTAAGATTATCAGGAGAGGCCTTTCTCTTGGTCTCACCACATTCACAGGTGCATTTGATGGAGACATTGAATATGCATTGAATATGTTTCGGTGTTTATGTTTTTTGGTATTGTATTCATTGATCCTTTTAATGCTGTATTCTGACTGTTACTTTTGTAAGTCACCTTTGATCCTTTTTAAAGGAGAAAGGCAGGTTAAAATATTTTAAATAAATAAACTGATAGAAGAAACATGAATACTTTGAAATACGTGGATAATAACACTTTGTTGCACAAAACAGCAATGACTTGAAACAGCCACTAATAAAGTTTAAAGAAAAAAGTATAAGCATGGGATTACAACTGAACATTAAGAAGATAAACATCAGGACTACAGCAGAAATAAAAGGTAAAGGTTCCCCTTGACATTTAGTCTAGTCTTGCTGATTTCAGAAGCTAGCTCAATTCTAGGGCGGGGTGCTCATCGCTTTCTCCAAGCCATAGAGCCAGCGTTTATCCGTAGACAGTTTCCGTGGTCACATGGTCAGCGCAACTAGACACGGAACGCTGTTACCTTCCCACCGTGGTGGTACCTATTTATCTACTCGCATGTTTACATGCTTTCGAACTGCTAGGTTGGCAGGAGCTGGGACAAGCGACGGGAGCTCACTCCATCGCGTGGATTTGATCTTACGACTGTTGGTTTTTGGACCTTGCAGCACAAAGGTTTCTGTGGTTTAACCCGCAGTGCCACCATGTCCCCTATAGTAGAAACACATACTTTTAATGTTAATAATGAAGAGATCGGAATTGTTAAAGATTTTGTATACTTTGGTTCAATTATCAAGCAAAAGGTAAGCTCCAGCCAAGAAAGACTGAGACTTTGAAGGGCTGTTATAAAGATACTACAAATAAACAAACAAATAAAAGCCAAAATCAGACAAACTATGATGTTCTTGATTATGAAAGCTGAACAACAAAGAAAGCTAACAGGCATAAAATCCAAGACCCAGAAAACCAAAAATGGGGCTTTCATGAAATGAAGTCTATGAATACCTGTTGGAAAATAACAAGTTGTACATACTCAAAGACTCCACATAAAGCAGAATACAAATTGACAAAGAGCCAATGACTTCCCCACCGTCATTCGATTGGTTTTGTTTTATTAATCCTTGCTGATTTCAGAAGCTAAGGATGCTGAACAGGTTGGAAAATCAGGGCACGGGGAAAGAATACCTGGAAGGGATAACATTAGCTTCCATACTGACAAAATAATTTATCAAATGAATGATAATTACATAGTACTCTGTTCTGTCTGGCATGTCATCCTCTCTTTCCCCACTCTCTTCTTCCTTTAGGCAAAAAAAGAAAAAAAAAGGGGGGGGTGAATAATTTTTAGCATATACTTTGAATAGCAACACCAGTTTAATCCTCAACAGTAAAACAACCTTTATGGAAGTCCAACATCCATCGATTTGACCCAAAATGTCTCTCTGCTTCCCTTGCCCTCAAGGAATAGTTTTTAAGAGGGCCACTTGAAAAAGCATTTTTTTTCCGATGGAGGTGCTGCAATTCAAGTACCTTATCCATCCATCCCTGCAATGGAGGGAACTACTGAGACTCACCTACACTCTGGTGGGTACTACAGTCAAAAAGGTGCAGAGAAAAACGGGATACGTATTTACTTCGATACGGGGGGGGCTGCCCTTCATCACACCCCAGCCTTCTTAAAGGAGAATGGGAAGGCTGCCTAGCGCTCACCTCCGTCCGCTTTTTAATACCTGGACGTGACAACTGGGAAAAGTTATGTGGGGGGCGGGGGAGGCTACAGCACTCAGAACCCCCTCCCCTCCGAAAGCGGAGCCGCAAAGGGCTCTTTCCTAAAACTTCAGCGGTGCAGCAAATGCACAGGGAAGGGCACACGTGAAACGGGGGTGGGGAAGCATGGCGCGAATATCTTGGTCACCCATAAAACCACCACAGAGGCCGCTCTTCCCGCCACCCACCTCCCACGCGTAGGCCTCAGGCTGCAAACCGACCTGTGGCATGGCAGGCCTCCCGGGAAGGTCACGGGCGCCGCGGACACCCTTTAATGAGCGCTCGCTCGACACCTGGCGCCCTTCCTGCCTGCCCCTGCGCGCGCGCCGGCCCAGCAGCGACTTCCCCGGGAGCCACGTTTGCGGGCCCTGAACGCGCCTTTAGAACGCCGGAACACTGGCAGGACTGGAGAGCCGCGCGCGTTCCAAGCCCGAGCCGCCCCTGGGTTTTTGTAGGAAGGATTTAGCCGACAGCAAGCGCAGCTGCAATTCTGGCGCCCGCCCTGTGTTTTTACTATTGTAGAAATAACCGTGCGCAAGACTGGCCTGTAAACAAACATTCAGCGTGACAGCATCGATGTGTAATTAGCCGCGATCCGATGCACGTGGACATCTGAATGAGTTCCGCTGCGTTGGAAGGGCCTTTACTAGCTTCCCTAGTAAAATTATTAAACTATGTGCCCCCAAGTCGGAACCGACTTATATTCGTAGCAAAACTAAGAGGGTTTTGAAGGTAAGTGAGGTATTTCAGGAATGGCTTTGCCAGTTCCTCCGCTCTCGGACCTTCTGTGGCTGAGTGAGGAATTTCTCGAATAAATTAGATATCATCTAATCTATTTCTTGCCGTCTTGAATCATATTAATGTTGTTGTTTTATTTTATGTTATTATTTTATGGATTGTTGTTAGCCGCCCAGAGTAGACTTCTGTCTAGATGGGCGGGGTATTAAATAAATAAATTTGAACTCAGGTCTCCTTAGTCCGTCAGTCTATCCGCTACGCCACGCTGGGTAATGGAAGAGAGAAAGCCTGTAGGTGGCCTTGTAGCCAGATGGGTGGTATAAAAGTCGAACAAATAAATAAATGTAGCGTTGGGGCCTCTAGAAAAACCACAATCCCGATGTTCACTACTGCGCTTCCGAATATTATTAGAAGACAGAGGAAACATGTTGTGGACTTTCTTAGGGCAAGTAAAAGGAGCCTTTTACAATAATAATATGTTCAATTGTATTCGATGGTATTTCCTATTCTTTCTAAATCAGATCTAGGAAACACTGGCGTTCCTGATGATGGACTGTAACTCCCATCATGCATCGTCGTTGGCTGTGCTAACTACGGCGAATGGGTGTTGCAGTCCAAGAGCATTAAGACAGACATAGCTGTCTCTCCACCCCTGCAACGATAATAAACGAACAAAGTTTATACTTTCTGTAGTCAAACTTCTGCAATGGAATCCTGTGCATGCCTATTCAGGAACAGAACAAAGTGAGCCCGGAACTGTAAATATAACCATCTCTGTTGAAAGAAAAGAAAACCAACCATAATGTAAGATACACTACATAGGGATGACCGCCCAGTTCCACACCGCCCAACCCAAGCGTGCTTACTCAGAACTAAGTCTGAGTTCACCTGGGCTTCCTTCTAGTTAAGGATCCATACGGTATACTGTGCAGGATCGCAATCCTAAAATCTTCACCTCATGGATAAACGTATCACAACCTTATATGGGTATGAATGGGAATAGAGAAAATAAAGAGCCGTTGGCTTTGCTTGAGGCAGGAGGATTAATTAACTGATTTTTATGTAGTTTTGTTTCTCAGTAACTGCGGAGATGAACAGAATATTAATGAAATGACGGTTTTTAAAAGCATGCCATAATTACAGTACATAGAAAATACCTCGTGTTACGTTATGTCCTAGAAAGTTTCGGGGCGGGGGGGCTCTTAGCCGAGCTAATGCGTCTGTTTTTAAACAGCAAAGCTCATGCGCCTATTTGGAAAAATATATACCTTGGTAGACAACCTCTACCCTCTGTTTTGCTTGTAACCATGATAAATCCTGATCATTTAAACATGCGCTCATATTTTAAGTTTCTTTCTTGCGGACGATATCCCTTCAAACTTTAATTTAAACGAAACTGTACAGGAAGGTAGTCCGCAAGAAGGATAATAGAAAGATAGACTGAACAAGTAAAATCTAGTTTCCACGGATTTAGTTATTTATTGCCGAGACCTTTTGGTATAATTGGACAATCTCCTCAGGCCATATCTTTGTCAGACCGTCGGGATATGGAATACAATATTCCTCAGTTTTTACCAAAAGAAAACACAAAGTCTAGTGATGCTAGGCGCATAGCATGTTTAGAATGACGGTCCGCATCCCATAAACTATTCAGAAGAAGGGCTTCAACATCCGTGTGCCATCGTTTATGAACGCTATTAATAATTATGTTACTCTAATAGTTAAAGTTGACTATTATCTTTCCCCAATATGTTTTCTGACAGAACATCCAAAATGTGAACCAAGTCTGCCTATGGTTGTGTATTTGCAAATCTAGTGTAGCGCCCAGATCAGATCATACTTTTGCACTATTAAAGAGCAGGCCGGGTAGGTGGGGCTCGTCAGCCATGGAAGGCAGCCCATCTAGGAGAAGGAAAACTCCGATTTCAAACCTCCACTGCCTTGTGGCTATATCCACTCATGGAAAAGGCTTCAGGAGTTAACCTCGAGGCAAAATCCGGAGCTGGAGTCCCGAAGGCAGCATGTGTCGTTCTGCCAACTCCTGCGACATTGCTGGAACCAGTTGTATTGGCTCTTGCCTTTCCATTGGACCATTTCAGCAATGTGGAGAGGGGGGAATCTGCTGCTTGGGTAACAGCCTATCCTCCATATTACCTTACCCGGGCTTATTAATAATTATGTTACTCTAATAGTTAAAATTGACTATTATCTTTCCCCAATATGTTTTTTTGACAGAACATCCAAATGTGAACTGCCTATGGTTGTGTATTTGCAAATCTAGTGTAGCGCCCAAACGGTCTAATTTATAAATGATGCATGCAGTGGTATCCTTTGTATGCTTACTTCTAAGTAAATCCCACTACGTGAACTTCCTAGCAGCCTTTTATTATTGCCGTTTAAGGCATCCCGTGGCGCATCCATTCTGGCTACTAGAAAAGTTTAAGTGCGCTGCCAGAGCTTCCGTCCAGCGGCGGTGGGGGAAGGCGTCGCTTGCCAAGGGTGTAAGTATGGCTGCGGCAAAACCAATACAAAGAAATGTCGAGGCACCAGAAAAGAGTGCCTCAACATGTCAAGTCTTAGGTAAGTGAGTCGGCTGACATCCTAGGCACGCTTTAAATGGAAATCGGCCCTCATGCGCCCGGCAGAGCTTTCTGAACTGCTTTTTTGGTCGTATCCGTGGGCTTTTAGGAAGGGGGAAATGAAGCCTCGTCGGCTGCCACCGTGCTCCCCTTCACGTCGCGTCCTTTGGTGCCGAAACAATCGAAAACTCCGGAGTGAGGGCGGAGGGTGCTTCGCACCAACTCCGATGCAGGCGAAATCCCCACTTGGTTTAGACCGTCAGAAGCCCCCCGGGGCCCCGTCGCCCCTGGGTCCCACTCCGATGGTTGTCAAGGAAGAAAAGGCTGGTCCGGTGGCCAGCTCGAGCGCCTGCATCGTGAAGTAAGTACTGTAGGTAGGATTTCAATCCCAGCCTCTTTGCCTTGCTTGGTTCGAGGGCTTGATGACGAAGGGACCAGCACCCCGACGGCCGTGGTGCCGAAGGGGATGGACCCTCCTGCCGAAGCGTCCTGGGGCACAGCCCGCCTCCGGGCAGCCGAATATACAACAAGAGAGGGGAGCGGCTTTCAACAGGTCTTGGGGCCAGCCGGAACCACGGCCTTTCTTTCCTCGCGGTTTTGAATATTCTGCTATTTTCCCGACCGACCTGCCTGCCTGCCTCCCGACTTACCTACCTCCTCAACCCCTTTCTACAATCAAAGATTTGTTCCCAAGGGCTTAAGCGCGTTTGCCATGGTTTAAACGCATTTCGACGGCACACAATCGCTCCGGGCTTTAAAGTCCTGACTGTCCAACAGTTTTTGGTTGTTGTTCTGGCAGGTCAGAAATTTGGAAGCCAGGGAAGGAGTGCGGGGGGGGGGCGGTAGGGAGAGACGCGAAATGCTGCCTGGCCTGTTTCCTAACGGAAGTAATTTGTGGCTGGAGGGGAGCAGGAAGATGTCGGTCTAGCGTGGTTTTTACGAATTTCGACCTCTTCCTTTTCCACGCGTGTCTCCCCCCTTTCCACCCACCCCTCACGATTTTATGGCGAACCATGGCTGATGAAGGGGCCTTCCTAACGGGGATCTTGGAGCTCCGTGGTCGGACACCAGGGCTGCTTGCCTCCCTCCCTTCTCCGACCGAAGATCCTTCCCTGGCGGTCCCACAACGACCGAGAGGCGCTTCTGAGGGAGGATTCCTCCTCCTTGGATAGGGGACAGGTGAAGCGGGGAGGAGCCTTCGCCCACGTGGAGAGCAGGCAGGTGGGAGGGTGGAGGCTGGGGACAGAAAAGCGGCCCTTGCCCCCCGGGAGCGAGCCAGAAGGCGCGCCCGATCCGGACGGAGCCGCTGCGGGCCGATTTCAGCACCTGGGGCCGTGGACAGAGGCCAAGCGCCCCGGCCGGGCAAGGAGCGCCCGCCAGGCCGTCCTGCAAGGCAAGCCAGGTAAAGCCGTCCTCCGCGATCCTCTTGCCTGTCTACTCGGAAGGAAGCTTCAGGAAAAGGTCCCAGAGAGGGAGGCTTCTTTTTCAGCTGTTGGCGTCTCCTGGAAGACCAGCTTCCTTCTTCCTGTGCTTATTGTCTCTTCGCCCTCACGGTGGGACCATTAAAATAAGAAGGGCTGGAAAACCTGTTCGTTTGTTTCTTTATGCTAGATGCTGCCTTTCCTCCGAGGAGCTGGGGGCTACCTATGGGGCCTTCTCCAGTCCTTATTGGTCCCCTCAGGATCTGGATCCTGCTTTCCCCCAATCCTAGTTCAACACCTAGTTCAACATGCTGCTGAGTACTACTGGGTTGTGGATATTAATGTTAACTGGCAACGGAAAAGCAGGCAATTAAAATCTCACTTAATTTACAGTCTCCTGACCTGGCCTCTTTTCAGACTCATTCCAAAGACATAGGGAGATAATATTAACTATTTCAGACAGGGCTGTTTTAATTATGTTGAGATCATATTAACTATCCCTGACAGAAGGAGGGAGATCAAAATTAATACAAAGTGGTTCTTGGAACTGTTGAAAAACTGCTCAGGAAGGGGGGGGAAAGCTAATTACTGGCTGCTATTCTTAAGTAGTATGGGCTACTTAATTCATTGTGTCATCTTCTCCTTAGAGCTGCTCCTAGTATTGCATTGTTCAGCCACAGGTTACTTGTGGATATTATAGCGTTATAGCTTGGGGAGGGTTCGGTTTTGCACATAATCTGTACTGAAAGTGCATCTGTATCAAAAATAACCATGGAAGTGTTCTCATTGCATGTTGTTGCTGCTGCATGTGCACATGTTAGAAAGGTGTAATTGACCTTAGTTTACTAGGCTATACATGTAGTGAAAGCATGCATGTATAGTTGTCTTATCACACATATTCACATAAGGATTTCATGGGAAACACAGCTATTGTGTGCACATGGGAAGTCATTACCAATATACTCTTCATCTGCTTAGGAGAACAGACTTTTTCTTTCAAGGCGTGCCTCAGAAATGAGTTGGTGGATTAGGAGAGAAAAAATTATGTAGGAAATGACGTGCTCAGTTCAATAAGTTAATTTTCCAAGTGCTAGTCATTACGTTAGAGCTAATTAAACAGAACCCTAGTGTTGTATGTATGTGTCAGGTGAAGACCTTCCTATAATCTCAGCCATTCTAAGACCTGTTTCAGTACTACTCAACCTTTGCACTTTTACCCTTTAATTTGGTTTTACATAATAAAATATTTTATTTTCTGTGGCTAGTTTCATCTTTATGTTCTCTTTCGTCATTAACTAGTACATTTTGTTGTATTGTTGCTATATTTTAAAACATATTGTTCATAGCCTAAGGAACTTCAGTTAATGAATAATTTAAAATGCATTAAACAAATGAATACATTTCAGGAATGAATCACTGGCCAAGAAGTGTAACTATTTTCTAAGATTTTCATATTGAGCTTTTTTGATGAAGAAAAATTAAGTATTGTCTCCAGCCAGAGGATAAAAAGAAGGGGGAAAGGCCTTTTGCCATTCTTTGTTGGCTCCCTGTTCTTTCAGGTGTGTGGAGTTGAAGGATCATGTCAAAGGACCCCTTTGAGGATTCTGACTACATCTGTTCCTTTGGAATGAAGCTGACCTGGGATATCAATGACCCCAACTTACCACAGGTACCAGGCAAAAAATGAGGTTTGGAAGAAAGTGACTTACCCAAAATCTTTTGTGATCCAATTTTCTATAGAGGCCTTTTATTACTTTAAGGGCTTTTTCAATAAAGATCTGAACATTTATCTGTTTAAACCTTTCACTGCATTTCTTAGAATTGCACCAGCATTCTCAGTCTATCCCAGTTCTGTATCTGGTGGAAACCATTTTTGTTTTCTTTTCCTGCAAGAAAATTTGTGCTTGGTTTTCTTTTAATCCATGCACAGTTTTTCCCATCCCCCCCCAATTGACCAAAAAATTTTATGCATATTTTTTCAGCTGTTTACATTTTTAGCCATTGGTGTTTTTGAAAGATATACAAAGTGTTTCATGTATTTTTTATTTCTCCAAAATGTGCTGCCCTTTCACAAATGTGTGAAGTTCATAAGCAAAGGATGCTTCATCTCACAAATCTCAGGAGGTATGAAATATATACTTCTGTTAAAAGCCTAAACCAGATAAGTTTTTTTTCTGATGCCTTGTTCTCATACAACTAGACATCCAGCTACATTTATTTAATTTGAATGGTGCTTCTGCAGCTTTTTTATGTGTTATGAAGCTGATTCTAACTTATGACAATCTTATGAATCAATGATCTCCAAAAGGTCCTATCATTATCAGCCCTCTTGTTTTGCAAATGAAAGGCCAAACCTTCCTTAACTGTGTCAATCCATTTCATCTTAGGTAACTTCTTTTCCTACTGCCTTCTCCTTACTATGATCTAGCTATAATGGCAAGATATCCAAGCTAATCATAGTTGAACAGGTGGTAAAAAGTTTTGCTCCAGTGTTAAATGTTTGTCTGGATACCTGTTCCAGCATAAAAAGGGAATGCAGCACACAAGAATACACGCCAGAAAGAATAGGATGTCAACATGACAGCATGAATGATACAATGCAGGGCAGAGGATATATATGCTGCTGTTTGCTGTTTTTTTTTAAACTTTGATAAGTGGGCCCAGTCCTAGAAGAAAGTAATAAGATGAAGACCCAAAGCCACTCAATATATTGTTACATTACAACTTAAAAGAGAAAGTTCACAAAGGAGAATGAAGAATTATAGAACATAAATATTTTAGTAGTGATGAGGAAACACCATTTGGGGCCTATACCATCAGGATAACCACAAGTCCATAGTTATACATTTCCCCATGTTTAGTGGAATGCACAGTTCAGTACAGAGACATGGCAGACTGAGATGGATAGCCATGTGAAGCTAGATGTTGATGGCAGCTGGGAAGTTACCAGAGGGCTTCAGGGAAATTAAATATTAGATTTTTATCCATTTTTCTTTGTTTGCTGCAAATGAGAATTCATGTATTTGCTGTGATGCCTAAACAACAACAGCAACCCAGAAGTAATGGTTAGCCTTTGTCTTGATGGAATATTGTATCCACCTAACTTTTACCCTCTCTTCTTTCCTCCTTTCACTCACCCATTTGCCTTCAATGCTAGGAGCCCAAGAACTTCGATTCTTTCCAGGAATGGCCAGATGGTTATTTGCGGTTTATCTACTCCAATGAGGATAAAAATGCACAGCGGCATCTCAGTGGTTGGGCCATGCGCAACACCAACAACCACAACTGCCAAATCCTCAAGAAGTCCTGCCTTGGTGTGGTGGTATGTGCCAGAAATTGCACCCTTCCAGATGGGACCAAGCTGCAGCTCCGGCCTGCCATATGCGATAAGGCTCGACAAAAGCAACAAAGTGAGAGCAGTGTGATGAGAGAGGATGCCAAATGGGTGTCCCCTTCTGCTCCAATTTCAGAGCTGTACAGGACTTTTAGAGTTTCTTTTCCAGCAAAGAGTTCTGTTGACCCATTACTTGTTATTGAAAAACAGTAATTCTGGGGATGTAGTTATATCATATGCTCAGCATATATTTAGAACTGGTGCTCCCTTAATTAATTAAATATTTCTGTTTATCTCAACAAACACTTAGACTGTGTTTTATGAGTAATCATCAGAGAGCAAACAGAAATTTAATTTGTCAGTCTGATTGCTCAGACATGTAGTTCTGGAGGACAAATGTCCTAATAACAGAAAATACATAACCCCTTTAATGTTTAGCTGGACCCTGAGATACAGCTCAGGAAGACAGGAATGTGATCATTTGTTTAGTCATTTGTTTAGTCCTCTTATACAATAATGTTTTTTGATACTTATGAGATGCCTTTTTTTGAAGCCACCCAATATCTGAATATATATAGTTACATATCAGGGAAAAAAGTGCTGGAATCCACACTACTTTTGTAGCAGTGAATCTATGAAGAAACAAAAATAATGTTGGTTCAATGTGTAGCACTTCGTAGGAATCTGGGGTCTATTTCCAGTACTATTCTTCAGAAAAATAGCATGGAAAAACTAATCTCAAGGCAACTTTTCCACCAGCACTCTTGTAATAGGTTAACTGTTGTCCTATTAAAGCTATGAATTTACCTATAAGTGAACTTTCTGTTAACACTTCTGTGACAGGCAAACAGGATGTTCCAATCATGTACTGGTAATTATAACCAGAACAGTTTCAATAACCTTAAATGAAAGTCATAGCAGTTGTTTTAATGTCCTAGTAATCTATTATTCCACCTTGCTCAAAGGACTCAGTGCCCTTGATTTTTAGGTAAAATAGACTGTGTTGCTGGGATGACTTGTTATTGTTACACAAGAAATGTGTGGGAATCCAGCTGAGTCCTACTCAGCAAGTCTGACTGTTGGAGTATATGGGAAGGGGAAAGCAATTGGATGTATACATGTTTGTAAGTCAAATAATTTGGAGGTTCTGCTTCTGTAAGGTTAGTTTCCTTCTGAATTTACATCTCTGTTTTGAGGTTTAACTTTTGGAATACAAGAATCCTTTCCTCTAACTTGTCAAATCTAGATATTGAAATGACCTTTCTGTTTGGCAGAAAAACATTGTCCAAACTGCAGTTCAGCTCTTGAGTTAATTCCTTGTCGAGGACATAGTGGCTATCCAGTAACTAACTTTTGGAGACATGAGGGCAAAGCAATATTTTTCCAGGTAAAATATAAATATAGGCTATGTTTCTTGTTTTACTTAGCATGGAATGTACCAAAAACATGTGTATCTACACCAGAATGAGAAATACGTCACTAGAAATATATGTTGATTAATTTTATTATGTTAATGACCCATGGCTACCTTTACCTTGAGAGTCAGTGCAGTGGACTAGATAGAGTAACAGACTAGGACTCTCCTGACTCAGGAGACCTGAGTTCAGATCTTCACTTGGCTACTGAGACTCACTGGAGCGTGGGTGACAATTGTAAGATTATGCCTTAAATATCTCACATACACTGAACACCCAATTAGGATCACTACAAGTCAATTGGCCCATAACAACAATAAATAATTTATTTACTCTTGAGAAACCAATAAATTCTATTACACTCAAGATATCCTCCTCCTCCTGAACCATCTAGTCACTTATGGTGACCCTTTTCAGGGTTTTCCAGGTAGAGAATACTCAGAAGTGGTTTACCATTCCCTTCTTTTGGGGAGGCATCCTGAGATTGTGCTGTTTGCCCAAGGTCACACAGGCTGGCTCGACTTGCAGGAAGCATAGTGGGGAAATGAAATCCCATCCTCTGGCTTCGCACTGTGCTACTCTTGAAAAATAAACAATTTTTATTACACTCAAGATATCCTACAACAATTGTCATTGTCACTTAACAATGGACTTTGCCACTTGACTGGTTCTTTGGTATATTCCTTATTGGCCTTGATCTGAAGCCAGAAAAAGCAGCTATAGCTCTCCTGAAGATTTTTTGACTCAACATCCGAGATCCCTCACTATTGATTATGCTGGCTAAGGCAGCAGAAAGTTACAGTCCAACCTCATTTGGAGGGCCAGAGTTGACTATCCATGATGCAAAACACTGTTTTCAGAGCCCTAAAATACATTTGCCAGGACTGAAAGAACCATGCAACTAATTCTGCATGCCGAAGTTGCTTTGAATGTTGATTTATATTGTCCGGTGCTGAATAGGAGTCATATTTTCAAATGGATGGAAGTTTCAGACAGAGATAGTCATATGATGTGAAGGATAAATGTGTACATTTCTTCAGTACATGCCCAAATCCACAATGAAAGTAGGACTTTGGGTCCTGACCCCTGGTTGTTTCTCTCTCTGATCCATCACCCGCTAGTTCCATTCACACTTACTAGCTCTCTATTTCATTTTATTTTATAAGCAAATTGGCTGGTGGACTGTGGCCCAAATTATATGGGGAAAGATAATTATCAATGACATAAATCAGAGGCTGACAATAAATTTATCAGGTTTTTTAAATTGGGTATTCCCTGAATAGTGGTTTGTCACTGCATGTGGGTTTTTTGCACTACCACCAGTGTATCTTGCATCTGTTTTGTGATTGGTTGCTACAAGATAAATGTGGGCTTCATTTGTAATTCTGACTGTGGAAACAGGTACCTCATTATTGTTGTGAGAGGGGAAATTATAGGGAAAGTCTTTTCTCCTTAACGTCTAATTTGTCTTTGACCTGGAGACACTCTCTGATCCTGAAATCAATGAAGCTGTGGGTTTTTTTTGTAAGAAACAATCTAAATTATGCTCAAGCTCTCCAACAAAGATAGCACAGCATGTTTGTACAGTCATATTTTCCCCCTATAAATAAGACGATTTTTCATGGCTCTATATTATTTTAGGCCAAAGGACTACATGACCACCCTAGACCAGAGAGTAAATCAGAAACAGAGGTGAGAAGAAGTGCCCTCAAAAAGCAAACACCGTCTTCTCACTCATCCCAGAAAAAAAGGCTTCTGGATTTTCAGGTAATTATAGAGCTGCAGTATTATCAGAAATTTTGATCGGAGGTATCACACATAAATGTGTATGTGAGCTGAAAATCAACACATGTATAAAAATAAAACAAGTGGAATTAGGGCTCATGACCATATACAGTATATAGCAAATGGGATCAGAAAACAAACAAAACCAAGTACCAGAGATGTCACATTGGCTCCAAGAATGCTTCCTGGCAGAAGCTAAAAGCTTTCAAACAGAAGCCTGAGTTGTTGGTCACAAAGACCATTCTCTCTTCTCTCTCTCTCTCCCCTATCCTGGTGTTGTCTTCATATGGAGGATCTGGAGAGAAATGCATCAATGGGGCAGGCGGGCACAGTAATTATCTCTGTGGAGTTTCTCCCAACCAATATTAATGCCCACAAACCTTTACAAGTGTTTAGTTTCAGATTCACTGAGGTGGCTTTTTCTCCTGAACTTGTCTTCATGATCCTAATTTGGTTCACACCTGATTTGGTGTGTCATTTGTCCAAATTTGAAGGACACAGCTATAAAAAAAAACCTGATAATTCCTATTTGCTATTATACTGCTTATGTACATTCACTTTGCTTCAAAAAACTTGTTTTAATTGATGTTCTTTTTAGACAGGACTCTGTAATGAGAATGGGAATCACTTTCACTACATTCATCATTTCGCATGTGAAGAAGTACCTGAAAATTTCAGCATAGTCACAGACGCCAACCTGCCGTTGTTAGCTCAGTCTCACCATTTCTTTCAAAATACAGAGCCAAACAATATTACTTACGATGTAACCAGCTTTCAAGGGGATGTGGTAGAACCACTTCAGAAGTACCCAAGCCCCAAAGTCTATACATCTAAAACAAGCTGTAGCTATGAATGTACCTTTCCTGGTTATGTAGGGTCCAGTTTTTATCCAACATTTCACAAAGATATGGTGGACATTCCAGCAGATCCTGATCACATCATGCTGAGTGGACTACAATATCATGTAAATACACTCAACGCCCATGAGAAGAACTTGGATAACATGTATAAACATCATGGATTCCAACAGTCCTCGGGGGAAATGGACTATGAAGGAAGAATTAACTATGGAACATGCCAGTCCAGTGCTAATCATCCCCATTATTCTGAAGAATATACTTGTAGATATAGTAGTCTTTCATCTTTGGAAGTTCCAGCTTTGCAAACTGTTATAACTACTACTACTAAGATGTCTCTTGAAGCTTACAAACCTGCTGCAGCAAAGTATGGCGATAATGTGTACACTGTAAAAGATTTTGTAAGCTGTCCCCTGGCAGAGAACCTTTCAGAAAATGTCTGTCCACAGATAAACTTTCAAGAAGAGTGGGCAATGGACAGATCAAATCTGATGGGTGAACATTTTCTGACCACTAATAAGGCAGCAGCAGCAGCTGTGGATACTTGTCAGGACAGCCCTAACACAGAAAAAAGTTATGCAGCATACGAAGAACAGATATTCAGATTTGAGAACACTGAATACTAAGCCCCTTGGGATGGCAATATTAGATTCGTTGTGCATATTCAAAACATAACAATTAAAGGTTAATTGCTAATATGGAAATCAGGCTTTGGAGGAATTGGGCAATACTGAGGCTCCAGGCAAGTTATTCATTTTAAATCATTGCTTTCCAAACCAGGGGGCATACTCATTTTGGAAACATGAAGAAATTCTAAGGGTGTATCTGCATACCAGACAATGTGACTTCCATGACATAACAATATTTTTCTCAATAAATACTTTTTTTCCCAGATTTCGTACTCCAATTTAAATCAAGTTTTGATACGAGTTCTTTTGTTTTTCTACTGCAAATAGCAGTTTTTTCTAAAAAGGACAATGGATGATGATAAAGGAGAGGTTGGTAGATGTGAGGGTTTCCCAAAAATCAAAAAGGGTGTCTGGTGCAGAAAAGTTTAGGAACTACTGTTCTAAGGAAAGTACAACATGACAGTGCAAAACCACACAGAAATAAAAGCATGGAAAATTCAAACTTTATCACTTTTATAACTGTGTCTTTGCGTAAACATGGTTATAGTATTTGTTATCCCATTCTTATCCCCAACCCCTTGGGATTCTTTTGAATCCCAGTACTTATAAATAAGAGGAAAGTTTACTAAGGGAGATAAAACAAAGAAATAAATATGGATCATTGTGCATTTTAATACTGTAAATTGCATGGGCAGACTGTTACTTTGCAAAACTGTAAAAATATTGTCTTCCTACAAATAATCTTTCAGTCATCTTTCCCCTTCAACCAATACTTGTTTTAAGATTTACACAAACACGATGCCATGGGAAAGCAGTGATTGGAATCTGTGCTATTAGACCTGTTATGTGGGTACTGGGATTCAGATCTCTACTTCCTGTGGAGCCCTCCGGCCCAAGTGCAGTCAGTCAGCCTAAACCACTTCACAGCTATTGTGAAGATAAATGTTAACCCAAGTGGGGGAAGGGATGTTGGTAGTGGCAAGAGAAGACTAGTTCACAGATGTGCCTCAGAATTCATGTCCTGGTTTCAAGGTTGTCTTGTTTGCTTTGTTGCTTGCTTTCCCTTCAAAACAATGAGGTTTCTTACCAGAATTCTTACCAGAAGCTCTTTAAATTACGTTTTTCAAAAATGAGTAAATCTGCTAACACAGATCAGATTATGTTTGTTTCCTGTGGCAACAAAAGCAGAGACCCTTGATGTTTTGATCCCAGTCTGGGATAAGGTACAGTAGTTGCTCTTAACTCCCTCTGATGCCACTGTAACAAGCAGGTCACGCAGGACTCCCACAGATTCCAACAGACTGGTGACGAAGACTGTGCAGTGTTGGAGACCTAAATGAGGTTGAAATGTTATAAGGAGATAAAGGACCTGTACATTCCAATCTGCCATACCACAGCCTACATCTTCAGTATTTCACAAGAAAAAGATTACTCCTTTGAAACTAAACATGAAAAAGCAAGCCATGTTTCTCTGTCTCCTATTCCACCCTTCCAGAAAAGGCTTTATAAATATGCAGAGAACCTCATCTGCATGAGCATAATTCAGCCTGCTAGGGCTCCCCATCTGGCTAGAGGAGGGCTGTGTAAAAGCTCCATCCATCCACGGGACCTCTCTCTTCGGCTAAACTTGACTCTGCGGTTATTCTGAGGAGGAATCCCCACTATCTCCAGTCACCAAATGGAGAGAGTTTCTCTTTTTTGCCTGGTGACACCTGTCAAATGATAGAGTCACTTGATTACGTGCTTCTCTCCCATCTGAATACAGTCTTAGTATTATTGCTTGGATGAGGAAGAAAATAAAATAATACACAGACTTAACTGTCACTTTATATTTGGCTGGAGCAGCTATGGCTTTAAACCAAGTGTGCTATTGCCACAAACTCTGCTAAGGACTAAGATGATTGAAGGGGGAAGCTCATAGTCTTCACAATTGGCCAGGGTGGCAACAGTAAAGTAGTGGAAAGTTGCAGTATGTTTACCTTTTTTTTTTGTCTCATTTGGTTCCTTCATTAATAATACAGTGCTTTTACACTTTAAATGTTTGTAAACAATGAACAAACTTTAAAAAGAAATGTACAACATGTTAAAAGCATGAAGGAGTGCATGTTACTGTTCTCCATGAGTGACATCAGTGATCTGATCAGACCCATCGTGTAATGTAGACAACACAGCACACCCCACTGTAGGGTAAGTCGGTAGTGAGGTTGAAGGAAAGTCCCCTTTCTCCCACAACCAATTATTGTGTGTCATCCTTGGAAAAATAAATTTTCCTTAGAAACAGGTGATTTCAGACAGAAGTGTCTAGTTCACAAACAACACCGAGGAAAGATAGGACTAGTATAAGAAACACACTTTGTACCCCACCCCAAGAAATGGAGGAAGAGATTAATGGTACACTGTAAAAGTTCCACAAAAAAGAATCCACTGAAAATGACTTGCATTCTCTTCTATTTGATGCATGCGGCACAAGAACGTGAGGAGGAGAGAGGGTGTGTGTTTGGAAGTTAATGCTGAAATATTGTAAAAATGTTACACATGTTCTGTTCCACTATTTTTTTGAATTACTTAGAAATGCAGGCTGAAATTTGCTTGTTCTTCTCCCAGTAAGCTACAGCATATTCCATGAGATTCCAAACCGATTTTTAACAAAGTCAGGATTTGACTTTTTGTAGATGAACCAAAGTGTAAAATGAATAAACACCAGGTGCATCAGGATGTTGTCCCCCCTCCCCCAAATTTATTGTGTTCTAAAGCAAACTGCAATTGCTCTTCATGGATCTTTTAGTTCTTGCATATTATATTTCATTTAGTATCCTGGTTCATAGGAAGAGCAAGGTACATGAGTGCTGTTTTGTCTGTAGGGCAAAACGATGTGCCAACTGATCAGTACATGTTGTTCATCGCACTGCTTTGGAAAACATTGCAGTTTTGTATAAACAATGAGCAGTAGCTTCTAAGGTCAAGAGGTCTATTATCTATGAAACTTAAGAACTGGCACCAAAGGACAAAACAATGAATAACATGATGGGTAGGTTAGATTACACATGAAGAGTAACACAGATATGCAAGTAAGCAGGAATGCATATGCTTGAATTCACTAACGTAATATTTATTTTAATGCTAAGATTTCTAAAATAGTGCTGAAGGTGATGAACCTCAAAGACCTTGAAGCATATGCAGCCAGCTCACTCTCATTATCACATGTGTATTTATCCCACTTATAAGAGGTATAAAGTTGCTGATGCAGTATCATTTCTGGTGTAAAAAACTATTACAGAATGGTGCACCAGACACTATTAAAATCATTTAAATCACAAATAGCTCATTTTTCATCTTTTCTGCGACACAGACTGCTCACTAAACCAGGTCTGAAACTGTATGCTATGTAAACATTAACAGTACAGTTCCATGCTTAATTTATTTCATGACAGTAGTTTTTAAACATTTCTACTGAACCCATTTTCACCTGAGAATGTTTGCTGATGGTTTCAATGTTTCCTTTGGATTCCAGAATGCCCCTGATTTTCTACACAGTTGACTTGCTGTGGAATCAATTTATCTGTCAACATGACTAAGAAAGCCAATCACCTTAGGATATGGTCACAATGGCCTGAGTTAAGTCAAGTAAACTTTAAGCTGTTGTGATCAGGCAAGTATGCGCGGAGTTTTGAAAAACATCCCTACATATCTTTATTTAGAAACAGAACTCCTGCTGACTCAGGGTATCTGGGCTAGTGAGTGGATCATTCAATTTTCTTTTCTCTGATCATATTCAGACAATGGTACAGCCACCAACCCAATATCATTATGCAGCACAATAGGGAATCCTATTGATTGCCACAGTCTCCAGGGAACTCTCTCTCGCTTTCTAACATACCTACAGAATACACAAGACTCTGGAAACACAAGGTTCCTTTTCAGCTTCAAGTATTCCCTGTAAGTGTCTTTTGTATTTTATGAAGAGTACTGTACTCAGTCCTTCCCACCATTTGAACACTGGGTGCTGGTTGAAGTACTAGTACGCCATCCTTCACTTGCATCACAAGGTGTGTGACAATAAAATAAGCTGGTAACTTGTACGTTTCTTTTCTCTCTCTCTTTTCATTCTGTGGGAATGAAAGGGCTACTTGGATTAGCAAGACAGGTGTTTTCTCATGGATGGTTTCATGTTGCTGGGATGTGAGGGGAAGTGCACTGAAAAAAAGGGAACCAGGTAGGATGGGCTACCAGTATATTCAGTCTATAATCATGATTTTGGCACTAAGAGATAAATTTTTCCATCACTCATGTTTGCAAATTACATTTTTAAATACTGATCTGTCGTATGACTTCAAAAGAGTAGAAAACTGCAAAGAATCCACTGTTTTATGACACTGCTGTTGGACCTAATAAAGGCACAACATATCTGGCTTTTAAAAAAATTCTAAAGAAATAACACACCCATCTATGCTCTTTTGATAATATATAATGTAACATATAATGGGAAACTAAATATGTGGAAATCTAAGCTTGATTTCTTTGTGCTCTAATTAGATAGAATGTGGCATTAATGATGCTTTGTCACACTAACAAATTGATTTATGCAGATATGTACATAAGGAGTTTTCCAAGGAGGATGTAATGTCTCACCCATAAAAAACTGATATGGGGATCTTAGATTTCTTTGTGCTCTAATTAGATAGAATGCGGTATTAATGATGTTTTGTCACACTAACAAATTGATTTATGTAGATACGTACATAAGGAGTTTTCCCGAGGAGGATGTAATGTCTCACCCATAGAAAACTGATATGGGGATTTTCTAAGCAAATATTTTCAACTGGAACAAATGAAGCAAGTTAGATGAACAATATTCTACACCCAAATATGATGAAATTCAGTTGGAAACCAATGATGCAATACTTCCACATATACAAATAAGTTAATTTGCATGTTTTATGGATCTATATAGTGTTGAGTATTTTTACTGATGGGACCTAAATTTATAAAACCAAAACCAAAGTACATTAGCACTGTTAAGAGTAACACATATATTTCAGTGTGATGTTTCCTTGATTACAATGCATTTCTTCAGAGATGGTTGTCTGAAGAAATGGACTGCAGCCCACAATGAGACTTGAATGAGAAAGAGCTGACATAAGGTATATACCAATGCTAGAGACCCACTAAAAAGGACTGAATATCAAAGATTCTGAAGTTGTTACCAAGTGTTAAATCCTACACTGATTCACACAGCTTATTACTTGTGCCAACTATACTAGTATTACCTTGTAGACTGATCTTTGACATTATTCACAGGCTGAAACGCCTACTCCATCGCTATCAAACAACTGTCACTTCATCTATTTTCATTATCTCTACCTGGTCATGGGGCCTTTCAGAAACTGCTATTCGTTCAGAACTGTTAAAGGTTAATAAACAATTGTTGGATGTTAATCCATCTGCGATAATTTAGGATAAGGCTGAGGAACTGCCAAGTCTAAATCAAGAACCATGTCACACATGTATAAATATCTGTCATACAGTATAGCCTTACTTTTATGTCTGAAGAAGTGGACTTCGGACACGACTAAACGAACGAACAAACGAGTTAGTCTTTAAGGTGCCACAATTGTTTTATCTTTTATTTGGTTGTGTTTGTGTGTTTTGTCTGATATAAAATCAACAATTGACACCCATTCTTCACGTATGAAGAAACCTTAACCCACAGGGCCCTCACCAGCAAAGGCTTTGCATGTACCTTTTCTAATGCACCAGGGTTTTCTCTCCCCCCCCAAAACCATGTACATAAAATTTCCCTCTTGCACACTTCTTTAATGAGGGGGCTTATTGCCTCTCTTTTGCACAGAAAACCAATCCTGCTTGGGGCAGCACTTACCAACAACAGAACAGGTAAAAAAAAGTCCATAGTGTTTTAAGCCATCCAGCACACTCTCCTCAAATAGCTTTTACTTAAGACTCAGAAACCCGAGTCTTCCCTGAATATGGTCAAGTATCCTTAATTGCCCTTGATCGACAGTCTATTAATATGAAGGGCTTCTTGCATTTCCATTACACAGTATTTCATTTGGTCTGCCCTCCTCACCACTACATAAATATCTCTCCTACTGAAGCAACACTCCATGCACCTGACTAATTGGGGCAATCATTTATTAAAGCTTATATAAATTGAATATTTTAATCTTAAAGGTGCCACAAGACTCTTCATGCTTCACAAAAATGCTCAGACTAGGACGGAAGCAGTTCCCACAGCCAGTGTGCCTTTAGCAGCATGGTTAGCATTTCTAGGCGTTTGCTTGGGAAGAACTCCTGGTGTGTTACATGTGGCCAGAGCCATAACTAGGCATTTGGGCATCCAGAGCAACTGACAGGATCTCCCACCCACACTGCTGCATGGGCACAAACCCCCCTATTTTTATTTATTTATTTATTTGATGTATACACCCTAGAGAAAAACGAAGGAGAATGTATGCTTTTAAACATTGAGGAAGAATGAATAGGGCCTGGAGGCTTGCAGTTCATTTTTCTAACACTCATCTCTTGATTACGGTGCCCAAGGACAAAGGCCAGTTGCTCCACCTTAGTTACGACCCTGTACTGGGCTTCCATCCGAGAAATGGGTTCCTCAAATTCCTTCAGCCAAATTCTGTTATTTTGGGGCAAGAGGTATGCGCGTGATCCCTACTTCCCAAGGAGGCAGTTGATTCACGCGCTTATCTAAAAAAATAAAATAAATAAAATCCAAACGTCTCAAGATAAATTTGCCATTTTTGTCACCCCCTCCACTTGCTTTTTTTTTCCTAACGCAGGGACTGATCGTCACCTGCGGAGCAGCCGCGAGCACAACTCCAAGCCCGAAAGTTGCGCGCGCGCGAAGTGTTTCTGAAACTGTCAACGAGCCAGCCAATCAGAGCCGCGACGAGACGCAAGCGCGATTACCCCCTTTCTGTTACCCAGCCGCCTTCCTGCTTGCCTTCTCTTCACGTCTTCCCCTCCCCTTAGATCCACCCCTTTCGTTGGTACAGTACTTCGGCCCGGCCATTCGCTAGGCTGGCGGTTGCCTAGGCAACGAGTAGCTGCCGGCGCTGAGCCCGGGCCGGGCAGACTCGGAAGGGTTGCTGGCGGTTCGGACATTGGGATGAGGGGGCCGAACGGAGCGGAAGGACTCCGAGGGGGAGGCCCCGGACCCTCCACAGGCGGCGAGAAGCTCGGCAGTGAGTGTGGGGCGAAGGGAAGGGGGCAAAAGGAGAGCCGGGGGGCCTCAGAATAATGCTGAGGAGGAGGAGGAGGAGGAGGAGCGAAAGTGGGGCGGAACGAGTAGCAGCGGCAGCAGCCGGGCAGGTGCCTCTTTAGTTTACTCTAGAGTAGTGTCCCCTTATTCCCATCGAGATCGCTCGACTCCAGGGCTTGTGAACTGCAGTACATGGTCTCCTCCTTTCTGATCCTATATATGGCCATACTCAGAAGGAAGATTTCAGTCAGGGCGGTTTACTCTCCCGCCTCTCGTTCTGTTCTTGCTTAATGAGGATGTGGTGGGACTTAACTGGTGAGTCAGTGATGCACAGGATTGGGCTGAAAGCGTTTAAAGGGCAATGTAGTTAAAATTAAGGAATTTCTTAATCTTAAAGTACCGTTCGAATCTCATCGGTTTTCTTAATATCTGATTTATAGCATCCTTAACATGGGTTTCAAGGTTTATGAGATATTTCAGGAGTTGTTTACTACTGCCACTTCACAGTGATTTTCCATGTTCAAATGTGGATTTGAACCCATGTTTCTGAGTCCTAGGACATCACTCTGTCTACTACACCATACTGGCGGTTCATGCATAACCCTTGCAGTTCTGTTTATTTATTACCTGTGTGTCTTCCATTTCCAGTAAGAAGCTTAAGGCAGCGTATGAGTTTATCCAACTATATTCACAACTATCCTCACAATTGTCCTCATAAGTAGATAAGGCTGTGGGATAATGACTGTCCCAGGCCCAATCTATGAACTTCATAATTAATGTAGGGATTAAAATTTGAGTTTCCTGAGGCGATATGTATAATGAAATTCTCCAAAGTTAAGCTGTAAAGTCTTTTGAAATATATGCACCAAATGCATAGGCTTAATTTTTCATTTATGTGAAAATGTACTTAAGCATGTGTGATGGGATTTGAGGTAACCTAAAGTATTTCCTATCAAAAATAAATGTATACATAACATTATACTGTATAATTCTGAATAGAGTGTTTTAAGCGATATATCCTAGCTGTTAATTCATTGCACAAAACTAGATGCTTCCTGTGAATCGGAAGATTCAGATTGTAGAAGGGATATGGTTAAACTATTAATTTGTCTGGAATAGAATTGACAGATGCTGTGGGCAGCATGATTGTAATTTCCTTCAGAAATTCAAATAGATGTGTCTAAAGCCAAGCATACCACAATTTATCAGAATAAGTTAATAATAAAATTAATGTCCCATCAAGTCAATTCTGACTCATGGCGATCCTTTCCAGGGTTTTCCAAGTGAAGAATGTTGAGAAGTGATTTACCATTCCCTTTTTTTGGGAGTGCCCCGTGGGATGGTGCAGCTTGTTCAAGGCCACACAGGCTGGCTCTGCTGGTGGGAGATACATGGGGAATCAAACTTCCAGCCTCTGCAGCCAATACTTAAACCACTGAGCTATCCAGCCAGCTTCAGAAGTAGTCAGTTACCAGTTTTTCATGTATTTATACAAGGATCTAAAGATTCAAAATGTTCACTTGTCTTTTTTTTTTTTAAAAAAAAAACCTATTGTTGGTTGTGATCTTAAATATACAGTAATTTCAGCTCAATCTGGTGCAGGTAAATTCCATATTAGTTTCAGTAGGTGACCTTAATTCTGCTTAATTGTTTGGAAAAAAACACCTTTCTCTGAATTCATATTTAAATGTGGTTGGAATCAATGTAACAGAATAAGTGGAAGAATATGTAATAGTACTTTGTCCTAATTATGGAATGATGACAGATGAACAAATGCTACGGAAAGGAAAGTTTAACTGTTCTTTAAATTGAAGGCTGCAGTTTTCACATGAATGAAAAGATGTCTGTTTTACTACCTTGGTAACCACTTCTCACTGTTTAGCAACAGTAGATGTTTGCCCTGTAAAAGTAAACAAGGAAAGAAAACTGAAGCAAGATAAATTATTTTCAAGGTGCTAATGAGACATTCCTTCCCACTTCATACACAGTTGGAACACTGTGTGTTTGTAACTGTCAATAGGAGTAGGAGTTCATTTCAACAAAGAAAGACCTGTTTCTCTGAATGTTTGGAAACAGAAATTATTTTCTAGTGTTTATGATTGCATGTATTGACATAAAGGAGGTAGATTGTCTGGTCTTATTTGTTAAAATATTCTGTAGGGTTGTTATGAACATACTTTGTTGAATGTAGGAGACAAATCTTAAATGGGTTGTACATTTCTTAGGGTTCTGTGAGAATTCAAGGTTTTTCCCAGGTAGATCGTACTGAACTGTGCAACTGTTGGTAGTTCTGGTGAAGTCTATGGCAAAAATGCTTATGAGATGAACTTGATCAGGCATTCAGTTACTTAGTATTAATGAGATCTGTATCTGATCTTTACCTGTAAGAACTAAGGTTAGAAAACTGTTAAGTTTAATAGAGTTGGTTAGTGTTTTCAAAGAGAAAATATATGCATAGAAAGGTATTTATACACAGAATAGAACATAAATATTTCATAGCATAGCAAATCCTGGATAGGTTCACTAATAGTTACCTACACAATAAGTGTAGTGTTTATTGCCATTCAATTCTGTGGTTTTCAAAAAGCTTACAGGATGCGCCCTTTATATGCTGGAATACCCTTTAGAGAAAAACCTCTGGTGACAAACTCCTGTCTCTCCTATACTTAGAACAATCCTATAATACACGATTTCCAGTTTTGTACAGGACACACAAAGCTTGGCCTCACATTTCAAGAGAAGTTACAAAGTGCAACGCTCCCTAGGCATCTTGAATCACGCTACTGCATTTGTTCAGCTATGCTGAAAGTGGAATCACAGAAGTTTCAGCAAAACTTGTATTTTCACCTTGTGAGCCCATTTTGCTAATACTCCCATCACCTTTCTTTCAATTGGCTTTTAATAACCTCCAGATGTCTTCAGAAATTGTTAATGCTTACTTTAACTTTTAGAAACTAGCTGCTATGATTTAACTTTAAACTTGCAGTCACCAAGAAGTGTAAATGAAGATAAGGATTGTTAGCCATGAGTGTCTTCATATTCACAAATCAAAATGCTGTGTTATTTTCCTTGCACCAGCATAATCACTTCAAATGGTTTTGTACCTTTATGGAAGCATTAAATGGGCATCTGTGTATTGTTTTATTGCTGATAATTGCTTTAACTACTTTTGGCAGGATAAGTTTACACAGTGACTTTCTAGATTGTGATTTTGATACTGACAATGTACATATTCATTTCTTAAGTACTATCTGACAATTTCTTTTGGATGCCAGCTTTATTAATGGATATGTGTGTTGTTCTTATTTTTACAACTACAGGTTGTCTCAAACGCTTTGAAGGGATTTATGCTGGAAAGTATTTACATCCGTTAGTGAGAAAGAAATTATATGTGAATGTATCAGAGTTCTTGCAGACATAGTTTCAACCATGGTGTTAATTTATGCATGCAGTGTTACAGTTTAAAATAATGCTTTTAACTAGTGCTTTGGGTTCGTTACTTTAAAATAGTGAATCCATTAAATACATATTGGTTAATTTGGTGTTGCTTTGCCTATAACTATTACTCCTACAACTTTTCTGATAATTTTCAAATTGATTGAGCAGTGACATCTTGTCCTCTATCTGTCCTTCCCTGTAATACTTTCTTAATTCTGCTTGAGGAGATTATTGGCAGCATGTCCTCAGCAATAAGGAACAATCTGTTGTTTACAATAGGATTTTTCCTCTCCTTTCAACAGAGTACTCCCAAGGGAATGTGATGTATTTGTATCCCATTTCTGTATATAACTCATGAAATAAGGTGGCATAAAATACACTGTGAGCATAAACCAGTTTCCCTTAAGAAAAGTAGATTTTTACTTAGAAGAAGTAGATGTAAGAAACAGAAAACATAATTATTTCTGCTCTTGGCATTTTCCCATTTTCAGGTTATAATCCCTTTTTCCCAAAAACTATATTATGCCATTAGACAGTAGTTATAGAAGCAAAACGCAGAAACCATCTATCTTTGTCCACCTTTTAGTACTGGTATATGTATATGTACTGGTACCCTGTAGTGTAGTGGACAGAGTAATGGTACCCTCTAGTGTAGTGGCTCAGAGATCTGGGTTCAATCCCCTGGCTCTGCTGTGGAAACTCACTTGGGGGGGGGGAGGACTGGTAAAACCACACCATAAATATCTCACTTATCTTGAAAATCCTATTTGAGTCACTATAAGTCAGTTCTGACTTGATAGCATGTAACAGCAATATATGTACCATTCACATAAGTTTATTGTTGCTCTTCAGATTCTTTATTACCTTATTATACATTTTAATACTCATTTCCTTTGTAGCCTTCAGGTGTAGCTAGACGGCAGCTGGTTTTGGGTTTTTAGTTTCTCACTGTTAACGCATAAACTATCTTGAGAAAGTGGGCACATGTGTGTTTTATACATTTTAGGAGCATCAGAAAATAATCTTCCATGTGTGTTGCAGTTTAAAACTGAGCTGCTTTTGGACTTACAGATTTTGGCTTTATTATAGTATATAATGTGGAGCATTCCAATAAGTTGTATGCTTTTGCAGTGCCTCAGATTGTGAAATGGCCTCACTAAACCAGTGTACATGTTTTAATGATTTTCTTTAACACCAAGAGAACAAGAAACCTATCTACAATAAAGAGAGTGATTACTGGCATGCTTACTTGAGAGTAAGCTGTGCATAGAAAAGTTGAATTTTCTTCCTTGTAAACTTGCATAGCTGCAAGCCAGAAATGAGAGAAACAAATAGGCTTAGGGCCATTACATTCTGTGGTCATCCAGATGTTCTTGCCCTGGTGCTCCAATCTGGCCTAGCCAGTTTATTGAATGGTGAGGGATTTTAGATACTCCCATTTAAAAGCATATGGAGGACCACAGTTGTCCACTTGCCCTGGTGCTCCAATCTGGCCTAGCCAGTTTATTGAATGGTGAGGGATATGGAGGACCACAGTTGTCCACATCTCTTCTAGATCAGTGGTTCTTAACTTTGGGTTGCTCAGGTGTTTTTGGACTGCAACTCCCAGAAGCCTTCACCACCAGCTGTGCTGGCTGGGGTTTCTGGGAGTTGCAGTTCAAAAACACCTGAGTAATCCAAGGTTAAGAACCACTGTCCTAGATGAAACGATCACACTTTTTAAAGAGAGCGGTCTTGATGATCTGTCTGCCTAGTGTACAGAATGGATTTATTTGAGATGTGCATTGTATACAAACTTTGTTTTTGATGATCTGTCTGCCTAGTGTACAGAATTGATTTATTTGAGATGTGCATTGTATACGAACTTTGTTTTATCCTCTCTCTCTCTCACACACACACACACACACTCACACACACACACACACACACACAGACTCACTTTGTATACAGAGAATACTGTTCTAATATATAATCATAAGAGAGAGAGAGAGAGAGAGAGAGACTCACTTTGTATACAGAGAATATTGTTCTAATATGTAATCATAATACAGTATTGATCTTACATGATAAGACTTAAAATATTTTTATTGTCGCTAAGGATTCTTGTAGGAATGGCCCCATTATGCCCTTCAGTGCTGAATTATTTCTGGATAGAGTGGTTATAATACTGGGAAAGAAGACTGATGACTTAAGCAACTACTATGACAGATTATTCACTCATGTAGCAGCAACATTCCGGAAAATTAATAGTTCCAGCAATTTTTGAAGGATTTGGCTAATTTGCAAGATGAATCGTTACACAACTTTGAAGCAACTTGGGGATGGAACGTATGGCAGTGTGCTGATGGGCAAGAGTAATGAATCAGGGGAGCTGGTGGCCATCAAAAGGTATGTGCTGCTAAACTGTTATATTTTTTATGCCTAACATTGCAGTCACATAGATATCTGCTTGTAAGCCCCACTGAGGTAAGTGGAACTACTCTAAAGTACTGTAAGCGTATAGCAGGAATGGAGACTGTGAAGTGCCATCTAGCATTGTTGGCAGTAAAATTTGATTGTAAATTACCCTTCAACCCTCTGGAAAATAGAGGTGCGAGGCTGTCTTGAAGGCTACATAGAGACACTCAATCTCTAACTCTTGTCATTTTTAAAAAATTGTCCACCATATGGTGAAAGAAAGCTTTTTAAAAGTAAACTCCACATTTTTAAAGGGTTATGTCTTGTAGGAGCAGCTGTGGATGTGGCCTCCCAAGGTCTGGGAATGGGCATATGCAGCCCTTGGACCTTTGGAGATTGCCCACTCTTGGTCCACAGATACACCGTGTGTGACAAACCCAGACCTACTGGGATCTGCCACACGTTAACTAAGCTGCCACCAACCATTCCCTATAAGAAGTCACACAGACCAGGGATGGATTTTCAAACAAATAAAGAATAAGGTTTATTTAAATACACACAGGGAAAATAAAATAATCAGGTGAATAAGATAAAGTAACGTGGCTTATTCTCATTCATACATGCATACAGTTTGGTTCACACAGAACCCTTAACTTGAAGCACAGACCCTGAACCTATCAGTTCTGGCTAACCAACAGACACCTGAACCTATCAGGTTGGTACTCTGACACACAGTAGTACCCTGTCTGACACACAGACTCCCACACCAGCTTGTTCTTCCCAGCTGCTGCTTCATCACATCCCAGCGTCTCCCTTTCACCACACAGGCTTCACATATATATACAGTACAGCCCCTCCTCCTGATGTCCCGCCTTCCACTCTCCATAGGATGGAACTTTCCCTCCAAACCCATGACAGACAGGTAACATCAGTGCTGTATGTAACACCGTGTTTGTTGGTGTTTGAGAAATTTTAATACAAACACTGCCAATAATACTGCAGCATGAATATGCTCTTTAAGTACTGTAGGAATCTTATGTAACCTACATCCTTGTAGCTTGGGCTCCATGGATCATTCCCACTTTGCTTTCCTTCATGGCATAGAAAGTATAGGCTGGAGAAATAGCCATCTTCCTTTAAGTGAGGTGCTGCTGCCTGAGTCCTGCTACCTGAATGTTGCCATTGGACCCTCTTGTAGGCTGCATTTTAAATAGTTAAATAGATTGCCTAGGAATAGCTTCTATTGACTTCATCCTGCCCAGTTAGTTCTCACCAAAGATGGCATTTAACACTTTTGCATTTGAGGGAAAACAGTGTGAAATGCAGTCCCAGAGTTCACCCCTGCATGTGTTGAATTGCCATCACACTTGGATGTAAAGCCCATAAAAGTAAACTGAGAGAGAACATTTTCAAATGTATGTTTTCCTTTCCTCTCGTTTTCTTTGTCTTGCTCACTTTTGCTGCTGCTTTTTGGGCGAGAGGGAGAAAAGAGTGGAAGTGGCAGCCTTGGCTCAGCAGAGATATGATTGTGACAAAAAAGGTAGCAGTTAAAAGAAGAAGGTATTCTTGAGTGAATTTCCAAGCACAATACCTAAGGACCATGAGGTGATTTATCCTAGGCTACAGGCAAGGGACTTTCACATTTCCCTCAACTGCCCTGAATTGAGGAAAAGAGGATCTCCAGAGCCAGTCTAAGACATTTTGCTACCTGAGACCAAGGATAAGATACTCCTCTCCCTCTTACGAAGGCCAATAGTGAGAAGAAGGAAAAAAAATAAAAGAAGGGATAGGGTGAGTGCAGAAGCAGTTTGGGTGAAATTATGGAGAAATACAGAAGAGGGTAACAGAGTAGGGTACAAAGCAGATAGTGGAGAGATCTGGAGGTGGAGAGCGCTCTGAGACAGTGGTCCCCAACCTTGGGCCTCCAGATGTTCTTGGAGTGCAACTCCCCGAAGCCTTCATCACCACCTCTGCTGGCCAGGATTTCTCGAAGTTGAAATCCAAGAACATCTGGAGGCTCAAGCTTGGGAACCACTGCCCTAAGATGTAAAGACAAAGAGTTGGAAGATGGTGGTTCATGGACAAAAGGGGCTAAGAGATCTTGGCTGCAAATAGAAAGAGTGCCAAGTTAGAAATATGGAGTGGGGGAAATGGTCATAGCAAACTGACAGGGTGAAAAATGCTCTTGATAAATATATAGGGAGGAGAGATTGGGATGGTGTTTCCTCAGAGAAGCAGCCAAAAACATTCTCTAGGAAAGAAAAAAGGAATCTCTGCACAAAATAGTCCTTACTTGTCAATTGATTTCATACCAAGCTCTGAACCTTCTTTTTTCTCTGTCCAAGAAAGGGAAGTAGATCTCACACTTCTCCCTCTCCCAGGGGCAGCTGCTAAGTGACAGAGATTAGTGGAGAGCACAGCAGATGGACAAAAAAAGATTGCTTAGCGAAAGTCTGATGCTGTGAAGGCATCTGTTACATCTGAAATCAGGAAATGTTCCAGCTAGTCATGGTCCCTTCACAGCCCAGATGCTTCCCTTAACATCATGCCTGAGTAGCCTGGAGAAAGCATAGAGGAAGAGGAGGATAATTGGGTGCATGGATAATATCTCTTTCCTTAGATTGCCATTCTTCCCTCTCTGCCCCACCCATTCCTTTATGTTATGGGGAAGAAGTGACTTGTTGTTGAGGGCATAATGCAGGCATAATGTTGGGGGCATAATGCAGGCACACCAGCAATTGAATGACTGAGTGGAGATGTTCTCTTCTCTGTATGATCATAGGGCAACAGTGGAAGGGGCTCCCCCTCCTCTTATTTCTCCTCTGGTGATACGTGGCTTCATCTTTCTAAGTAAGGATATTCCTTCCTTCTTCTTTGCCCTTAGGAGTGTGCTTTCTCACTTTTCTCTCTTGGATTTTTGTACTGCTCAAATGTTGTGCCCCAAGTTTGCCCTGTCTGAATTACTTCCCTCGTTCTTATCTCTTAAAAACCCTTTGCAGGGGCTAGTGTTACATTTTAATTTCTTGCCAAGACTGTGTCTCTGACTTACTGGCCCAATTCCTACATCAGTCATAGCACAAATAGTGTAACTTCTGGATGTGAATTTTTCCAAGTTGTGTAAGTCAGCATGCAACTGATCATGTCTGCAGTGATTTCTCAACTTGGCAATTCATCTTGAAAAGTTACATAATTTGTGTAGCTATGCAGGATGGTTTTGACCAGTAATTTGGCTTGATATTTATTAGATCTGATTTAAATATTGCAGTGTAGGACATTGTCCATTCAGTTTTTTATTTTCTTGGTGTGTTTCACCTCTTTTACTTAATAACAGTTTTCTTGTTTGTTTTTATTTCAGAATGAAAAGGAAGTTCTATTCTTGGGATGAATGTATGAACCTGAGAGAAGTCAAGGTAGTCTTGCTAATTAGGAAAACATTGCTTTTGATAGGAGTGTTAGATCTTAAGCATTGGCCCCAGGTCTGGCCCTCCTAAGGGATACCTAATGGATATCTCTTGTTGTGTTGTCAGTATACAAGCAGCAACAATCTTGAGACAACAATGCCAGTAGCAACAAGAATTGCTAACAGGCAACTGTTGGGTTGAATCCTTTGTACTCTATTTCTTATCAAAAGAGCCTTTGAAGAAAAGTTGTTACTAACCAGAGTGCACACTGTAACTTACACAAGTCTTTTGCCAAATTCTCCACCACCTTCATGCAGTCTTTTTCTCAAGCTCCATTGATGGGATTTAAGCCTGTCTAGCTCTGACCCAGTTGACTGCCATGTCGTACATTTTAATTATTTTAAAAAATCTGAGGGATTAATGTAATTTTGCAATATTCATGAAGGAAATACAGTAAAATATATGGCTGCACATAGAGAAGTATAGATGTGGAAAATAGCTATGCCAGGAATCTGGTCACCTTAAGATAGGGTAGGCCAGGAAAGTGTAGTATTCCTGATGTTTTTGGACTGTGACACTCAGCTTCTTTATCATTAGCTATGCTGGCTGTGGCCAATTGGAGTTGTAGTCCAGGAGCATCTACAGGGTGCACTTCTATAGTTGATCTAAAGCTACGTAGACAAATGGTGCTTCTAAGATTTAGTATTTATTTCATTAATTGCTCGATTTTTGTCTTCTTGTCTCCCACCTTGTCACAGAACTGGAACTCATGGCAGCTCACAAAAAGATTGAAACAGATACCCATAAAAATAGATGTTTAAAGAGGATGTGGAAGAAATGTGCAAAGGATCATATTGAAATGCAATTAAACTAGCTATAATAGGGATACACTGTTACCTGAAAGACAATTTAGAACGTATCAGTAAAAAAATGCACAGCATTAAAAAAGTTCATAAAAAGCCACTAGGCGTGACTTGAATTACCTTAATTTAATATATGATCTTCATATAGATCTTTGCTGGTTAAAAGGTTGTAAGAGAAACTGCTCTTAGCTTTCTTTGATAGCCAGATCCACCTATTGTATCATCCTAGCTAGGGACTGCAACATCAAGTAATTAATAACTAGACAGTCTCATCTGTGTGTTAACAAAGCATTGCCGCTTTGATATCTGTATGCTCACCTGGACTGGACTCTTACCACCAGGGAGAGATGCATAAGTATAGAGGACATAGCATTTGCACTCAGTGTGTCTGAAGAAGTGGATTTTGATCCATGGAAGATCACATTCTTACTCTTAATTTACCGCAGTATTTTACCTTTCTCTTTCTTTTTTCCACCATGTTTTTATTTAACTTGTGTCGGAAGAAAACACACAGCTAAAATAATTCATTTTCATGCATTGCAGTCTCTGAAAAAACTTAATCATGCCAATGTGATAAAGCTGAAAGAAGTTATTCGAGAAAATGACCATCTTTATTTTGTGTTTGAATATATGAAAGAAAATCTCTATCAGCTGATGAAAGACAGGTATGTTGTTTTACAATGTAATACTGCATCATGTGTTGTGTACCTGTAGATGTTTTCAGCCTTATTGTAACTTTACATATCACTGACTGATGATTAGTATTTCAATGAAGTAAAAGTGTCCAGATTTGACTTAGTATGTCAAAGAAGTGGGCCTCTTTTATTCTTTTATAGCTGTCCTATTGAGATTTGATCCAGATAAGCCCAAGTATTAGAACAGTTAAAGCTTTCCAGTTTAACCTGTTGTTTTTCTAAATGGCTTTTAAAAGGAGACTTCCTGGTGCCTCTTATGATGACTGTTCATGTGGCAGATTAAAGCACTTGAATATTATCTTCTTAACCTTCATGCAGTAGGATGGGAGACTTTAGCCCAGTATCCTGTTCAGATTATCACATGCAGAATGGAAGTTAGAGCAGTCATGACAATTGACCAGGATCTCTCTAAGCAACTGTAGCTACTTTTGCAATATCTATTATGCACATAGTACTGTATCCTGAATAGGATACTGATCAAGATATCCCAGAGTCATCTTTTTGTTGCAGAATCCAGACAGAACTTGACTTGCAGTGTAGGCATTCTGTATTATTGTTACCTACAGTGTCCTAAACAGTGTCTCTAAACTTCAGGCACCTGCTGTGCATTGTTTTTCCCCCTACAAATACAAAACATGGGAGGGTCGATATATTGTTCCAACAGTGGAATGTATTGGGACAACAACAACAACAAAAAACCACAACTTTCTGTGCCCCCTCCTTTTTTTGGCAACATGTGATGGTGCAAAGCAGAAGTGGCATATTCTGGTCATCTGTAGGTTGGCCCCATTTTGGAAAAATTGCAGTTTCTTCAATTGGGAGAGACATTAGAATTAACTGGGTCAGGAAACACCCGAAAATGCAAGAAATGTGTGTTTTGTTTTATTTTATCTGGTGCTGTTTGCCTTGCAAAGCAGAAGTGGCATATTCTGGTCATCTGTAGGTTGGCCCCATTTTGGAAAAATTGCAGTTTCTTCAATTGGGAGAGACATTAGAATTAACTGGGTCAGGAAACACCCGAAAATGCAAGAAATGTGTGTTTTGTTTTATTTTATCTGGTGCTGTTTGCCTTTTAGGGGCGTGGTGGCGCTGCGGGCTAAACCGCAGAAGCCTGTGCTGCAGGGTCAGAAGACCAACCAGTCATAAGATCGAATCCACGCGATGGAGTGAGCTCCCGTCGCTTTGTCCCAGCTTCCGCCAACCTAGCAGTTTGAAACCATGCAAATGCAAGTACAGTGGACCCTTGACTTACGGAATTAATCCGTATTGGAACGGTGGCTGCAGGTCAAAAAGTCTGTAGGTCAAGTCTCCATTGACCTACAGTGCATTGAACTAAACAGTGTCTCTAAACTTCAGGCACCTGCTGTGCATTGTTTTTCCCCCTACAAATACAAAACATGGGAGGGTCGATATTGTTCCAACAGTGGAATGTATTGGGACAAAAAAACAACTACTTTTGTGGCCCCTCCTTTTTTTGGCAACATGTGATGGCGCAAAGCAGAAGTGGCATATTCTGGTCATCTGTAGGTTGGCCCCATTTTGGAAAAATTGCAGTTTCTTCAATTGGGAGAGACATTAGAATTAACTGGGTCAGGAAACACCCGAAAATGCAAGAAATGTGTGTTTTGTTTTATCTGGTGCTATTTGCCTTTTATTCTACCTGGTGTTCTTTGTCTCTGGATGTTTGAGTGGAACACACTTGGTTCAGCATACACAAATATTTATCTGGACATAGGACAATTTAATACCTCACAGTACTTTGGAATTCTCATTGAGGTCCAAAATGCACCCTACAACTCAAACAGTACAAGTTTTCCCTCTCTTGGTAATTGTGGGTTAAACATCCTGCTTGCACATCAGTATGAGGTAAGATTCTTCCAGTCTCTAAAAGAAAACCAGTTGGCTCTTCAAATTTTACTTTAGCTAATGAGCTTTATAGATGTTATTTAAACCAAAACCACTATCTAAATGTCATGCTTAAAGTGAATAGTGTAAATTGCCATTATGCTGTATGTGATACTAATTAAATTCATTCAATTTTTTTTGCTTAATATCATAGCTTTGTGTTGTTTGAAACTGCATTCCATATTCATTTGTGCATTTAATTTGATATTGTTTAAAACAGATGAAATCGTTAGCTCAGTATTTTTAAACTGATTTCGCTGATCTGCAGACTCATATGACTAGTTTATATAACCAGCGGAGGAATGATATTTTAGTTTTCCATGCTGTTTCTCTCTCTCTAATACTGCCAAGCACCAAAACCTAAGTTTGATAAGTGTAGCAAAACCCTTAAACTTGATGTATTGGAACAAACAAATGAAATCAAAATTAAAAGCTGTTTTTAAATCCAGCTGCTACCCTGTTTCCTTGAAAATAAGACCTAACCTGAAAATAAGCCCTAGTATGATTTTTCAGAATGCTAATAATATAAGCCCTACACTAAAATAAGCCCCAGTTAAGTGAAACCCCGCCCTCCACCATTGTGCAGCATTCTGCAGCAACCAGAATATGATGACATGACTAAATAAATGTAGATTGTTGTACATGAAGAAAATGAAACATCCCCTGAAAATAAGCCCTAATGTCTTTTTTGGAGCAAAAATTAATATAAGACCCTGTCTTATTTTCAGGGAAACACGGTAATGTAAGTTGTGTTCTTTGTTCTTGACTGGGATGGAAATTACTTTGTATATTCACAAATTCTCAAAGTAATGAAAATCCATTGACATTGTTAATTGGTTTCTTCACAGAACTAAGTTGTTCCCAGAGTCTGTTATCAGGAACATAATGTATCAGATATTACAAGGGTTAGCTTTTATTCATAAACATGGTAAGTCTCTCCATACTCTTGATTTTTTCAGTATGAAAATAAATATAAGAGGGGAGATAGAAGGATATTCACAGCAGGCAGAAATTACTTAATGACTTGTTAAATTGTAGTTGCTTTGTTACTTTTATTATGTGGTAACAAAGCACTATGTGAAGAATGAAGCTTCTTACTAAAGGATATTTGATACTGTTCTCTGAAAGAAAGATCTCATGTATTTATTTGCAATTAAATTATAATGTCAGCTCCCAAGTTGATAGTTCTTCCATTTTTCCTTGTGTTTCCCTGAAATACTGTTTTGTTTAGAAATCTTCTGATGTTACTTTCCTGTGTATACCTCTTTTTACTTCAGACTGTTTTATTCTTGTGCATGCTGTTCTTTTTATAATAAATATTACCAGCTGATTATATATATTTGCTTTAAAATTCTCATCTTATTATCTTATATTAAGTGGTTACATGACAAGACAAATTTCATATTTACACGATAAACAGCTTTCAACTATATATCTCAATTATTGGTAGATTGCTGATTGTTTGCTTTAAAAAAATTAATACTTTTGTTCCTTAAAATAGCCAACATAATTTATTTATTTATTTATTTAACTTATATGCCGCCCACACTACCCGAAGGTCTCTGGGCAGCTTACAACATTTAAAATATAATAAAATACAATACACAACTCTCATTTTCTTATTGCTTTATTTTTCCACACAACTTTTTATTCCAAGAGCATGCCAAGGCTTAGAGTTGGAGTTGGCTTTTAAAGCCTACAAACACATTAAATGTTTTGATAAAAGATCCCCCAGCAAAAGGAGGCTTTCTTGTGTAGTGTGGGGCTGCTGTTTTAGATCACTTGGCTACATGCAGTCAGCTGGTGTGTGGTTCTCAGTCTGCATCAAAGACTATAAACAAAGTGCTGATCAGATGGTTGATGATGATAGCTTTGACAGTGCCATTCTAATGTCTGAATTCTTTGTATGTTTGGTACCTAATGATACATAGGCCTTGTGTGGCGAGCACACCACACAGCAGCATCCAGCTCACTAAGATGGTAACAGAGATTGCTCATTTGGGTCATTGTCCGGTTCACAGTCATGGAGACATAGTAGATTGTTGGAATGAGCTTAAGGTTTCAGTAAAAGACTAGGAACACAAATACTATGCTTGTCTGACTGTCTTGGCAAATTTTTCCCTGTTAGTTCCTAAATGCACAGCATTGCTTTTGATTTAGTTGTACAAATTACTGCCAATATTACAATAGCTGAAATTCTGTTAGATTAAATGACTGATTTTTAAAACTAGTATGAATGGTGCTGGAGGCTTTAATTGATTTAATATTGGAGGAAAAAATTAAATGAGTTTTGCAGTGAGTTAAAGGAATACTTTTTAAAAGACTATTTTGGGATGTAGTTGTTGTTGATACAGCTATCACTTTATTTGTTACTGGACTTTGTTCATAGGATTTTTCCACCGAGACATGAAACCTGAAAATCTTTTGTGTATGGGTCCAGAACTTATCAAAATAGCTGATTTTGGATTGGCTAGGGAACTACGATCACAACCCCCGTATACTGACTATGTTTCCACCAGATGGTAAGTATATCGTTCAGTAGGACCATCGTTTACCACTTATATTTCTGTACATGTATATTGAAGCTATATCTCTTCACCATCACAGGTACCGTGCTCCTGAAGTTTTACTTAGATCTTCTGTCTATAGTTCTCCTATTGACATATGGGCTGTTGGCAGCATAATGGCTGAACTATACACATTAAGACCACTTTTTCCAGGAACAAGTGAAGTTGATGAAATCTTTAAAATTTGCCAAGTGCTAGGAACCCCAAAGAAAGTAAGCTGTTTTGAAAATACATACTATTATAGTTACTGGGAATCAAATGAAAGCTAACATTGAGATGATTTTGCTTTTGAGTTGCTTGGCAATTTTGTTTTACTAATTATTTGGGCAACTATTTTGTGTTTCCTGAATACAATTTATTTGTTTGCATATTGTAATTAGTATTTGCTTTGAGATTAGCACTTTCTTTTTTTGAAAGATAAAAAGCTTTCAATAGGAGAAATGTTGCTTAATATTTTATGAGGAATATTTCTCCATTTTGGAGATTTGTTGGTCCATACTGACCCCTTGGGGGATTCTCATGAGTGGACAGATCTGGCAGTATATGAGGCAAGACCTTACATTCCCTCATATACATACATTAACTCCAGGTTGCTCACATATTATCTTAAAAAAAGAAGTAATTAGATACATACTGACAAAGAAAACAAACTCACAGTGTTTTAAAAAAGAAAAATATACTTTAAAAATACCTCTTTTGCTGAATAACAGATGCCAAACAAGAGGCAAAAACTTTGTGGCGCCTTAACTATACTTAATGGGGAAGTGATTCAAACCCACTTCCTCAAACTTGTATTTTGTAGTTTTTATGTATGATACTCTTGTATAAAGTAATCTGGCTACTTTTATGAACTACTTGAAGGTTTTACATGGTTAGCAGGTGTAAAATATGTTTTATTTTTAATACTAGATCAATACTGTACCTCTGTATCTGATAGTGTAGTCCTGTACTTGTGTATTCAAAAACATCCCTTTTTAATACTAGATCAATACTGTACCTCTACTGTACCTCTGAATCTGATAGTATAGTCCTGTACTTGTGTATTCAAAAGCATCCAATTGAGTTCAGTGTGGTTGCTTCCAAGTAGATGATATAAACCTCAGTTTTATTCTTTATCTGTGAAAAGATTTGGATGTGTCATCTGCTCAGGCTGATTGTCATGATACTACTATAGATGACAACAAGCTAGCAGTTACTGACATGAAACCAGCCATCTGGAAGCCTTAATTGTGATCAGTTCTTCACAAACAAGATAGTTTATTTAAATAAGCAATGGCTAAAATCCTGTTGCTTAGCAGAGTAATTTGGGCCTTGAGTGGGCCCATTGAATCAGGTATTCAGTGAGTCAACTTCTCTGTAATTTCAGTTGATACAATGGACCTATTCTGGTTGTTACTACACTAAACAATAAGAGTTCAATCAATAAAACTGTATTTTACTTTATTGCTTTAAAAACTATTATTTTATTTTTTAAAAAACAGAATGATTGGCCAGAAGGATACCAACTTGCAGCTGCAATGAATTTTCGCTTCCCTCAGTGTGTCTCCATAAACTTAAAAACTCTCATTCCAAATGCCAGCAATGAGGCAATACAACTTATGAGTGATATGCTGAACTGGGATCCAAAGAAACGACCTACTGCAAGTCAGGTATACAAACACTGTTGTATTAAATAAAATGGAGAGTCTACTTTAAGTGCATTGTGCTTAGGCTAATTCCAAAACTTCATGCATTAATTCTGAACTATTAAAAGTCTTCCTATATCATCTGAATTGCACTCTACCAAAATTAGAAAGAAGTAACAATTGAAGTTTTTATTGTTAGAGATGGATGCAAAATATGCTAAATAGTTTCATGAAATTCTTCTAATAATGAAATACACAAACCAAAGTCCAGCTCTATGTAAAAACAGAAGAAAGTTTTCCTTACCCCACTGTGTTCATTATATAGTTTGTTATTACAAAATACAAGGATATGTTAAGTCTTTGTGCCTATTTTTATTCTTAAAGTAGTGATGAATATACTTCATAGTACTCAGATCACTGTTCCATAGTATTATTGTGTAGAAAGACAGTGTGACTGCTTGTACTTTATAAAACAAACTATAATACATGGTAAAAAGCAGTGCATAAACTTTTTGATATACCTTGTTATTCACAGACTTAATGTATACAAGAAGAAAATAATATTTGGTTGGGAGGTCAGAGGCTTTTGGGAAATAGCATCTGCTTGTTTGTAGATAGTAACAAGTTTGTAGATTTGTAACAGGTACGTAATCCTTTGAAACTTCAAGGATGAATTACTGAAATGTGCATGAGATCCTTGAAGACAGTTTGGAAACTAAAACAGGTGTAAAATGCCAGACTGTTGATGCAATCAACTCAACCAACATAACCAGAGTCACCTCTACCTAAACTAGCCCCACTAGGCAAGTATACACATGGTTCTTTGTCAACTGCTGTAGCTGACAGAGGACGTCTGGGCCTAATTTCAGGAAGTCTTTCTTATTCTGAAAAACATTCATAGATTAAAATGATGTGAATCACGAAGAATCTTTCCCTGTATAAGTCCACTTGGTTTCTGTTCTCATCTTCCCTCCCTCTAATGAGATATGGATTGGTGTGAGATTTGAATTGGTAATGTCTTGACTTCACATTACCTATGCCAGCTTTCCAGTTTTATTTGTACAGTAGTTAAACTTCCTTGTTGACTTAAGTAATGCTGATCTATACAATCTTGTCTGTGCTTTTGCTCTTGCCCAAAGCTTGCTGAATTTCCCCTGCACTGTGTAATCTTGACTGGTTCATTTCCACATGGAGATGTGCCTGACAGTCTTACAGTTGAAGCATTGTCAACATGTGCCCCTTTTATAGTTTACAGTGTTGCTTTTTTCTTCAGGTTTTGAAATATCCATACTTTCAAGTCGGTCAAATTTTAGGACCACCTCCACAATATGTGGATCAGAAGCAATCTCATCTCAGATCAACTCAGTCAACAGAGCCAAAACCATCTCTACCCAGATTGGAACCTGTATCAAAGTTAGAATCAATATCTAAACCAGAATCTCAGTCTTCACCAGATGCACCTGAGAAAATTCAACCACAATGTGTAATGAGGAATAGCCAGTATCCCCTTCAGCCAATTCAGCTGCCACAAAATGTAACCAACCAGCAACCATCAAAGCAACAGCAATCACAGTCATTTCTTCCAGCCATCAACAAAAACTCAACACCAGTAAGTTGTCATAAGGAAACAAAAGTCAAAATACAGTTATCCTGGGTTGCTCAGCTCAAGTCACTTTGAGGACCAATGTAGCATTTTTATTAATTTAAGGGAGCTATTTCACCTAATGACAAAAAACAGCAAGTCAGAATTTGAACTTGCTGCCTTCTTTCTAAGATGATTTGAAAAAAAAAAATTCCCCTGTGCCCCTTAAAATTTAACCCTCACCGCCCTGAGCGTTTACTAATTTTTTTCTTCCTTTCCTTTCCTTATCTCTCTTCCTTTCTCTATTCTGTAGTATATATTCTTTTTTGCGCAGCAGCTTTTCTCCTTTCCCATACACACTGGTTCTATTCTGTAGTATATATTCTTTTTTGCGAAGCAGCTTTTCTCCTTTCCCATGCACTGGTCTCTCAGTCCTGTTTTTCCCCCCAGTCTGTCTTTTTGTGAACGCCTTGTCCTTCCCAAGCTTGACAGCAGCAGAGGAAATTTTTGCCCAGAGTGGAAACCTAGTTGCCCACATTTGGCTGGGCCAAGCTTGACAGCAGCAGTGCATGAGGCTTCAGAGGAAATTTTTGTTTAGATTGGAAACCTAGTTGCCCACATTTGGCTGAGGAAAAAAACAATGCCAGATCCATCATATGTTTCTAATGCTGGAAGAAAAGCTTTAGAGAATGCCATGCAGGCATCCATCCATCCCTAGCTCATGCTACTGCTATATCTGTGCAAAAAATACATCAGAGAAGTGGGGAAAGAACAAGGTACTCGGTGTTTAGGATTTTGCTGGATGGGTCTGCATCTGATCAGTGCCAGTTAGAGTGAATTACTGGCAACATTTGTTAACTCTAGGGGTTTACTCATTTGTGTTTCTCTGGACTACAGATCCCAGAATTCTCCTGGCAGCACAATCACTGGCCATGGGAACTGTAGTGCAAAAGCACAAGTAAGCACACCTCCAATATTTGAAGATAGAGATCTATATAGGGAAAAGTAGGTAGCATGTTATATAATCAGTGGTGATTATCTTCACTTTATCTTGTGAAGCTTTGATATGGTTAAAATGATATTCTAATACTTTTGCAGATAATTATATTGAGATAAATTTAAGTTGTTGAATGTACTTTAGTGATACAGTATATCATTTATACATGTATTGTGTTTGTATGTGAGAACTCTAGAAAAGACAGCAAATATCCAAAGAGAAACTTAATGTATTTAATTTTTAAAAGAATAGAAAGAAGACTTAACTGAAGTTTGTGTTACATAATTATATTAGGAGATGAGAGGGAGCGGTGCAATATATCCGTGAAGAGAAGACAAAAGGAAAAAAGGCTAATAGCTTCCTCTTCCAAGTGTCAGTGTATGCATAACTATATAATAGCTCAGCTTTTATTCTTTGAAACTCTTCTTAATATAGCTAGTGCCTTCTTCTGTAAGGGAAACAATATCTGCTATCACTGCTGTTTCATTCATGCTTTTCATCCACTTTCTAAATCACATGATCTTGTCTTTTATTGGAGGGGGACACCCTTTTCTTAGAAATATTTCCTTTTCTAAAGTCTCATAATTATTGCTGGATAACGTACCTAGGAGGATGAGGAAAGGAAAGACATGCAAGATAGAAAAGTAAACATAGCCCACAGTTTCATAATACAGTCACTCTTGCAGTCCATCCTTGTCAATCTATAAGGGCTGCCTAATCAGTGCTCCACTTGTGCCCTCCAAATATGTTGGACTAGAGCCTCCAAAAAAATTTGGAGGGCACCAAGGTGGACAGAATTGGATTAAAATATTCTGCTGAAATGGACCAGTTTTCTTGTCATGTGATAGGCTGGAGGAGTTTGCCGAAATCTAGATTTCCTTCTTTGTCCTCAGCCATTTCTTTCTTTGAGGAACATTGATTCCTTTATAGAATGAGATTCTCATTATGGCTTACTCCGCTTTTAAATTCAGAAACCTTCGTTCCCACTATTTCTTCAACAATGTATGGTATTGTTCAAATTTTAAAATATGCAAAAAATGATTTAAACTTTTTGTGTCATGAAAACAGAAGCAAATAGCCACAGGACCTTCAAATGGTGCAGTGGGCCTGAAAAACTGTCGGCGTCGATGGGGTCAGACTATATTAAAAACCATGGATAGTTTGGATGATTTTGACGGTGCAGAATTTGGAATTTCTCATTCTAAGAAACCTAGCATTACTGCGTTAAGTGAAAAGAAAACAAAAGAATCACTTTTTAGGTAAGGCTTTTTTTACAGTATAAACTTCCATTAGTTTATAACATCTGCTTTTGCAGAAATAAGAATACAGTCACTGTTTTTCTATCTACACTGGGGTCTTGACTTGAGAACTTAATCCGTATTGGAAGGCGGTTCTCAAGTCAAAAAGTCTGTAGGTCAAGTCTCCATTGACCTACAGTGCATTGAAAACCGATTAATCCCGTAACAGGCCGTTTTTGTTCCATTTTGGTTTTTTTCTGGTCCGTAAGTCAATTCTCAGGCTGCAAGTCAAACCTAAATTTTGCGGCCAGAGAAGTCTGTAACTCAAAAAGTCTGTAAGTCAAGCCATCTGTAAGTCAAGGGTCTACTGTACCTGGTTTATGATATTTGCTCCTTTATATCAATTGTAATAGTCAAAGAAATGTATAGTCTAAATATAATAATATTATATATTAATTTGAATCTGTTGAGTGAATATATCTGCATATACATTGAATAAACACTTCTCTGTCTATATTGATTATTCTAGTCCAGTGGTTCTTAACCTTTCTTTACCACAGATACCTTTAAATATTTTTTATTGCTGTGGAGCATCAAGACATGACTCAAGATTTAAAACCTTGAAGTGCATCTAATATATATTTAAAGTTTCTCATGAATGGTCTTCAGATTTGAAGAGAAGGGAGAAATAAGTTAATCTGCTGATACACACACTCCTTTTATAAAATTTTTGTTGTAATGATTCCATAAAAATTTAAAATAACAATAATATTATCACATTGACACTGATTGACTCTGACTCTCTCTTCCTATGGCTTCTGACTGTCTGCGCAGTAACACGAAATGGCACGTGCTATCTCTCAGCCACTCAGTGTCATTCACTTGCAGAAATATCAGACAGTTGTTTTCAAAGCCGATTTTGTTTGTTTTTAACGCAGGTGGTAGGTTAGATAGGTTTTACTTTACACAAACAAGCAAGGAAAATTAAAGTTTTGTTCTACATCTTCCTTCCTCCCTCCCTCCCTCCCTCCCTCCCTCTCTCCCTCCCTCCCTTCCTACCTACCTACCTATTTTAGACTAAATACTGATCATTTAGGAATCAACAAATAAATGTTTGTATGTTGTAAGATCTTTTATGTATATGATGTAAATACAATAGATCTCACAGGTGGAAAATCATAGCCCTTTTCATGGAAATTTGTGAAGTCCAGGGATCAGTGATGCTGTTGATCATTCAGAGTCCCAGACAGAACTAGAAAGGGTAGTGCCCAGTTGTTCCAGGCTTAATCCTTAACAATATTGTCTTGCCATTGACTTTGTTGTTAATCAGATTAGATTTGCTTGGAAGAGATTTGTGTAAATTGGCTCAGATCATGTAGAAATCACTGTACAATACTGTCATTGTGAGGAGGCAGAAGGATGGGCTATGTCATGGGAGATCTGTGGTACGAGGGAATTGGGCCACAGAATTATTTTGTAAGAGTTTGGGCACAGGGAACATTCTTTGGCCATATTTGGCTGTGCAGCATGAAGTGGAATAGGGAATGCATTAAACTTGCCAAGATAATCCTATTGAGATGCTCACAGGATAGCTGAAAATCTACACATGAAGGAATAGCATACTAGCCCCACCTCCCATTGCTCTCTAGATATGGAAAAGTGACAGTCTGAAGAGGTCATCATCTTGTAAACAGGGTGCCTCTCAGTGCAACTCTCTTCTTCAGACTTGCTTTCCATTTGAGGCAAGGAATGGCAGAAGTGCATCTTGTGCCCCATGTTGATTTTAACCCTTTTTGTGAACATTTGAAATAGAGATAACGTTTGCAGCACACATATATGCTGTGAGTTACTTTGTTATGTGTGGTTTGGGTTCTCATTACACATTTGCTCCAGGTCTCCTACACCTCAGATAAATACTGCGATAAGTGGGTATTTGGAAGAGTACAATTACCTCTTCCTATATGCCATTTCAAAAAAAAATCTTTGAGTAATGGCTACTCAAAAAAACAAAAAACAAATTCTTGCACTGTGGAGTGTTGGGAGCCACATTTAGGCACTGCATGGATGTGCAGCTTGCGGGGCACTCTTGGTTCTTGCCTGGTGTAGATGCTGCGTAACATCTGCACACTACATCATTCTGTGAAATCTCCGGAAGATCCACAGAGAATGTTTGGTGTAGATTAAAGGTTAATTTGTTTTGTTATGGGTAATCTTAAATTTCAGTGTTCCTGAGGTGAAATCCCCCAGCTCTGGTCATTCAGGAGGAGAAAACAAGATTCTGAAGAGAAATGACTCTGGTATTTCAACTACATCAGCAAAACAGTACTACTTAAAACAATCAAGATATCTACCTGGTAAGAGGGTGACTTTTAATTTTTTTTCTTACTTTGTATATATTCCTCATTTAGACAGACTTTTTACAGCCAGATGTTCCTAACCAATTGCACTTGAGTAATTGGTAATCAAACAAGTGTGACCACCTTTAGAAAAACTGATGTTTTAGTATTTTGCTGGTCTGGAGCACTGAGGTGCATGCTAACACAATGCCAAGGAGGACACACATCAGCAATGATCAAGGAGAAGCGCTTGTTGATGCCCTTAGTCTGGGAAGGGCTATGAGGCCATTTCCAAACAATTTAAAGGCAAACATTCTATCCAGAGGAAGATTATTCAAAATTGAAAAACATTCAAAACAGTTGTCAATCTTCCCAGGAGTGGGTGTCCAGGCAAATTCACCCAAGATCAGATTCAGAAAAAATGCAAAAAGCCCCAAGAGTTACATCTCAGACCTTACAGGTCTCAATTAGCATGTGAAATGTTAGGGTTCATGACAGTACAATTAGAAAAAGCCTGAACAAATAGGGTTTGTTTGGAAGAGTTGCCAGGAGAGTTGTTCTTCTCTCTAAAAAGAACATGGCAGCGTTGCTCAAGTTTGCAAAGCAAACCACAAGATATCTGGAACAATGCCCTTTGGACAGATGAGACCAAAGTGGAGATGTTTTGCCATAATGCACAGTGTCACGTTTGATGAAAATCAAATACAGCATATCAGCACAAACACCTTATACCAGCTGTCAAGCACGGTGGTGGGGGGATGATGATTTGAGTCCGTTTTGCAGCCCAGTGACCTGGACACCTTACCATGACCATGAACTCCTCTGTATAGCAAAGTATTCTAGAGTAATATGTGAGGCCATCTGTCTGACAGCTAAAGCTGGGTGAAATAGGGTCATGCAACAGGACAATGACCCCAAGCACACCAACAAGTCTATAACAGAATGGCTGAAATAGAAAGGAATTAGTGTTGCAATGGCTGGGTCAAAGTCCAGACCTCAACCCCATTGAAATGCTGTAGTGGGACCTTAAGAGAGCTGTGCATAAAGAAATGCCCACAAACCTCAATGAATTGAAGAAACATTGTAAAGAAAAATGGGCCAAAATTCCTCCACAATGATGTGAGCGACTGCTAAAGTCATAGAGAAAATTATTACAGTAGTGCCTCGCTTTACGATTTTCTAAAGTCATAGAGAAAATTATTACAGTAGTGCCTTACTTTACGATTTTCTCGCATTACGATGAAACCGCATTACGACTATCTTTTTGCGATAGCAGTTGTGATCACAAAACGATGGTCTGAATAGGAGTTTTTCGCTTTGCGATGATCGGTTCCCTGCTTCGGGAACCGATTCTTCGCAAAACGACAATTTTCGGACAGCTGATCGGCGGTTTCAAAATGTCCACCGGCTAAATAAAATGGCTCCCCACTGTTTTCTGGGACATTCCTCGCAAGACAGCCACCGAAAATGGCCGCCCTGTGGAGGATCTTCGCTGGACGGTGAGTTTCCAGCCTATTGGAACACATTGAAGGGGTTTCAATGCGTTTCAATGGGCTTTTTATTTTCATATTGCGACGTTTTCGTTCTATAGCGATTTCGCTGGAACGAATTAACGTAATGCGTGGCACCACTGTACGTCAAATCATTGCTGCTAAAGGTGGTTCTACAAGCTGTTTAATCATAATGGTACTTAGTCTTTCATACATGGCTTCTCCCTTTTGGCTTTATTTTGGTTAAATATATCATGACACGGTATAATATGGCATATGTTGTTCTTCCTCTGAGGTTGTATTTGCCTAATTTTCAGACCTGCTGAGGACTAGATGATTTTTATTATGTCCTGATATGTAAGACCATAGAATTCACAGGGGGCATACTTTCCTTTTCACATGGCTGCATGTAGGTCAGAAGTATAGGTAGCCCTTGACTAGTGGGAGGTGACCCAACCCAAAATATGAGGTCAAGTGGCACATACATTCAGTTGGTCCCTTATGCCCTTAGAGTTATATGTCTTTCTTTATCAGCAATCCCATCTCATACTGTTTTCTTTGTCCAATGTCACCTTCAGAGGAATATTAATGACTCTTAAATGTGTGATGGTACACAAGAGCCTGCCATTCAAGCAACCAGCAGTTCAGTCGGAGATGCCAAAAGTGGAAGCAGATTTTGGTGTTACTTAAAGCACATTTTTTTCATACAGGTCTTTGAATCAGCTTTTTGATTTTCTGCCTCTGTGTGTATATCTTTAAGAAACTGAGCCAGAAGAATGAAAAAAAAAGTCTTAGCTTTTGGCAGTCAGATTCAGTAGTTTTGGTTTAGGAGTACCACTTGTCTGACTGTCATTCAGCATAAAATATTGAAAGCTGTGTTCTGCTGAGAGCTTGTGATAAGTTGTGTCCTGAATTGAAAGTTTGATACTAACCTTTCCAATTATTATTTTTCAAAGGTGTCAACCCTAAGATTGTTTCTTCAGGTGCAGTCAATAAAGAGGCTTCACGTGGTCCTTGGAACAATCCGTTGTTTTCGAAACCAGTAGCACCAATGGGAGGTCTGTCTTTCAGTCGTGTTGCTGCAGGTAATTAATGTAACATAATATTGCCAGTGCACCCCTGATTCGTTTTTTATATATTCTATAAAATTAGTTTATATTTTTGGTTTTTCTGTTGTTTCCAGTTAGTGTTTTGTTATTTTTATAGTATGCATAATATTGAGTAATGCACTTAAGTAAAATAAACATACCCATAGCAACAACCATGCAGCTAGAAACAGCGATACAATTTAGTGGGCAATGTATATCTTGAGTTCATGTTATAAAGCAGTTGTAAGAGATGCCTTTCATCCGAGTGTGCACTGTAATGTAGATGTATGACTAGACATATACAGTATAATAATCTTAGAACTGAAAAGCTGGAACAGACCCTATGGATTATCAAGCCCAGGCCCTGTCAGGGAGACACAGTAGAGCATTGGTCCCCAACCTTGGGCCTCCAGATGTTCTTGGACTACAACTCCCAGAAGCCTTCACCACCAACTGCTGGCCAGGATTTCTGGGAGTTGAAGTCCAAGAACATCTGGAGGCCCAAGGTTGGGGATCACTGCAGTAGAGAATCAAACTCCCAACCTCTGGTTCCACAGCCAGATGCCTAAACTACTGAGTTATCCATCTGTGGCAGTGTGTTTGTGCGCATGCAAAAATGCATACATACAGATGTATGTATTTTCCAGCTAATTCTCAAGTAAGATAATCCAAGTATGTCTTTTCCAGCTAAGAGAAAGTATTTCTAGGTTAAGTGAATGAAGGCATGTATTGCTCTTATTAGATGGGACATGTGGACTCCCTTGTGGTGAAATATCTAATTGTGTTTTAACATTTTTTGTCTCACTTGATTGATGAAATGTCTGATCACAACAATAAAATGTTGTGGAAAAAGTGTATGCTAAAGGTAATGCAGAAACATAATCAAGAAAGCTTTTTATTCTGTTAATGTAAACTGATAGATTACTGTATTAATGTCAGCAAATCATTTGACATTTATTATTCCTTTTGATTGAAGCTATATCCAAGAAGAAATTATCAAAAGGAAGTAGATGTTTTTAAAGTCAAAGTTCTAGAACAGGTTCTGAAATATTTTATATTCTAAATTTAGAAAGTTCAAAGAGATATATTTTCTTTCTGTCTGGACAATATTTTATTAGGTGGCTGTATCTTTCAAATATGTAACTATAGTGATATGCTAACTTGTTTTAAGCCCTTGTCTAATAACCAAACTGTTAAGATTGCTAGAAAACAGAACAAATTGAATGGCTTCATTGTGCAGAGTTTCAGTGACACAGGGACCGAAATCCTGTTGCAGACATAGTAATGTAACATTTTGGCTGTGGAAGGCTGCAGGGTATTACACCCAGGCAGTCTGTGTTGTGAATGTTATTGCACAATTCATTGTAAGACTTGCAACAGCCATAGCTGCACATCAGGATTTCAGCTACTATATACTGTAAAATTGGAGGGTAATGATTTTTGACAAATTAAGTTAACTCCATTTGTCTAGATGGTTTATCCCACGTTAAGAACCACTGGTCTAGATGGTTTACATGCCTTTGCAACACTTGCAGTTCAGTTGATCTTACTATTATGCAAAATGGTGTTTAAATTGCCATATTTTTCTCTAGATGTATTGAACAATTGGATAAACACGACAATATTTTCATATCTTGTAGCTGTGATAGGCCTCAGAGGTAGATAGAGCACTTTTATTGTATCAGAAACTTTCCTTAATCTGATTTCAAGTACTATTGTAATTAATATTAATTCATCTTATTGTATAATATAAATTTATCTTATTGTATGAATGCTCTGCATTCATGTATACATTTACCTTAAACAGCATCCCACTGAAGTCACTAAGATTTTTATCTAGTAAATGTTTGTAAGATATATACGTATTTTTATATATAATAAGATACCATATGCATTATCCTATCTTTATTTAGAATTCTGAAGTGGTATTTTTGTAAGACCAATAAAGGTAATTCAGCCTTACAGTATCCTGTTTTCATCACTGTGAATACAGACAGATGTAAGCTATGTTTGATTTGTTTGGATCTAGGTGATCACAGCTATAGGCTCTTTTAGTAATCATCCTTTCGATAGTTCAGGAAGAATCATTATAAAGGGATTCTAAAGATCTGCAGTGCAATCCAAACTGGAAAATACACTTACCAGTGCTGAGTTTGGAATGAGCAGGAGACTGTTATGCTGGTGCAACTGTCCTGTGCTGGCTGAAGAGCCAAAAGAAGAACAGAGAAGTGGAGGCGCAGGAAAGGAGTCATGGTGTGACTTCATTGAAGTTTAATCCTCCAGTCACTCTGGGTTTAGCATGATGCAAATTGATTGAAAATTTCATGAGTACATGATGTTACTCTAAGCTGGGGAAAGCTTGCACTTTTCTTCAAGGAATAATTTCTTTTTGAACACCCATCAAGAGGTGGTTTATTTTAAAACACTCTGTGCTGCTCTCTTGAATACGTTTTGGTTTTATGAATGGCCATGGCCAGATGGTCAGGTGGAATGGTCAGGTGGAAGGGGCATTTCCTTTGCTGACATTGATGATGTGTTTGAGATAGTACAGGATGCTGTCCCATCAGGAAATCAGATGCTTCCTTTGCTGAACCACTTTTTTAAAATAAACTGTTTGAATTTAGTTCTGTATCACATACATTTATGTGAAAAAGAAAGTAAAGTACACTTTCTTTGAATTCCATGATTTTACGTATCAGGACATAATAAAAATCATCTGGTCCTTAGCAGGTCTGAAAATTAGGAAAATACAACGTCAGAGGAACAACAACACATGCCATAATACACCGTGTCAAGTTTATTTAACAAACATGAAGCCAAAATTGAGAAGCTATGTGTGAAAATCTAAGTACATCCATAGGAATTAAGAGGGTACGTAGCAGCCAGGTGCTCCTAATCAAGTACACTTGAATAATTAATTCATCATCAGCGAGTTTGACCACCTCTTGAAAAGCTGCAGTTTTAGCATTTTCCTGGTCTGAACTATTCAGCTGAGAATTAACACAATGCCAAGGTGGAAACACATCAGCAATGATCATAGAGAAGCACTTGTTGCTACCCTCAGTCTGGGAAGGGTTATGTGGACATTTCCAAACAATTTAAGGCCATAATTCTGCCATGAGGAAGATTATTCAGGAGTGGGAAACATTCAAGACAGTTGTCAGTCTTTTCAGGAGTAGATATCTGAGCAAATTCACCTTAATGTCAGATTCATAAAAATTGTAAAAAAACCCATGAGTTACGTCTCAGACCTTAGAGACCTCAGTTATCATATGAAATATTAGGGTTCATGACAGTACAATTAGAAAAAGACTGAATAAAGAGGGTTTGTTTGGAAGAGTTGCCAGGAGAAAGCCTCTTCTCTCTAAAAAGAACATGGCAGCATTGCTTAAGTTTGCAAAGCTGCACCTGGACAAACCACAAGACATCTGGAACAGTGCCCTTTGGACAGATGAGACCAAAGTGGAGATGTTTTGCCATAATGCACAGTGCCACGATTGGTGAAAATCAAATACAGTGTATCAGCACAAACACCTTATACCAGCTGTCACAGTGGTGGAGGGATGATGATTTGAGTCTGTTTTGCAACCCAGTGACCTGGACACCGTACAGTCTTTGAGTTGACCATGAAGTTATCTGTATGTGCAGAGTAATATATGAGACCATCTGCCTGACAGCTAAAGCTTGGGTGAAATTGGGTCATGCAACAGGACAATGACCCCAAGCACGCCAACTACAGTGGTGCCCCGCTAGACGATTACCTCGCAAAACGATTTATTCGCTAGACAATGAGTTTTTGCGATCACTATAGCGGTTTGCAAAATGGTGTTTCCTATGGGCTATTTTCGCTGGACGATGTTTCGGTCCGTGCTTCGCAAGACGGTTTTTTGGGGGGTTTCGCAAGATGATTTTGACAGCTAGGTCCACGACTCGTAAAACGGGTGTTTTTGGGACAGTTTTTCGCAAGACAGTGATTTTGACAGCTGATCCACACTTCGCAAAACGGTTTTTCCTATGGGCGATTTTCACAAAACGATGATGATTTTCTCCATTAGAATGCATTACATGGATTTCAATGCATTCCAATGGGGAACCGCATTTCACAAGATGTTTTCACAAAACAGCGATTTTCGCTTAACGAATTAACATCATCTTGCGGGACACCACTGTAGTCTATAACAGAATGGCTGAAATAGAAAGGAATTAAAGTGCTGCAATGGCTGAGTCAAAGTCCAGATCTGCTGAAATAGAAAGGAATTAAAGTGCTGCAAGTCAAAGTCCAGATCTCAAACCCATTGAAATGCTGTAGTGGGACCTTAAGAGAGCTGTGCATAAAGAAATGCCCACAAACCTCAATGAATTGAAGCAACATTGTAAAGAAAAGTGGGCCAAAATTCCAGTCAGTCTGTGTGTCAACCTCAATGAATTGAAGCAACATTGTAAACAAAAGTGGGCCAAAATTCCTGTCAGTCTGTGTGTTGAATGTCCTTTATTCAATTTTTATTTTTTTCTATATTTTAATTTTTTTAGTTGTTTAAATTGGTTATTGCTTAATTTAAAATTACATGCCTCTTTTTATGTTATGGTTTAATTAATTTTGTTAATTTGATTATTATTATATTTTTGTTTTGTTAATTTGTAATCTTTCAGGTCTTTTCTTTTTCCCCTTCTTTTTGTTTGCCATGGAGTGAAGGGCCTGCCGCCCCAGCGGGGTCCTCTGAACATCAGAGTGATTACGGGTAGAGGGAGATACGGCATTGGCACAGTTCCTACTTGTTGCAGAAGAATGGTGAACAAATATTTGAAAGCTGTTCACTGTTCTGTCACTGTGACCAACCGTCAGACTTGAGGTAGTCAGACCAGCCATCCCTCCACTCTAAATCTGGCTTGCTGAACTTCAAATTAGGCGGTTCTACAAGCTTTTTAAATCATAAGGGGTACTTAGATTTTCACACATGGCTTCTCCTTTTTGGTTTTATTTTGGTTAAACAAATCATGACACAGTGTAATATGGCATATGTTGTTCTTCCTCTGAAGTTGCATTTACCTAATCTTCAGACCTGATAAAGACAAGATGGTTTTTCGTATGTCCTAATACATAAAACCATAGAATTCCAAGAGGGTATACTTCCTTTTTCACACAAATGTAGCTGATGAAGTCTTGCTGGATCGATATCAACATGTGGTTTGTGACTTTTAGCTTCTCTGCACAGACAGTATGCCAGCCCCTTTCTTTTCTTTCTTTTTTTACTGGGTGTGTTTGTGTGTTTTTACTGTCTTGTTACATTTCCAAGCTTTGTCATGCTATTTTACAGGAAGGTCAATAATTAACAGTAGATTGAGAGATGAAAAGGAAGTTTAAATCACTGAAAAATATGCTAACTACAACGTTGATGCAGTGCCATACCACTTAGAATAAAAAAGAGGAGGGAAATTGCTCGCAAATTTTAAGGAACGAATAAAGAAATTCCCACTGCAAATGTTTGGCAAATGATAGAACTCTAGATAAGTCAGTTCGGGACAAAGGTGGAATGCAGACCTATTTAAGGTGATTCAGTCCCCTGCACCAGATTAACCTGATTTAATTGAGGCTGCTTCATCAGGATGGGAATAATAACACAAAGAGCACATGACATGAATTGATATAATAATACCCCAAGACAACTCTGGGATTTTTTTAAGGAAATGTAGTAGCGCCTTTACTCGAGATGCAAATCCATCTCAGCCCTGACTGACAGGCACTATGCTGGCATAAAGTTAAACAAGTGTCAGGAATTTTTAATATCCCTACACTGGTAGACATTTGGATTCAACACTGCCTCAAGTGATCTGGTATCAGCTCAGCCAGTCTTCCTCCATGTTATCGAGTTACGATTGAACCTTTATTTGCATATGTTTTATTTCTGGGTTCCTTTGCTTTTTTATGTCTGTATGTCTTTCATTCATTTCATCCATTAATTCTTTTTCCCTAAGAATTTATTTTCACCCTTTTCTTTCCTTCATCTGTTTCACTGCCTCTTTTGAAGAAGAAAACTTAATTAAACCAATTGAGAAACTGTCATGCAAAGAAAGAATGAATGAAAAATTAGAAGAGCCAAAAGGTAATGAATAGCACTATATTTAGCAACACTTAATCCTTTTTAGGTTTCAGATTCTTTTCTTACTGTGTTCAGATTGTGTATGCTTATTATTGACGTTTGAAAATACATTGTTTGATCCTTGGTAGCGTATTGACATACGTACAGTATGCTATGGCTTCAGTTTGGTAGTTCTTAGAAAAAGAAGTACTTGTTTTGTACAAAAAGGGCCAGCTCAGGCAAGGATCAGGGTAGCACTAGAATACTATCCCCAATATATCTTGTGATCACTGATAGTTCACACCGGGGAGTGCTACAAGCAGTTCAAAAGGCAAGTTATATGCCTGTTTGATCACACCTTTAGATTGGCTCAAAGGTATGGAAGATAGAAGCAGAGCTCTTTTAATATTGAGAAAGTGTCAGGATTTGTTTGCTATTGTGACTTTAATCAATCAGATGGTATTCAGTAATTCGGAAAGAGGCAAAAACTCAAATAGATGGTTTGTTAATTTTTACTGTGCAGTCCTATGCATGCTTCTGGGAAGTATATTCCATACTGTTTAGTGGGATTCACAGGAGACATAGAGTGAAGCCTGACTATAATTATATACATGTCTACTGAGAAATGTATCTCTTCATGTTTGATGGGTATTTCTCCCAGGTAAGAGAGTATCAGATTGGAGTTGTTAATTGTGTAAAGTAGGAATGGGCAACTATGACCCTCCAAGTGTTACTAGATTGCTGTTCACATCAGCCTGGTCAGCATAGGCTACTTTGAGGAATAATGGGAAGCAGCCTAGAATTGTGTATAAGGTGAATTGTATCCTTAATAATGTGCATCATGCATTATAGGTCAAGTAAAAGTCACTTTGTTGTGATCAGTTTTAGAGAATCATAAGGATTCACATTCTGTGAATCTCCCAGTACATTTGAATATAGGGTTTTTGAGTTTTGAAGAGGATTTAATTTCTATTCACATCTTTATAACAAAGACATGAAACTCTTCTCTTGAATTCAAACAGGGCTTAGTCTTGAACAGATCTATGAGAATAGTGCAAGAATTTCCTGGCTGATTGAACACTAACAGTTGCATAGTGCTCTGTCTAGAGGACATTAGCTTGGTGGTGGAAGCAGCTAAGGAGGAGTCTCTTCTGTACTTCAGTATATAGCATGTACTAGTGTAGCTGAATGCTATAGCTGAACATCTTACCCATGATGAGGAATTTATGTTTGTGGAAACCTGTTCTTGAGCATCCAGATAATTATAAAATGCAACATTTTCTATTCTTGTTTTAATTCTGTTCAGAGTGAAGGACTTGCATGGAATGGGGGAGATGGTATCCCATCTATACAAGTGCATGTGTTATGTGCTGTCACTTTTCTATTCTTGTTTTAATTCTGTTCAGAATTAAATTTCCTTTGCATGGAATGGGGGAGATGGTATTCCATCCATACAAGTGCATGTGTTATGTGATGTCAAGTTGCCTCTGTCTTATAACTACCCTAATAGGGTTTTCAAGGTAAATGAGACATACAACAAGTAGTTTACCATTGCCACATATCAGTGAGTTTCTGACGCCAAGCAGAAATTTAAGCCCAGGTCTCCCGAGTCCGAGTCTGACACTTTGTCCACTGTGTCACTCTGGCTGTCATCTGTACAAGAACTCAGTGAAAATCTATGAGTTCTATACAGCTATTTCTGAGATTATGTCACCTATAGTGTATTGCTAGTGGTGCAAACTAAGAGTCTTTTCAAGCATCTGAGTTCTTCCACCTATTGCTTCAGATAGCTAAAAATCTCTTTCTTGCATGAGGAATATTGCTTAATTTAAAACAAAAAAATCCTGTACTTTTACTTCTGTTGACATCAATACGGAGAGTAAGGAGGTCCCACCGTGAGATTACCTGTAGTACTGGTAAATATTAGAGGAAGCACCACTTCCATTCAGTCATATGAGTAAGGATTTCATCTTGTCATGAACTTTGTAGTTGTAGATTTTTCAGCTTCCTTTCTAGTGTTATTTTCCTTTGAGTCTTATTCCTATTTTTAATTATACTTGTACTTGACTGAGTCTGTGTGTCTGTCTGTCTTTCTGTCTGGGGTATAAACATGAATATGAACTGTGTTCTTCAATAGAATACTTTTCCATGTGCCTTTGATAAATTCAACTGTTTTCCTTTGATTTCTCTGCTACTTAAGAATTCAGAAGAGCTTACTGAGGCTTGATACAGTGACTGTTTGAAAAGGGGCCAACAAGCTTTGTCATTCATGTTTTTTAAAAAGTTTTTGAAATAAAGCTGGTTAAATTGGTGCCAATCTTGGTTTCTGTTGATTATGTTCTTTTTTGGCACTTAAATCTGTAGCATACACTTTCAGAGTGTATTACCTTAGACTTATTCCTTGTTTCCAACTTATTCCTTGTTTCCAAATGTATTTGATAAATATATTTCTTGATATGAATCTGCATGTGTGTTTGTTCTACTAGAAACTGTTCTGCTTTTATTTGATTTTCATCTTGGTTATTAGGCTGATCCCTTAATGGGAGAGAAGAAAGGGGGGGGGAAAGTCAATTAAAATAGTAATGCATACTTCTATGGTGTTCTTTATCTGAATGTAGATCTACAAAAGCTGACTACATAGCTCAGTGTGTTAGATATCTGGCTGCAGAACCAGAGGTAGAGAGTTCGATTCCCCACTGTGCCTCTTGGGAGAAGAGCCAGCCTGTGATGCCTTGAGCAAGTTGCACAATTCCAGGATGCCCCCAGATCAACCATCTAATTTTCAGCCCTTCTGGGTGGGGCTTCACCTTTTGCACATGTGACTCAGCCCCCTTGTGCAGAGTTCCATCATGACCAGAATCAAAGGGGCTGGAAAAAATGTCTGAGTTCGTAGAGGAGGAGGAATGTTGCGTGGAAGGGGTGGAGTTGCACAGCTGTCCACCTTAGAGGGAAACTTGCCTCAGATGAGGGGAATGATAAACCATTTCGGGGGGGAGGACATGATGGCGCCGTGAGCGGACGCATTTCTGTACAGCTCTGATACAATCACTATTACCTGGTAGATTACCAAACCAAACAGAAGTCTCTCCCCTGTTTTTCTGCTTCTGTTTCTTCCTTTGGATAACATTCTTTGAAACTATGGGTAAACCATTTCTGAGTGAAGATGGATGTGAAGAATCAGTTTGTGCCTATCTCTGTTTCTGAGTTCTCTGTAGCTAGATAACCCTGAGAAGGGGTCTCCATGAGCTTGAACTGACGTCATGGCACACAGTTATTATTATTAGACCTACAAATAAGGCAGGGTTCACTAACTACTGTTTGTGAAGAGCCATTCTGATGTAGGTGGATAGTTATAGACTATGATTCAGGAGACTTGGGTCAGAACCCCCTTTCAGCCATGAAAGCTCACTGGGAGGTAGCAATGGTAAAACTGTTTTGTAAGCATCTTGCTTACCTGAAAACCCTATTAAAGCATTTAGAAGTTGGATGCAACATGATATACCCATACAACGAAATTCACAGACATATGGACTATGATTCAGGAGACTTGGGTCTGAACCCCCTTTCAGCCATGAAAACTCACTGGGAGGTAGCAATGGTAAAACTGTTTTGTAAGCATCTTGCTTACCTGAAAACCCTATTAAAGCATTTAGAAGTTGGATGCAACATGAAGCACTTGACAAACACTGACTGGCCACGGTCTTGCATGGTTGGTCTTCCACTAACTTTTCTACACTGCCCAGCTGATCATTTGGGGAATGCATTTGTAAATCAGTTTGTTTGGTACAGGGTCATTAGGAAATGACTTTTTAAAAAATCATTGCATTAATTTTCTTTAAAAATGTCTCCAATCAATTCAGGACAAACTAATGGTGGACTCTAGCATGCTAATCAGTGATAGCCATGCAAAACTGGGCTATAACTTATGTACATATAATTCCTCGCTATAATACAGTGCAGGGATGGTCTCACAACTAGAGCTCCTTGTGTGCATGGTTAGCACTCTTTTAAAATGGCAGTTCTGATATTTGTAAAGAATGAGTCAGTTGTGTGAATCCCTCTCTGAGCCTTGAATTTACCATTAACTGCCTTTTCCTGTCCATTCAAGTTTTACAGTGGATCAGAGGTTTTTATTTGTATATTACTCAAAAACGAACTGGCTAGACATAATAATTAAAGAGCTGAGTAAATGTTTGCATATAGTTCAATTCTTTATGTTTGATTTCACTCATATCAGTTCCTCTGAGCTTTGGTGCATCAGGAATTCTTCTCTTTACTTTTATTTTGACAACGTTCTATGAAGGTGCCTCTGGCTCATTTTTGTAGTTTTCCTGCACTTTATATAAGAGGTAATAGTCTGGTCTAATTCTTTCTGAGGTGATAAATCTCAGTTTGTACTGGATAAAAGTGTGTGTATGGAGATTTACATGTTTGAATGCTGTTTTTCAATATTAAAAAATCAATCTCTGCACAGAAAAAAAATTCTCTTGACATCTAGTTTTTTATGCAGGAGAAATGCATACTAATTTCTGTGAAACTATAAACAATAAAGACACTCGACAGTGCATTTGGATGATTACCACTCTTTAAAAATGTCAGTTCTGATATTTGGGTTAGTTGTGTGGATGCTTCTTTAAAAACAACCTTCAACCTGCCAACAGGAAATCCTGGCTTTGCAAGTGCTGCTTACAATCCTGCTGGAGGATATATCCCTTCCTTTCACAAAAAAGAAGTTGGTTCAGCTGGTCAGAGGATACAACTAGCCCCTCTTGGTCCATCAGCCACAGGTAAGCCTACTATGTACTTCACTTACAGTGTAGTAAAATGTTTATGCTTTTTTTAATCTCTTGAGTTTTCATGGGACCAAATGCTGTAAACATTGACAGGTTGCTAAGACTGTAATGTAATGTACCTTACATTCATATTTAGACAATCATTGCCCACTTAAATTTCTCTAACAAGTAATAATTCTCACTAGTAGTAAGTTCAAATTTGTATTTATTTCATTATCCATGTGTGGATAGAACTGTATTCTTACATTATTATTATTACAGAATCTTGTATAACAAAGAATATCATTGTTCTTCCAAATAGAGCAGAATGCAATTATGTACAGTGGTGACTTGCAAGATGAATTTAGTTCGTTCCGCGGTTAATGTCTTGCAAAAAATTTGTCTTGCGAAATGCGTTTTCCCATAGGAATGCATTGAAATTAATTAATGCGTTTCCATGGGCAAAAAAAGTCAGAACAAAGACAAATTTGGTTTACAAAGGGTTTATTAACTGCTCTTTAAAGCCATACATATTGTGCAGATGATTTCTAAAATTTCAATCAAAAACCTTTAACTTTTTAAACATCATAGAAAAACATTTAAAAATCAGCAAACGTGAGGCAGGAACAAAAAACGGAAAACATTCGTCTTGCGAAGCATGGCCATAGGAACATTCATCTTGCGAGACATCAACCCCCATCGCCAAAACAATTCGTCTTGCGAGTTTTTCATCCTATGAGGCATTTGTCTTGTGAGGCACCACTGTATTGCTTTTGTTTCTGCTAAATGTATTCATTCGTTCATTCCTTTATTCATGCTCAAACAGTATTGTCAACCGTTCAGGCAGTCTCTGTAGTTTTTTTAAAATTTAGTTTTATATGCAAGAACTGAAATTTGGTCCTTTTCACAGTATGATAATATATTTGCTAACTGCCACTGATTAAGCCCCAACCTACAGAGATAGATTGAAATGTTGGCAACTTTGTCCTTTACCTTTCAGGAATATAATGATATATTTAAACCTTGGCTGCTACAACTTTTCATTTGTAATGAACAGTATGTTTTGGGTTGTCATCTTCAGAGCTATATGTATACACTTGTATTTTTGATGTTGACAAGGGCTTAAATTTCTGTAGGAATATTCTGGCAATACTTAACTGAACTCTAACCCTGGCTCCCAGTGTTTAAGCAGGTGGTTAGACTCACTGTTGCAGATGGCTCTTTATCTCCAGCTGGATATAAGGGATGTGGAACTGGCTTTTTAGAGAGAGAAAGCGGAATCGGGGTGTGGGCAGAGCAATCTTGAGGTAGGAAGCCTAGGAGCAGCCATATTGGATGAAAAGAGTTTATTTCCTTAGTCTTCCTGATTTTTGCAATAAGGAAAAATGTGTGAAACCACAAACACTTAACATCAGAGGTTGGTAGAGATAGGGAACTTGACCTTTTTGTATTACAGCTCCCAAGAATCTCCTGGTTAGCATAGCCCATTAAATGTGAAGTGACTACTTGACCTTGTGTGTTAAGTGTGCTGGTTTCTGTAGACAGGACTCCACAAAATGTGTTACTTGGCCAACACCACAACCAGTCATCTTTTTGTTTCCTTTCTATTCATGTACATGCAAGGACTGGAAGTGAATATCCGTTTTTGAGAGACAAATGCATCTATGATTCCAGAGTCTTCAGGAGTGCAGTTACTTTGTGGCCTCACCTTTTTTTTCCTGATAGAGATTTTTGTATTTTTTGTTATCTGGTGAAGAGAAATTCTATATCATATGATGGGGAAGAGCTTCACCTACAGATTTCTGCCTATCATTCAGATATTAATTATGCAGAAACACTGCTAGATAACATCTGAAGATTTAATTAAGCTATCACTCCGTGTAAAATATTAACACTCACAGTATTCAAGTCAAATGATGGAATTGTCACTATCTTTTTTACTCACATACAGTGGTGCCTCGCAAGACAATGTTAATTCGTTCCGCGAAAATCGCTGTTAAGCGAAAACATCGTCTTGCGAAACACGTTTTCCCATTGAAATGCATTGAAAACCTGATAATCCGTTCCAATGGGAATGGATTGTCATTGTAAAGCGAAAATTGCCATAGGAAACATCATTAAGCGAAACACGGTTCCCAAGCGAAGACAGCCGTCTAATGAAAACAGACCATTAAAAGATTCATAAAGCGAAGCAAGACCAAGCTGTCAAAAACACCGTAAAGCGAAAAACAGGGACCTAAAATTTAACTGTCTTGCGAGGCAAGGTCCCTAACATCGTAAAGCGAGAATTGCCCATAGGAAACATTGTTAAACAAAGCGCAAGATCGCTCTGAAAACCTCATCGTAAAGCGAATTCGTCATTATGCGGAGCAATCGTCTTGCGAGGCACCACTGTATCTGTTGTTTTTGCATATTGTTTGCTTCTTACTTTAGTCATCTCCATTTTTGTGGCCCTATCCAATGGTGTGGGTATGTATGCTTGGCAGTATTATCAATTACATTCCATGCATCTGATGGCATCCATGAAGGTTTATGTCATAATACTCTTCAAGGTGCTACAAGACTCTTAATTGTTGTTGCTACTCCAAATTTACATGACTCTCCCTCTGGAAACTGCCTAGTTGGATGAGAGATCAGGAACTGATTAATTCATTCCCATTCTTCAGAGCTAAGTGCTAATATTTACACTTTCCAAGGACTGATCAGTCATAGTGTTTCCTTTCTTGTAGCTGAGCCTCGGGGGCTGTTCACAGCAAGAGGTGGGAGGAAAGGAAGGGCAGTTCTTTGGAGTGCGAATGGGGGTAGGTGGGATTTCCTGTCTTTGATAAGACTTTGGATTAGGGACCTCCAGATGTTTTCCAAATTGCTCTGGGGTTAGGAAACATTTTCTTCTCCCCAACCCCATGTGCAAGATGGTAACCTGGACCATCTACTTTTTATTTCAATCTTGTCACCACCATACCACTAAAGCTATGTTGCACGGCAGATTTTACAAACATTTATGTGCTTCTAAAGAAACAAAAAATGCCAGTGTTCTAGATTGCAAACCTATGGAAACAGGAAGAAAACCACCTTAAATTCTATTCAGCTAATATTTGAGTAGTTGTTATATAGAGTTCTGTTTATGCTTTTCACAAACAGATGTGAAGATAAAATTCCATAGTATACATCAAGTCTAATCTAATGTTTTAGAGAGACTAAGAAAAAGGAGTTAAAATAGGTGCTGTGAGGAAGTGAACATAAAAAAGATTTTGAGAAATGCTGGAAGATCAGCAGCTGTCTGAGAGTCTGGTAATATAACAATTTTGTGGGTTGTCTTTTTTGTTAAATATTTATATGACTGATGGATCAATAAATTCTTTGTATCGTTTTCTATCCTTTATATATATTTAAAGAATGATCTGAGTTTAGCTGAGATATGTATATTATTTCTGTTCATCTTTTAATTCATTGGGCAGCTATTAATTCTTTTGTTCAGTAAAAACACCACCTTTCTGCCTTGTCTCTGCACTGTTTTATTTCAATTTTAACTACTCATTTAGAACAAAAGAGAACAGCTTCTTAGCCTTACTTATGCTGCCTTTACTCCCTATTAATGGAACTGAATTGTTGGACATTTTACTCTAACTTGTTTTAAGCTCCTGTCGAGTAAAAGAATCTCCACTCAGTCGTTCTTGGGAGATCTGCTTGTTACCAACATACCCTCCCCCCACCCATCAAATGCTGGAACCCTCTTATTTTATCTTAGAAATCTGGAAATTTGGAAAGGTTTGCTGGAAGAAGAAAACCACATAAGACAAGAAAAATAGCTAGAGATGCAGCTTTGCTGCTGTGTTTACTACTGAGAGATGCTATATAATTTGAATTACTTAGTTACCAACTTCAGTCTAGCCACTTTGCCTCATCTGTGAGAATTTAAGTATGGTCCTCACAAGACAGGACTATAAATTATTGAGGATTTCCTCCCAAACCGTATTTGAAGTACCTCAGAAAAAAGGCAAAAAAATTTTCAACCTTTTTTCATTTAAGAACAGAAAGGAAAAGAGAAACGCCGAGTACTTACATCAATACTCTAGTTAAACATGAAGTACCTGTCCTATATCAATATTTTAGGCTAAACGGTGGATTATTCTTGGAACAAACCTGTAATGCAAAATAATGAGAGACATTTAAACCTGGCAGCCAAAACTGTCAAGTTTAAAACTTGGAATATCTTTGGCAGAAGATTTAATCCAGCAACTAAAGGAAAGGGAGTCAGGACAGGAATTAGAACCAGGATTCCCCCATGATGGAAATACTGAAGGGAGAGCCTCTGGGGTGAAAGATACATGGATCAATCCTAAGGCTTTGGGAGATGAATATTACGAAATTCCAAATTTTGTCCATGGCTCCATCTCCGATAAGGAAGTTGGGTCTTCCAAGCAGGAGTTGCAGGTCTCAAAAAGAAGAGACTTTTGAGAAAAGAATTTGCTTAATATTTAAAGAATTGGAAGCAATAACATAATTGCTTATCAGGGTGTCATGGATTGCTAACTTCCATGGCAGAGTTATGCATGAGAGCGGGAGGACCATTGTGCCTAAATGAGAATGAAGACATGGAATGTGAGACTCGTGTTAAAGTGGGTCATGATAAACCATGAAAAAACAAACAAAAATGTAACAAGGAAAAGAAAAATAATGGTAAGAAGTACCCAAAGAAAATGAGTTAGAAAAGTAAAAATATCAAAACAAATAGGAAAAGTAGAAAATGGTTCCAGGATTCTGGAAAGTCCAAGAAAATGACTTTCCAGATAGCTGGATGATCCTGCATAAAATTAATCAAAACCACCTAAGAAGAAAAGCTCTAAATGTGACATAGTAAAGCCTAAACACATCAGTCCCAGAGCTCGTAACAATCCAGAGCTATATACAGGATCATTATCCTGTAAAACCCATCTTAGAACAATGAATCAAAGGCATAGATTTGCAATATTCTCTATCAAATGCCCACAGGTCTTGTTCACCAATGTATTTTGGCTTCAGTTACATGGAAGTGTAGTTCTGACATAGATACTTAGTTATGTGTTTGATAATAGAAGTATGGCATGGCTCTTTTGCTTTCACAGTCCATTTCCTGATGCATACTAAACTTCCTTACAACGAGAGTAGAATTTTATGTTTTGATTGTATAATATAGACCAGAGATCTTTTAACATAGGTCTGTTTAACAAATAGAGAAAATTGATTTTTTGCCATTGACTGTGGCTTGTATTGATCTAGCTATTTTGTTTTTTTATTTTTTTCAGAATATGCAGAATATGCATGGAAAACAAAAGCTGCTCGTGTTCAGTTAGCAGGGCCTACATACAACCCAGCCACAAAAGGCATCAACATTTTAACTCGCCCACAACCAGTACAACCAGTGCATGGAAGAACTGACTGGGTGGCGAAGTATGGAGGACATCGATAGAGATGCTATTTCACACCATGCATACTTACTGTGACTGTCTATATCCATTCCTTAATCTTGAGACACTTTAAAAGTTAGTTCTACTAATAGAATATCAATACTGGAAAGAACGGAGAGCTTGTATTTTATTACCTCTAGGAAACTATATACAGAGATGCATATAATAAATACATTTTACTTAGAAAAGAATCTTCAAAATAGTGTCTCTAAGGGCTAGGGCTTTTGCTTGCATTGAAAAGTATTCAATAAGATATCTTGCCAAAGCTAATGAGTTTTTGAGCTCATACTAGATGAATGGGAAGATAAGGTTTGTTGGGCCCTCTTGATGTGTTCTTATAGAAAATGTTTAGGAGATGCAAAAATGCAAATAAATGGACTAATGTTTTGATAACTATGGCAAAATTATATATGGACACCAAATGGATAAAAGGTGTAGTGAAGAGTCAGTTTCAAACATGTTGTTTCCAGAATTCTTTTTTTAGAAAGTTGAAAGCAAAATTTATTGACACAAATTGGATTCTCTACTGCATATTTCAGCTAGCATCAGAGGGTCCAGAACTGGTCGATTTATTTGTCTTGACTTTGGGTTGGCTGCGAGCCTTACAAAGTATGACTGCAGAGTGTGACTCCACAGATAGTCACTATTACAAGTGTTTATAGAGGGGATATATCTTGAAAGGCCAATTCTATATTTTTTCATCCATTGTATGTAACTCCTATGGAAGAAGGTGTGGAATTCTTAAAACATGTAAGTAATTTCCAAACTGACCAATGTTCGGTTTGCCTCGAAGTTTGACAGCAGACCTTACAGGATGGGTAGGAAGTGATTTGCCTCTAAACTGTATTGGCCCTGATGCCCCAATCCTCATGTGCTGTCGTGGGCTGGCATCCTGCTGAAATTGAAGAAACCTTTCATTGCACAAAAGGTATGCAAACCTAAGTGCTCTGCAAGCCTCTCACATGTAAGAAGGCATTAGAATTAGGTGCTTGTTTGTCTTGTAAAGGTCTTCTGTAGGTATGATCATATGACAGTGCAATGTAAAGTGTGGCTGGGGTTATGAAAGCATCCTTCCCTACCTAGAATTCCATTTAGCACACCAGCTGAGCCAGGAAATGGATATTCTAGTTGCAATTAATGAGCATAGCCCTCTCATCTTGTACTCTGCAGACTACTCTCCCTTCACTGGTCAAAGCATTTCCCTCCTACAGGTCCCTTCTTTATATGAGGTAGGGACTTTGTTGTTGCTATACAATTTTTTCCCCTAGGAAAACCATACCACTTGGTTTTCCTTTTAAACTTTCCCTACTTTTGTTGAACTAGATAATTTAATTAACAGTAGTGCCTTCTTTTGGTAACCAAAGCTGAACTATAGAGTTTTCTACAATAACTGCTTGAACCTCGTAACAATTGGCAGTGTTTCTCCTTCGACCCTCTTTCTTATAATATTCTGGTATAGAATATAGTGTAGCATAGAGACATACATGCAGCCTTCTTTCCTGTTTCCAATGCCATAAAGTAGACAGTGATCCAAAATCTTTGTGTTGTTTTAATTTATTTCTGTTTTTAATAGGTACACTAATATAGTAGACAACAGGGATCCATTCTGCATCTGTCAGATTTATTACTTTAAGCTGGCATGCAGAATCCAAGTTCCTCTGAATGGTGCTTTGGAGTTCCTATTAGCCTCAGCCAGCATGGTCATGGCTCGCTGGTAATGGGAGATGTGAGGTCAGCAACATGGGGAAGGCCACAACTTCTCCACCCTTGCTCCAGGCTGTCCATTCCTTCAATTGCTAAATGTTGTAGTATTTATTACATTAAACATGACAATGCAGTTTTAACAGTGGCATGTAGTATACAGTACATTTGTTTACAATTGTGTAATGTTAAAGAGTTCCTTGTAGGCTAACAAGTATTTTTATGTATTTTATATTTTCAAAGCATTTCTACTGTAGAATACTTGTTGGTTGATTTGATAATTAAATTAGGGGTAAAATGCACTTGAATGCAATTTTTAAAATTTTATAGAAATTACAGAGATGTTAAGCATAATGTTAATACTGAAAAGTTCATTTGATTGGTACTGTAAAGGCTAAGTGATTTTTAAAGTAATTTTAAAGCTGTTGTTATGCGGACTTGGAGGCCTATCCACCTAATGTGCTTCAGTCTCTCAAAATGTACAAATACGCAGTGTCAGTGAAATGCTGTCTGGAAGGTATACATTTTCATGTTTCATGTTAGTACAGTAAAGAGCAAGATATTTAACCTTGCACCTAGAATGGTTTTCAACTGAAAATCATATGTTTTATAATAAAGTCAACTTCTCAGGAATACAAGACTAAAGCAATCTTCTCTTAGAAAAACAGTGTAGTAATATTTACATCCTGACACTTGACTAGGGTCCCAGTTAGGGTGGACATGTATATTATAAAGAACATAGGGGTGCTGCTAAAATTGGCAGTCCCATTGATCAGGAGTGTGGACAACGTAGCCTTTGTGTCACATGTAGTTCCCATGGACATTTCGGCAGCTGCAAAGGTCCCCTGTGGCCCCCATTAAAAATAAAGACTTAAAAAAATGTAGTGGACTTCAAAGGATCCCTTATGGCTCCCCGCTCCTCCTCCACTAACAGAAAGGTTAATGTTGGACTATTCCCATTTACTTTTAATAAATGACTGAAAAAGCTGGTGTTAGGTTCTATGTAGCCTGCAGAGGGGCCTGGGAGCACAAATTTGCCCCCCAAGCTTGCTGATCCCTGCCATATAGGTTTCTTTTTTCTGGGCCTAGTTTGGTAGCCAACATCTTGACACTAATTTCTTGTATCACACCCATATATGCTACCCAGAGGTCTGAAACTAAACACTGAAACAATTTCAGATCATGTAATAAATGTTATGGACAGTTGGGAGACCAGAGCAAACTGCCTGTCTGTAATATATAATTCCATGCTTAGAACTATGCATGTTTCCTAGATACAAGACACGCTTGCTTGCTGTAGGTACATAACTCCCAATGTGAAACTATGTTGGTTGTGACAGAAGATTTTGAAACTTAGTGTGGCTAGAATTGTGATAATTTGACCTTTGCATCAGATTAAAGGTATAAGAATAACGTCCTTGTTTCTTCTCTGGGGAGAAGATTGCTTACTCCAGCCACTGAGGCCTCTTCAGTATTCTTTGGGTTCTGCTTTTAAGGTCTTCATAAAATGTCCACGCACTGCCATCCAAACAAGTGACTATAGTGCAATGATTCCATCTTCATATACCATATGGTATGAGGAAGGGGGGAAGAGAGCATTTATTTTATGACAGCTGTACTTTTGCTATTTAATCAAGGAAAGAAGATTTACAACTGGAAATACATAGCATTCACAAGGAATTCAAGTTTAATCTAACAGGTTAGATTTCTGGTGACTTAAATGGGTATGTTAAGAATGTGGTAAATATTCCCCATATGAATGAGTAGGACGTCTGCTTAATTTTGTGTTGACTGTGCCATTTCTAAGAAGGAAAACCTTGAGTTTTGTATGTCAAAAAGATAGCCTTGTTTATCTTCAAGTAGAAGGCGAAAGAAACTGCCCTTCTGCAGCATAGTATAGGACTGCTTACTTTTAAACATCTGGTTTAAATTTGTTTTTAGTTCACAGAATGGCAGGAAGAGTTACCATTCAATATACAGTGGTGCCTCGTATAACGAGCGCCCCGTTTAACGAAGAAATCGCATAGCGATGGCTTTTTTGCCATCGCTTTTGCGATCGCACTACGATCTTGCCTATGGGGAAAAATCGCTTTGCGATTTTTCCCCATAGGCACATTTTCCCCCAGCTGAGCGGCGGGAGCTTTGAAGCCCCGCTGCTCAGCTGGGGGAAAATGTCAGCAGTGGGCTGCAGCCTCGGAAGGACCCTGAAGCCACCGTCCCCTGCCGACAATTCCCTTCTGAGCTCTCAAAGGGCCCCCTCCGATATTGGAGAAAGCCCTTTGAGAGCTCGGAAGGCTCTCAGCAGCGGCGGGGGAAGGGTACGGGGTGTCGAAGGCTTCCAGGCCTTTGCCTGGAAGCCTTCCGGATACCCCCCCACCCTGTCCATGCCAGCAGCCTCCCCGCGCCGCC